TAAATAAAAGAAATACAATTTTTAATAAAATTTTTTTATATATTTATAATATATTATTGTATTTTAAAAAGATTTATATATTACAAAAGTTTTTTTATTTTTTTTTAAAACTTTAAACCCATTTGTCTAATTTCGAACCAACTTTTATAGGTTTATTTATGTTATATTAATTTAAACTTTTGGGAATGAGGCCATAGTAGCAATACCACAGTTATTGTTACGGTCTAGTTAAAAAAAAATTAATATTAAAATTAGTATTGAGAGCATTGATGTTTTTTTAAAAAATAAAAATGATTTATATTTACCTTTTGACATTAAAATATAACCTTCGATACCCCAACTGGTACCCCATGAGTTTTTAACGATCCAATAGTTACCTGATGAGGCACCTTCGACAGCAAGACCTGAACCTGAACCTGAACCTGAACCTGAGCCTGAACCTGAACCTGAGGCTGAAGCACTACCTGAAGCTGAGGCTGATTGGGAACCTGATTGTGAAGCACCTGATTGTGAACCTGATTGTGAAGCACCTGATTGGGAACCTGATTGGGAACCTGATTGTGATGAACCTGATTGGGAACCTGATGATGATGATGATGATGAGGTTGATGGACCTGATGATGATGATGATTTACCTGAGGTTGATGGACCTGATGAGGATGATGATGATTTACCTGAGGTTGATGGGGCAGCACCGCTACCATAACCAACAACTAAAACACCGTGATCTAAACTGGTGGTTGAACAGGCTGGTTCATAATAGATACCTGATGAGTATAATTGGAAGGAGTTGTGTGAAGCATCAATGGCAACTGAGACTGGACCAATGTTGGCAGCTGATTCTAATGATGGTTCTGAACCTGAGGTAACATTAGAGTATGATGATAAGGTAGCACCAATGTTGGCTGGGTTGTATTTACAGGTCTTACCGTCTTTGGCGGTGTATGGGTATGAGCTTTCAGTATCAATACCTTTGTTGTTGATGATGTATTCAAAAGCTAAGGTCATTAAACCACCATTGCAACCATTGTTACCGTATGAACCTGAACAATCGATTAAATTTTGTTCTGATAATGATGGGAGGTTACCTTTGGCAATAGCGGTAGCACCTTCAGTTGAACCAGTAGTTGAGAATGACCAACAACCACCACTAATATTTAAAATTTAAAAATATTAATATTTTTTCTTTTTTTTTTTCCAACTAAAAAAAAAAAATTAAACTTACCATTGTTGTTGATTTTTAATTGGGGTGACAGCACCTTTAGTTCTCCAATCGATTGAGGCAGCTGGAGCGGCAAAGATTTTTTCGGTTTCGGTGTTGATGATAGATGAACCATCGAATGGAGTACCTAAATAGATAGATCTGAATTCTTGGTTGGTGATATCAGCAAAAGTATTTAAACCAAGGACGGTTTCACTACCTTTTGAGTTCCATTCTTGAACGTAATCCATGTTGGCTTTGAAGATGTTGTAACGGGCAGCAAATTCTTCTGAAGCATAGTGTCTTTGATTTTGGATCATCCAATTGGTGAAGGCATTTCTGTATTGTAATTCAGAGAATTGTTGTTTGGCGGTAGCAAAGCTAACTAATAATAAGCATAAAAATAATAAAACTCTCATTTTGAAAAATGTGTTTGGTGATGTTGTTGGGAAAATAAGAAAATAAAAAAAAAAGTAAAATTTATAATCGAAAAAAAAAAATAAAAAAAAAAAAACAAAAATTTTATATTTTTTAAACAAAAAAAAATAAAAAAAATAGTTTATAAAATTTGGAATTCCTACTGCTCCAACTTTTCTTTTGATAATTCTCCAACTTGAACGAATTACTTAAATCCCATTTTTATTTTTATTTAAAAATTACGCGATTCCGTTTTTTTAAAAAATTTAAAATAATTTAAAAAATAAAAAATAAAAATAAAAAAAAAATTATTTAAAAAAAAGGATTTTAAAAAAAATCTTCAAAAAAAGAAACTTAAAAGAAAAAAAAAAAAAGTGTTATTACTTTTCAGTGTAAATAAAATAAAGAAATTGAAATTGAAAATGAATTTGAAACATTTTTTTATTATTGGTTTTTTCACCCATCAAAAAAAAAAAAAAAATTTGGTTTTTGTTTTTTTTTTATCTCCTCCAAGAGAAATTTTTTTATTTTAATATCTTTTTTTATTTTATTGATATTTTTTTTTTTTATTTTTTTTTTTAAATTAATTTATTTTATATTTATTTTTTTTTTTAAACATCCTTTGATTTTTTTTTTGAAAATTATTTTCCTTTTCTTTTATTTTAATTTTTTTATTGGAAATTTTTGATATTAAATCAATAAAAATAATCTATATTTATGTTGTATTTTGCAGAGCATTCCATAAAATTATCTATTCCTACAGTTTTGGCAAATTCTCGAGCAGTTTCATAGGGAACCTCTCTCTTTGAGCTATCCGTTTCGACTAAATCTATTTTATTTTTATTATAATACTTTCTTTATAACCCATGTTCGCTTTATAACAGTCATATATTTTTATTTTAAATCCATTGCCATCATCTCGTGGATTTAACATACCATACTTGTTTTCTTTGATTGTTAATACTCCATACATGCTACTACACAAGAACCTATTTTTTTGCCAAATGTTTCTAACATTTAAACCTAATCTTTTTCAACTAATGTTCCCTGAATAAGCTGCATGAAATTCTTCTAATTCTTTTGTAATAAGTTTCTTGTCTACTAAAACTAATTTATATTTTGATGTTGGATCTAAAATAAACTAAAGCACATACTTGTTGCTTGATACCAAGTGTGTGAATATCAATAGAATAACCTTTGGATTGAAAATCCCAGTCAGGAAAGTACCTTTTTAGATTGGATGATGAATTGAAATATAAGAACACCAGAAATCTAATGTTTTTGAACAATCACTGAATGCTATTTTACTTTGAATAAAAAGACAAAGCATTTCTTCTCTCATTTCTAAATTGCAATAAAGAATTTTGATGATTAGCAGCATTAGCCAATATTCTAAATTGTTTTGGCTTTGTGCTTTCTCTTGGTGTTGGTGGTTCTACATCTATATTTGAGAGCATTGAATAAATGATAATATGCTGGTTTTAACTGGCCAACATTAAAAAAAGCTTAATCATATTTTCTAGTAATTGAAATAATTATAATTGGATTCTTTCTGGAGCTAATCAAAGGAGATCGACAAAACTTGTAGATTTTTCTTGCTATTAAACATGGCATTCCTACATCACATGTGTACATTTATAACTTAATTTTTTTATTGAACATTGGACTTACTAATACTCTAGAAAAGGTTAATTCTTCTTTTAATAATTTATATCATTTCCATGGCTTTTCTGTTTGGTTTAATCTTCGTTAGCTCTTAAAATTATTTGTAGGTTCTGAAAAGTTCTTATTAAATTTTCTATAATAGTTGGATATCACCATTGCTTCTTTTTCAAATATTTGAACATTATTTTCACCTTTCTAAACTTTTCTTAAACCGCACACATGTATTATATGTTTGTTTTGAGTCTTGATTTATAAATAATAATATCAAAAGCATAATATCTTCTGAACCTGTAGCAACAATGGAGCTATTAAATTGTAAAATGGCAAAATCGCATGATTGACCTCCAATTTAAATACATGGAACACTATTTTAACCACATTTGCTTGTAAGTGGAATAGCAGCTAATGGAACACCAATACCTTGATATGGAACAGCAACATATTCACGATTAGCAGGTGTTACTTGTACTACCATTAGCTCTAAGATTGGTATAAAATTGACTCTTTTAAGAGGCATTAGCTACTTGAACTGTTTCGCTAGTAGGTGGATCAACAACTCTATTCTTTAAATCTATACCAGAGGTAAATATTAAACTATTTAATCTACAACAATATATTTCCAGCACTTGGATTGAATGCAATGGGATCAACAGACTTTGAAGTATACATGTTTCTTGGGTACAACTAATTTCATCAACTATAATTTTTTTCTAAGTAACAGTATCTAATGGAATCTATAAAAAGACAACTACAGGCAATAAATCTAGGGACTTTTAATTATAATTATTTAAATGACTGAATATAAAGTAAAATAATATCAATTAATATATTGTTTAAAAAAATAGTGAATAAATAAAAATATTTACCTATAGAATGGGAGTTTACAATTGGCATAATGAGCCGTAATGGTACTCTGAAATGTGGGATAATAAAATATAACTGTCACTTTTAATTTTTGGTTTAATTTCTATGAAGAAACCAGTTTGGGATGCAACTGATGATAAAATTGTAATATTTGTTTTAAAGATTTCAGCTGCTGCGACTAAAGTTAAATGATCACCCCATGTACCATTTTTTGACATATTGTTGCAATATTCTTCCCAACTTGCATCATAGACAAAGTCTGATAGGGCGGCACCATTGGGAAGTTTAAATCCTCTATTGATTCTAAGCCAATTAATAATTACGTTTCTAATTAAAGTACTATGGTCCAAGTCACCATAGATTTGATCAGATAGCGAATGCATCTGGCAATTTCCATCACCTGGAATTTCCCTTCTGATCATTAAACCATATAATTGTATACGTTCATTTAAACGTATCTCTGCCATTTGTGATTCACTTAAATTACGAGGTTGAATATTTGATAACCCTCTTGAATTGACCAATGGTGAATCGATTTCCATTGGAACTAAATCATCGTTAATCATTTGTGATGAGCTATATTTTTGTTGTTGTGGTTGTTGTTGCTGATATTGTTGTTGCTGTTGGAGTCTTTGTTGTTGTTGCTGATACTGTTGTTGTTGGAATCTTTGTTGTTGCTCATACTGTTGTTGATGATATTGTTGTTGCTGGAGCCTTTGTTGCTGCTCATACTGTTGTTGCTGATACTGTTGTTGTTGTTGTTGGAATCTTTGTTGTTGCTGCTTATATAATTGTTCTTGTTGTTGTTGTTGATAGAATTGTTGTTGTTGTTGTTCAAATAGGATACGTTCTTGTTGTTGTTGATAAAGTTGCTGTTGATAAAGTTGCCATTGATTTGGTTGTTTATAATGTATCTTTTGTTGATATGCTCTATTTTTTATCTCTTCAAGTCTTTGACGTTCCTTTTGTTGCTGTTCCAAGTATTTGTCATTTGAGATACAGTAATGGCACTTTTCCCCTTTATTAGAGCATTGACAACCATGTTCAATGTTGACTTTTTTGAAAATGTATTTACCAAATAAACATAAAAAAATTACACCAGCAACAAATAAATAAATACACCAGAATAAAAATTCATCCATTTTTGTTAAAAAATAAATAATTAATTAAAATAAAATAAAATGTATATAAGTATAAAAAATAAATTTTATGATTTTATGTAAAAAAAAATTTAAGATGGATGTAAAAAAATGTGTGTGTGAATTAAAACTTTAATTTTAATAAATGAAAAAAAAAAAAAAGAAATTAAAAAATTTTAATAAATTATAAAAAAAAAAAAAAAAATTAAAATTAAAAAAAAAATAAACAATTGTTTAATATAATTATTATAATTTATATTTTATTTAATTTGTAATAGTTATATAGACATTATTTTATTTTATAGTTTTAAATTGAGAATTTTAATTAAATCTATATTTTGATTTGAAAAATTCATTAAATTCTCTTTTAAATGATATCCTGAATACCAAGTTAATTGTAAAAAAAGATTAATATTATTTCTATATTTTGTTTAATACTTTATAAGTTTTATTCTGAACATAATAATTATTTTTTTATAAAAAATATTTAGTTAATAAAAGATTGAAAATTTAATTTTAATTTACTTTAATTTTAATTTTATTATTTTATTTATTTTTGATCTTCAATTCCACCATTATTATAAAAAAATTTATATTTTTTATTAATGATTTTATTTTTTTATTAATAATAATCTAGCTATAGTTATCTTTTATATATTTATAAACAAAAATATTTATTACATATTTTTTTTTATATAAAAAATAATAAAAAAATAGTTTAAATTATATAAATAAAACATTGAGAACATTATCAGAATAATAAATTTTATTTACATATTTTATTATAAAAGAAATATTACAATCATTTATTAGATATTATTATTTTGAAATATATTAAAAAATACCCGTTTTTAATAATTACAATAATTTTTTCACCCATTTACCACTGCATACTATATATTTCTTTCATTTATAATTTAATAAAAAAACAATTTTTTCCCCTATTAGATAATAAACATCAATTACAATATTTTTTATTATTTTTTAAATAATAAAATTTTATTTTTTTTATAAATTTTTCATTATAGCAATTTTTTTTTATTTTTAATTTTTTTTTTTTTTTATTCTTTAAAAATTACACCCTTCAGTTCAATAATGTTTAAAATACTTATTTTTCAGTTATATATTTTTAAATAATACATACAACTCTTTTTACATATAATACTTCTTATTTTCTTTTTTTATGGTGTGTTCATAAATAACTCACCACATTTGTTCAATTCTATAGAAAAGAGTTCAAAATTTAAAGAAAATTTTGTAAGTGGTTCGAGTGGTGGCTCAAGCAATGATTCAAGTGGAAATTCAAGTAGTGGTTCTAGTAGTGACTCAAAAGTAGTAACAAGTGATGGTAGATATAATGGTACATCTTGTGGTAATGCAGTTAAGGCAAATTTTAATAAATAAGTAATTGTAGCACTAAATCAATTAAAATAATATCAGTTTAACAAATATTCGAACATACCCGATGAAAAGATTTAAAATAATTTCTCAAACCATATACATCTAATTATGTTTTTACAAGCTATCAGGGTTTGGATATCCGAAATTAAAAAAGTTGCAAAAAAAGAAATTTTTGGATTAGGTTTATAATTAAAAGATTCAGAATCTAAATTGATTTTGAAAAAAACAATACGATGATATGGCTAAATCATGTGAAGTATTTTTTCAAAAGCTCCAATTTGCAACAATTAGCAATCATCTAAAGTCAAGTTGTTCAAACCACTCAAATGATAATTCAACCAGTAATGGGTCAGAAAAAAGTCCCCAATTAGTTCATGCCCCTATTCAAGCTTTAATAGTTATTCATGTAGCACCTCAGTTATCCTCCTGTGCTTATATCGTTATGAAATAATTTAAGTACAGGAGGTCATTACCGATTCATCAAAATTATAGAAAATAGATAAAAATAATAAAAAAAAAAATAAAAAAAAGGAAAATAATATCTTTATAATTATAATAAATATTAAATATCCTGTAAAAACTAAATAAAATTAAAAATACAAATTTAAATGTTATTTTTAAAAATTTCTTTGTGAAATTACTTTATTTTATATTACTAATATAAAATAGTTAAAAAATTAAAATTATTTATTTTCACAGAAAGAATTTTAAAAATTAATTATTTTCACAGAAAGAATTTTAAAAATTAATTAAAATTTTTTTTTTTTTTCTTCTTTTTCATTTATAACTTTTGCCTTTGTAAAATTTGGATCAATGAAATGATTATATTTCTTTTTTACTACATCAATGTTGATCTTTCTGCGTCTATTGGTTTAAAATTTTTTTTTGTATTCAAAAAAGTTTCGATTATACCCATGTTAAATTCACTTACTGATCGGATACATTTAAGACATCTAATGACTATTTTGTGTTCTCCTACGGATCTAAGTAAAATTTTAAAACTGGAGAGTGATAATGGATAAAAATTGTAAGCTTCATCGAAACAGATTTGACCAGAGAGTTCCCAGATTAAAGTTTCTATCTTGTGATTTTTTTCCAATATGTAACTTTTATGAATTTTTTGAAGCACGTTTTCTATACTTGCAAAGATAAGAGTGCCGTTGGAAAAGTTAACTATAACTTTTGTTCCTTTTGATAAAGATTCTTGGTGGCACTTAATGAAAAATTCAAATGTTGAAACTATTTCATTTATTGGCAAATTATGGAGATGTTTAAGAAAACATACCTGGGCTTGGGAGGCAATATTATATTCTTCTTCCCTATACAACATAGATAGAAACCTATGGAGATGTTTTACACGAGAACTTGCACTGGCGTATTTGAATAGCAAAATGGTTGTTTTGATCGAGTTTTCATAAATTTTTTTGAATGCAGGATGCTCTTTATTGTGTCCCAATTTTCAAATAAGTTGAAATATAAAAAATAGTATTCTAATAAATTTAAAGCTTTTAATTTATTATTATTATTAGATTTTAAATTTAAGTAAACAAATTCCAAATGGACATTTTTGGAAGTTTGTTTACTTTCTTTTTTATTAGCACTATTTCTATAATCATTATCATTAATATTTTTATTATTATTATTTGTTGTGTTGTTATTGTTGATAATGTTAAGGCAAAAGACAAGTAAAACGAAAATGAAATATAAGAAAACTGATAAATATTCCATTTTAATTATATTAATTATATAATGGTGATTGTATTTAATCTTTATAAAATATATTTATTATTATGGAAATTTATTATTTTTAATGAAGAAAAAAAAAAAAATAATATTATTTATAATTATTATTTATTATGTGGTAAAAATTATTCAATATTTATATTTATTATTTTTTATATTGAATATATGAAACGAAAAAATGTAAATAATTTGTTGTAGAAAAAAAAATTTAAAGAAAAAAAAAAAAAAAAATTAAGAGTTGCAAAAAAAGAGAAATTAAAAAAAAAATGAATAAATAAAAAAAAATAAAAAAATTTTTCATATAAAAATGAATAAATAAAAAAAAAAATAATATATAAGTGGGATTTACCACAAAGTGCTATGAGATTTTTTTTGAACATCATAAATAGGCCAATAATAATGATTCTTTGTTTTTAGTCTTTCAATTATTATATTTTATTTTTTATTAATAAAATAATTTTGCATTGATCAAACTCAGCAATATCAAAAAATTCTTTTTTATCTCAATAAGTACTTCAAATATTCATATCTGTATAAGTATAGAAGGTCATTATGGATTTATCCAAATTTATTCAAAGATTAAAGATTTTACACCATATATCAAAAACTCATCATCAAAACATCACATCACCACCAAAAAACAACTAATAGAAGTAAAAACAATTTTTGATCATGCAGTAAAAAACCACCAATTAGATTCACTGGCAAAGCTATAGCTAAACCAATCAATATTTTAAAAACTAAATTATTTATAAATTTAATTAAATAATCACTTAATAAATAAATTTATAAAAATTAATAGTTTTAATAATTAAATTAAATAAATAAAAAAAATTATTTCATAAATATATAATTAAATAAATAAACATATAAAATTTTAATAGATTTTTTTTTAAAATGAATTTAATCTACACCTCATTTTCATTAAAAAAACAGACAAAAGAAATAAAATTCTAATACACAAACATAATAAAAATAATTTTGAATATATTACATTATGTTTTAGAAATAAATAAAATGATCTTTTTATTTTTTATTGCTATCACTGTTGCTATCTTCTTTACTACTGCTGCTGCTGCTGCTGCCACTATCACTATCACTATCTCTTTCACTATCTTTTTTAATTGATTTTATTTAATCATCTTTTCCTTTAAAATCATTTCCTCTTCTGAAAATTCTTTTTTCTTTGATAAAGAAAGTAGTATTACCTCTCTTACAATTCCATTTAGACTTTAATATGTTGTTCATTAGATAATATTGAACATTTACCTCCAAAGATAAAAAAAACAAAATCTATTGCATTATTAACTATACTATCAGTTATTGATTGGTACTAAATATTTGCTTCTTTTACATTCTTCATCCATAACCTTTTAAAATTATTACTAAATAGTTCACTATTTGGTGATACTAATGAGTATGGGGTTGGATATCTGAATGATTCTATAGAGGATGTTGTTGTTTGTGATAGATAGTTTGACTTATAAATTCTTGATTAGCCAACTATAATTGGATAATTGATACTTCCTTTTTCATATTTAATAGAATTCAGCAATAAATGGTAAATCACTATTATTATGAATCTTAAAAGAACTAATTTCACCTGGATTTTGTTTTTTAAATAATATCTTGATACAATGTGAACGAATCTATTGGTTTCTTGTGAAGCGGAATTTCATGCTGGACCATATATTCTAAAAGTTTCCAAACTAAATCAAAATCGGTAACCAAATTAAACGATCTTGAAATTCTTTCTAACCAAAAATTTAAAAATTCTGTTGATTTGTAGGTGGACCCTGGTAATATCTCCTTCATTAGTATTAAATCTCCTGGTTTAGTTTTTGATAAAAATTTAAACCAAACTTCATTATTATTTTGAATAAGCTCGTTGATTTGTTGATCTGCATTTTTTTAATTTTTGAAATGCTTCAACCTTGTTTGTTTCATGTCTAAGAAATGTTACTATTAAATATATTGCTTTTGTCATATGTATCTTTTCTTGCGTCTTCATTAAATCTGTTGTTGGTATATGCTGTGGCTGTTTTAAAACTTCTAAAAGTAATAGTGTAAATGTTTCATGTTCAATTTTTTTGAAATAATTTAGATTATCTGTTTTTTGTGAATGATGACTTTTTGATAGATAGATGTTTTAATATTAAATTATCTACTTTTAAACTTGCTGATTCTTTGGTGAGTGTTTACTATTATCATATTTACTGTTAAAATTAAAATTGTTGTTTGGTGAGGATGATGAATTTTTTTCACTATTATTTGCTACTGGAAGTGTATTTTTAATTATTCCGCTTGTTGGTTTGCTGAATCTACAAATTTTATACATATTATTTTATTGCATATTAAATTTAAAAATAAAAAATTAAAAAATTAAAAAATTTAAAAAAAAAGAAAAAAAAAAAAAAAGAAAAATATTTTGGAAAAAATAAGGCTTAAATATTTTTTAATAAAATATAATAAAATTTGATTTTTTCAAATATTTTATTTAAAATTTTTCTATTAATTGCTAACCACGAATTTTTACTTACCCCTTCAATAAGAATGGTGCAAAGGTTAACACGACTTTTATTAATTTATTTTTAGTTAATAATTTTAGTAATTTTGATTATTTAATTTTAGTTATTTAATTTTTGTTGTATAATTTTTGTTATTTAATTTTTATTTGTAATTCATCGATAGAGTTCTGTAGCTTTCCAGGTGTATCGGTATTTTCACTCTAAATATATCTGAATTCCATATCTTGCTAAACTTCTCTAACCTGTTGACTATCTTCATTTTGTGTGGTGTCGCTGACTAGCTGGATCTTGGTATTGAAGTTTCTTATATATATTTTATTTAAAATTTTATGATGTTTCTGTGTATCCTAATACTGAAAATAGATTGGTCTAAATAGAGTTGATTTGAAAGTTATTTTGTATATTATTTCTAATTAAATTAATTTTTTTCACTTTTATTTGCTACTGGGAGTTGCTTTAATTTCTAGATTTTGTTTTCTAAACCAAACTTAAATAAGGACTACAAAATAATTTTTTTCATCTATTTATATTATTTGATGTTTTACCATATTTACTTGGCCAGAGTAAATTTGAAAATGTTAATCAAATATTTCATTAGATTGAAAAATTTCATTTGAGTTCACTTGACTAATTCATTTTAAGTTGGTTTACAATTATTAATATTATTTTTTTTTTTTTTTTTTTTTTTTTTTAATTTTTTTTTTTTTTTTTTTAATTTTTTTTAAATATAATTTTTTTAAATCTAGAAGTTCTAACCAAAAGGGTTGATATAAATCAAAAGGGTTGATATAAATCTCATCCAACTTGAACAATATTTATAATAGCAATACAAATAAATGTTTCTGTGATTATTATTTGCCTTATGTGATTTATTTTGGAAATAACTAGAATTGGACCATAGGAAATTACTTGCTGGTAATAAAGCACTGTTATTTGTTACTGTAGTTGTGGATGTAGTAGTGGCGGATTCAACATAGAGAATGGTAGCGAGGGGGAAAACAATGAAGAAGAAGAAGATGGTGATGATGATCACAATGGTTATGATGATCATGATCACGATGATGCTGATGACGGTGGTGATTATGATGCTGAAGATGGTGATCACGATGATGCTGATGACGGTGGTGATGATGATGCCGATGACGATGGTGATCATGATGATCATGATGATGATGAGGGGGCTGATTATGATGATGAGAGGGCTGATCATGATCATGATGATCATAAAGGGGCTTACTTCTGTTGGCTCTACTCTACTACTATCTACTTTTCCACCACTGATGGAATTAAAAGAGTCATTACTATTATTTACCGCATCTATTAAATCTTTTCCTTTTCTATAAACACCACCCATTAAATTTAATGTGGCAAAAATGTTGCTATTGTTTTTAATTAAATAATTTGAACTTAAAATACCATCTTGGATCGATTTACAATTTGGGAAATTATTAAAACCACAATCATAATGTTGATATGTTGAAGTTTGGGTATTAATAAAAACTTCACATGTTTCCTCACCACTAGTCGAAAAATTAAAAACAAATATTATTAAAAATAATAATATAAATTTAAGCATTTTGTTTTTTTATTGATATAATATTGATAGGTTATTTTTTTATTACTGTCTCCTAAAAAAAATTATTTTTTATAAAAGATGGAAAAATAAAAAAATATAATAAAATCTAAGACTGACTATATGTAAAGGGAAAAATTAATTAGTATTTATTTTTATCACATATTATATATATATACATATAATTACCTATTTGTTTGTTAGCTTGAATTTTAATTAATATTATTTTTTATTGATTTTAAATAGAGTAATTGAAAATATTATTGAATTTAAAAAAAATATAAAAAAAATATAAAAAAAATTAAAAAAAAATTTTTATTAGTTTCTGTTTAAAATTTGGTGGTAGAGAGTTTTTTTAAAAAAAATAAAGTTTTTTTTATATAGGTAGTTCAGGTTATTACCTTTTTATTTAATTCAGCATTATATATAAAAATATTATTTAATTTGAAAATTTTCTTTTGAATGATATAAACTTTTTTTTTCTAAAACTATTTTAAAAAAAATTAATTAATTTATCATCTATATCAATAAATGATCTATAAAATTTAATTAAATTGTATAGAACATTATAGTATGATTATTAAAAAAAAATTTACATTACAACCAAAAACAAATAAAATAAAAAATAAAAGTAAAAAATAAAAGTAAAAGTATATTATAAATTTTATTAAATTATTTTTATATTGGATTAAAAACTAATTAGTTTATATCAAAAAATATTTTTTGATTTCTAATTGTTTTCTATTCTTATAATGAACTGTTTGTTCTACTTGAGATTCATATAAATTATCTTGTACTATTTGAGTAAAATAAAACCATATCTAAATTGTAATTTGTATTGATATTATAAGGCATTCTTTGTTTAAAGCAATATTTAGCAGATGAATTAAATAAATTTTTTTATTTAACATTCTATATTCATCCCATCTATCCTTTTTGCCTTTGCTTTGGATCTCTTTAATTGTTTCTTTTCGGCTGACCCCTGTCTATGGACTACCTGAACTAATGATACCTGGGCTTTGCCATTAAACTCTGATAAATAATTTGTCACTAACAATTGATAACGGTAAACAATAAACGCAAACTGATATCCACAAAAGCTTTTTTGCTGTTAATGTTCTTTTGAACGGTATAATAATGACCATTTTTACTTTACCTATCTGTAATTACGAATACACTATCGCTTTCATTTTTTTTGTTGGCAAATTCATTAAATCCATTGCCATCGTTTCATGGAAATCCAAAACTTAAGGTGGATTTAACATACCATACTTGTTTTCTTTGATTGTTGACACTCCATACATGCTACAAAAGAAGCTATTTTTTTGCCACAATGTTTCCAACATTTAATCCTAATCTTGTTCAACCAATGTTCCCTGAATGAAATTCTTCTAATTCTTTTGTAATATGTTTCTTGTCTATTAAAACTAATTTATATTTTGATGTTGTTGGATCTAAAATAAACTAAAACATATACTTGTTGCTTGACTATCATTATTACCAAGAAAGTGAATACCATTAGAGTAACATTTAATTTTAGGAAAGTACCTTTTTAGATTGGATGATAATTGAAGTGAAATATAAGAGCACCAGAAAACTAATGTTTTTGAACAATCACTAAATGCTTTTTATTTTGAATAAAAAGACAAAGCATTTCTTCTCTCATTTCCAACATTTCTATATTGTAATAAAGAATTTTTTGATGATTAGCAACGTTTGCCAATATTCTAAATTGTTTTGGCTTTGTGCTTTCTCTTAGTGTTGGTGGTTCTTGATCTATATATTTGAGAGCATTCAATAAATGATAATATGCTAATTTTAACTGGCCAACGTTAAAAAGAGCTAAATCAAGTTTTCTAGTGATTGAAATAATTTTGATTGGATCCTTTCTGGAGCTAAGGAGATCGGAAATACTTGTAGATTTTCTTGCTATTATACGTGCCTACATCACTTGTGTAGATTTGTTTTTGTTGAACATTGGACTTACTAATATTCTAACTTCTTAGTTGGATATCACCACAAAACCATGAAGTTCTTAATTGTAGTCGGTTCTGTATATAAATTTTCGATAGTTTGATACTTCTATCTGAAATTATATAAAACTTTTGTTATGTGTCTTGAATAAATAATAATATCAAAAGCATTCTATCTTCTGAACCAGTAGCAAATTTGGAGCTATTAAATTGTAAAAGATCAATATCGCATAATCGACTTCCAATTTTAATACATGGAACACAGGTTTAAAGACCTTTACTAGGAAGTGGAATATCAGCTAATTGAACACCAATACCTTGATATGGAACAGCAACATATTCACGATTAACAGGCTTTAATTTTACAACCATTAGCTTTGGATTGTATAAAATTGACTCTTTTAACACTTTGAAGACCGTCAACTACTTGAACTGATTCACCAGTACGTGGAACAACTCTATTCTAAAAATCTTTAACAAATATCAAACTAATTTATCTTGACTAACAGATGCATAATATTTACAGCACTTGGATTGAAAGCAATGGATTCAACAGATTTTGATGCATACACATTTCTTGAAGCAGCTAATTGAGCACCAATACCTTGATATGGAACAGCAACATGTTCACGATTAACAGGCTTTAATTGTACAACCATTAGCTTAAATATTTGTTTAAAATTGACTCTATTAACACCTTGAAGACCATCAACTACTTGAACTGATTGACCAGTACGCGGATCAACAACTCTATACAACTAATTTCATCAAATATAAATTTTTTTCTAAGTTACAATTACCAACGGAATCTATAAAAAGACAACAACCAGCAATAAATCTAAGGACATTTGATTATAATTATTTAAATGGCTGAATATAATGTAAAAAATATCAATTAATATATAGTTTAAAAAAATAGTGAATAAATAAAATATTTAAATATTTACCTATGGAAGGGATTTTACAATTGGCATAATGAGCCGTAATGGTACTCTGAAATGTGGGATAATAAAACATAATAGTCGCTTTTAACTTTTGGTTTAATTTCGATGAAGAAACCAGTTTGGGAAGCAACTGATGAAATAATTGTAATATTGATTTTAAAGATTTCAGCTGCTGCGACTAATGTTAAATGATCACCCCATGTACCATTTTTTGACATATTGTTGCAATATTCTTCCCAACTTGAATCATAGACAAAGTCTGATAGGGTGGCACCATTGGGAAGTTTAAATCCTCCATTGATTCTAAGCCAATTAACAATTACGGTTCTAATTAAAGTACTATGGTCCAAGTCACCATAGATTTGATCAGATAGCGAATGCATCTGGCAATTTCCATCACCTGGAATTTCCCTTCTGATCATTAAACCATATAATTGTATACGTTCATTTAAACGTATCTCTGCCATTTGTGATTGGCTCAATTTATGAGGTTGAACATTTGACAAACCTCTTGAATTTACCAATGGTGTATCGATATCCATTGGAACCATCTGGTCATTAATCATTTGTGCTGCACTCTGTTTTTGTTGTTGGAGCATTTGTTGCTGTTGGGGTCTTTGTTGTTGTTGTTGTTGTTGATATAATTGTTGTTGTTGGACTCTTTGTTGTTGTTGTTGTTGCTGATATAATTGTTGTTGTTCGAGCCTTTGTACTCTTTGTTGTTGTTGTTGTTGATAGAGTTGTTGTTGATAGAGTTGTTGTTGATAGAGTTGTTGTTGATAGAGTTGTTGTTGATAGAGTTGTTGTTGATAGAGTTGTTCCTGTTGTTGTTGGTAAAGTTGCTGTTGGTAAAGTCTCTGTTGATATGCTCTATTTTTTATCTCTTCAAGTCTTTGACGTTCTTTTTCTTGCTGTTTCAAGTATTCTATATTGTCATTGGAGATACAGTATTGGCACTTTTCCTTTTTAATAGAGCATTGGCAACTGTGTTGAATGTTGGTGTTTTTTTTGAAAATGAATGGACCAAAATAATATAAAAAAATGACACCAAAACCAATAAATAGAGAAATACATATTAATAAAAATTTATCCATTTTTGTTAAAAAATAAATAATTATTTGAAATAAAATAAAATGTATATAAGTGTAAAAATAAAAAAATAAATTTTATGATTTAATGTAAAAAAAAAATTAAGCTGGATGTAAAAAAACGAGTGTGTGAATGAAAACTTTAATTTTAATAAATGAAAAAAAATTAAAAAATTAAAAAATTTTTATAAATTATAAAAAAAAAAAAAATTAATTAAAATTTAAAAAAAAAATAAAATTGTTTAATATAGACTTTATTTTATTTTTTAGTTTTATATTGAGAATTTTAATTAAATCTATATTTTGATTTGAAAAATTCATTAAATTCTCTTTTAAATGATATCCTGAATACCAAGTTAATTGTAAAAAAAAGATTTAAAAAAAAAAAAAATATTAATTAATTTCAAATATTATTTCTATTTTGGTTTAATAATTTATAAGTTTAATTCTGAATATATAATAATTACTATTTATAAAAAATATTTAGTTAATAAAAGATTGAGAATTTATTTTTAATTTACTTTTTAGTTTTAATTTTATTTATTTTTGAACTTTAATCCCACCATTATTAAAAAAAATTTGTATGTATTATGAATAGTTTTATTTTTTTATTAATATTAATAATCTATCTATAGTTTAATTAGTTTTCCTTTATATATTTATAAACAAAAATATTTATTACATATTTTTTTTAAATAAAAAATAAATAAAAAAATAGTTTAAATTATATAAATAAAACCTAGAGAACATTATCAGAATAATAAGTTTTATTCACACATTTTATTATAAAAGAAATATTACAATCAATAATTGGATATTATTATTTTGAAATATATTAAAAATACCCGTTTTTAATAATTACAATAATTTTTTAAATTTTTTCACCCATTTTCCACTTCATACTATTTATTTCTCTCATTTATAAATTAATAAAAAAACAAATTTTTCCCATTCAAATAATAAACATCAATCACAAAATATTTATTATTTATTTTTTAAATAATAAAAAAAAATATTTTTTATATTTTTTTATTATATTAATTAAATTATATTTTTTTATTCTTTTAAATTTACACCTTTCAGTTCAATAATGTTTAAAATACTTAATTTTTCAGTTATATATATTTTTAAAAATTTATCAATTTATTTTATTTGTTTATTGGTTGATTGAAAATTATTCTTTTTGTTGTTTGAATTAGTATTAAATGAAAACCTTCTTTAGGAGTTTACCAGTTAGTCTATTCAATTCTTTTAATCTTTACATATATCAACTGTGGCATGAGTGGCACAAGTGGCTGGAGTATCTCTTGTGGGCTACTTTTTAAAACTTCTATATTTTTCATACCAATCATTTTGTCCAATAATCTCTTTTAATTTCTAACCCGATTGGAGGTAAGCTTGTGTTGCTTTTAATGGTTCATTCAAATAATCTCCACCTTTAATAAGTTTTTTTTTAATAGTTTTATTTTTTAATATTATTATTTGTTTCTGTTATTTTGAAATTATAAAGAATGATTGGAAAAAAAAAAAAAAAAAAAAAAAAATTTTGAAAAAAATTTTAAAAAAAAAAATTAAATTAAAACCCCACCACACCCTAATTTTCTTTTTATTATAAAAAAATTAATTAAAAAATAGCAAGAACTGTTTAATAAACAAATTTTTGTCTTTTTTTATAAATAAACCGAGAAGGGGTGGAATTTTAAAAATTCCATCAAAATAGCGCATGTGGTCTAGTGGTATGATGCATCCCTGCCACGGATGCGAACTGGGTTCGATTCCCAGCATGCGCAAAATTTTTTTTTAACAGAAAATTATTATCTTCCCGGAGAAGACATTACAACTGTAATGTATTATCATGTAATGTATTCATATGCATTTTAGAATTAAATGAATATTACAGTGATAATTATATCTCAACTAAATAATATATATATATTTTCCTTTATTTTAAATAATTTATTATTTAAAATTAAAAATTAAAAATAAAATAAAAATAAAAAAATTGAAAAATTTAAAAAATAAAATTTTATTTTTTAGTTTTCAGTTTTCGGTTTTAGTTTTCACAAACAAATAATTGTATACTTATTTGATTATTAGAATTATTTATATTTATTATTTATCTATAACTAAAGTAGCTCCATCTACATTACAATCATCAAAATGGCCTCAATTGGTCACTGGACATAACAAGATCAAGAAGGAATATATCAATAAAAAATATTACATACAAAATCCCAGAAGGTCGCAAATCAGATGGAAAAATAAATATGGATTACAACAACACCAGATTTCACAAATCACACTTCCAATGGAACTATAAAGCAATAGATTTCGACTTAACTAGATGTTTTGCTTACAGAAATGCCATAGCCCTGGTATTTCATCAAGTTTGGATTTGGTTATGTAAAGAATTATATGACGATCAAGAAAATACAATAAAAGAACTCGATTATAAGAATCTAACCTCAAAATGGACTAAACTAGCTACTTTAGAATACTTAAAAGGTTTAAAAAACATCAAGGAAAGACACGCTAAACAACCACAAACAATTAGCAACATCAATGAAGAATATAGAAAATTCAAAAGAAGAATAGCAAGAGCATACTTCATCAGCACCAAATCTTTACCAAATATCAACAGTTTAGAATATTTTCTTTAAAAACTTTATAAAAAAACATTAAATAAATTTTACTGATTAATTTAAAGCATTTGCTTTTAATTATCTTCACTTTTAAAAAAAAAAAAAAAAAAAAAAAATCAAAATTCAATTGATTAATTAATTATAACTTAAACAGTCATTTAATCAAACAATTATAATAATTAATAATTTTAAAAATTAAAAATAATTTAATTTAATTTAAAAAAATAAAAAAAAAATTAAATTATAAAAGTAAAAACTATAATAAAAAAAAAAACAAAAATTAAAACAAAATTTAGATTAGAGTTGTTAACAAAAAAAACATTTTCTACTTTTATTTATAATTTTAATTTAAAATATTAATTTAATATTGTCTTTATGTTCAATGATATTGTTATTATGACCAGTAACCAAAATCCTAAAATCGCAATATTTAATTAATGATTTTAATAAATTTAATAGATTTAAATCAATCAAATCATTATTTAATTTAAAAAAACAATTTAAATTTTCAAATAAACAAATAATTTGTTGAAATGAAAATATTTTTAAATTATTTTCATAATAATCAAAACCATAGTCAAAATTTTGATTTGTAATTATTTTAATATTTTTTAATAATGAATTTAATTTTTCATTTGAAAAAATTGATTTTGAAAAATAATTAAAGATTGTTTGCATAAATAAAGTTTTTTTAAAATCCCAATCAACATCATTTAAATTTAAAATAAAATTTAAAAGTTTAAACGATTTATATCTGGAAATTTTGTTTGAGATTAATAGTATATTTTCTTTAATAATTGGTAAAAATTTTTCAAAAATTAAAGCTATTTTACCGAAAGCGTTATTTGGTTGATTAATAATAAAATATTGGCATAAATTACTGATGAGAGACTTTTTAAAAAGTTCTGTATCTATAATATGTAAACCATTTAGATCTATACCTTTTAATAGAGAATAGTTTGATTTATACAACAGATCCTTTAAAAGATGAAGTGAAAAAGCGCCATTATTTATAGATATATCACCAAATAGTTGTAAATGTTGTTCAAATAATAACCTATCTTGGTGTAATAAGAATTCTGCTCCAGTAACTTGAATACCAGTAACTTTTTGATAAAAATGTATATATTTACAACATGATAAAACATCTAAATCTGGGCATAATCTTTTGATTAAACCTTGAGAAACACTTTGAGTGGTAAGCCTCTCTTTATAATTCTTTATAAGCAATTGAAAAATTGAAAACTCCAACTTCCTTCTAAAAAGGTTTGGATGGACTTTATCCAAGAACAGTTCTTTAAAAACCTTTATTAAATATTGAAGTGTTTCTGTATAACCATATTGTATTGCACTACTAAATAATTCTCCATAATTTATATTTATTTTATTTTTTTTATAAAGCTTTAAAGTTTCTACATCACCAAAAAATGCATTGTGAAATCTACTGTCTGTTGGTTTAAAATTACAAACTAATAAATGGTGTGCAATTGGAAACTTTGTATCAAAACAAATCTCTGGAATTTGAAAATTTTTTACTATTGTTGATTGTGACGAAACAAACTCTAAAAGAAATTTTAAATAATCTTGATCAAACAATGTTCTTGCAATATAAACAATGGTTCTGTATAGGTATTCATTTAATTTTTTGATTTTAAAAATTATTTTCTTTTCAACTAAATATTTAAAAGTGTCAAAATTTGTTATACTGCATAAACTTGACTCGATTTTTAATATCTCTCCTTCATTAAAATAATCAATTTTTATATTTGTATATAAACTACCTTCATTGAAAGTATTATTGTAAATACCATTATCCCAAAAATATTTTAAAACATTGAAATTTACAATTTGATCTCTAAAAGTTAATTTGAAACTATCTCTATTTATTACTAAATTGTTTTTAAGTTCTTGAATTACTTCTGAAATTTTGAAGTCATCATTAGTAAATGCTTTTCTAATTACTAATTTTTCATAATTTTCCTTTTTCTTTTGAAGTGTGGTTTTTTAAAAAAAAATTTATACAATTATATTGATTAAGATTCAATATAACCTGAAATATATCGTTCTTTAGCTTTGGGTCAAGAGGTTGCGAAAGCTTTAATAGTTCCTTTAATATATCAACTGAATCATTAATATACAAACTATTTAAAAAGGTGTAGATTTTAAAAACACTATATTCAGGCTTTGATAGGTATATAATATTATCGGATGGTTTCTCTTCTTGTTTTCCTTCTTTATTATTTTGTATTTCTGGGTTTTGTTCATTATAAAATTTTAAAAAATTATAAATTTTAATATTACCCGATGGCAAAGACCAATACAAAACATGATCTTTATTTTTTAAAAACACTGGTGTAAATTCATTAAAAAATAATGAAAATCTTTCAAACCCCAAATCTTTATAGGCCAGCAATTGTTCAAGATCCTCTCTATTTAATTCAATTTGACAATACCAATATTTATTTGTGTTATATTTTGAAATATTAAAATAAAAATTAACAATATCATCAAATAATCGATACTGTTTGGTTTTTAATACCCTTTCAATAGTTGCATCTTGATAACCATATGAATTTATAATTTGATCATATTGATCATAATTATCTTCCCAATTTTCAAATTTTACAAATGAAAATATTTTTTTAGAAATTATAATATTACCAAATATTTTTTTATAAAAAAAATAATTTGTATCCATTATTTATTTATTTATTTATTTATTTATTTATTTATTTATTTATTTATTTATTTATTTATTTATTTATTTATTTATTTATTTATTTATTTATTTTTTAAATTATTTATATAAAATATAATAAAATTAAATTAATTAAAATAAAAATTAAAAATAAAAATTTTTTAGAAAAAAATTTTTGAGAAAAAAAAAAAAATTTTAAAGGAATAAATAATTTTTATTTTTAGTTTTTAATAAAGCATAGTTTTTTTAGAAATAATAGTAACAGTTTTCGTTAAAGAAACTCATTGTTACCAATTTTGATGAAGCAATATTATTTTTTTCAAAAGTAAATGGAGAGCCTATTGTACTATTATTTGAATTTAAATAATTTGATTTGCTTTTATTTGAATAAATATTTTTTAAAGAGTCTAAAAAAAAAAAAAAAAAAAAATTAGTATTTATATAATAAATTTTATTTACATTATACAACTTACCAAGAATCATTTTATATTATTTTTATGTTTGTTATTTGTTATTTGTTTTATTGAATTTTAAAAAAATATTTTTTTTTATTTATATTTTTTAATTTAAAGTGAAAAATAAAATAATTATATTAAAATAAAATCTGATTAAATAGCATTAACAAAATTATATTTATTTAAATAATTAGTTATAAAATAGTTGAAGAGAGATAATAAGATGGTGTTCTTTAAATTAGGATTTAAATCTCGCACACAACCTATTGTTATTTTTTTTTTTTAAAATAATTATTTATAGATTTCAAAAAAAATAAAATAAAAAAGTATGTGTTGTGTGGTAATTTTCTTTAACAATCATTTTGAATTATTATAGATTATCTATATTTATATAAGTTGATGTATAAACAAATTAATTATTTTAGCATTGCACCATATTAATATAGTTATAATAAAAAAAAATAATAAAAACGATTTAAAAAATTTTTATGATTTTGTTTAATTTGAAAGAAAGAAATTTTATTTAAATTTTTTAGAAAATCAATTTGAAAAAAAAGAGATAGAATTAGAAATGACTCTGTAATAATAAAAGAAAGATTATATATTAGTATATGTGGTTAAATAATTATTTTATTTAAAAATAAATATTTATTTTATATAAAAGTTTGTTCAGTGAAAATATTAGATAACGCAAAAAAATCGTGTTTTGTTTTCAAATAAGTTCAAAAGTGTCCGATACTCATCATAGAAAACTTTTATATAATATTAATATTTCGATAGTTTAAATGATATTTACCAATTAAAATAAAGTATAGAAGATGCCATTTGGAAATCTAGCGGATCAAAGAATGATGCGAACTATTAAAAAGAAAAAAAAGAAAATTATATTAGTAAATTATTTAAAAATATTTATACAATTGTAAAAATATAATAAATGTTTTAGATTTTGTCAGAAGACTGTCGTGAGAAAACTATTGAGTAATCACAGAGATCATAGAGCTGAGTATAGATTTACTTCCATCATAAAAATCAAATACATTTATTTTTATTTTTTTATTATTATTTATAATTACCTTTTTTTTTTTTTTTGGCGCGATCCTGGCAGAAAGAGGGGATAGAAAAGAAACTCAAGTAGCACTCATATTTTTAATAGCAAAAATATGTAAATAAAACCCTATTTTAATTTAAAAAAAATATATTAATATTTTGTTTCGAATTTGAAATAATATATTATATGTATATTATTTATTTATTTTTTGTCAGAAGACTGTCGTGAGAAAACTATTGAGTAATCACAGAGATCATAGAGCTGAGTATAGATTTACTTCCATCATAAAAAAATAAATAAATAATATTCATATAAAAAAAATATTTGTTGATGCTTACTTTTACATGTTTTCGTTAATAAAAAAAAAAAAGAAAAAAAAAATTTATTTAACTTTTTTTTTTTTTACGAAAAATAAAAAAAAAAAAATAAAAAAGAAAAAAAATTAGAATTTTTTTTTTTAAAAAAACTAAAACGTTATTTCATATGAATTCGTTGACAATAAAATATAAAAAATATATTTTATGCATTATAATTTATAATTTATTATTAATTAATAAATTTTTTTAAAATTAATGAGGGATCGATAGATGCACCTGGTTGCAAAAAGTTACGACGGTAATATTCACCTTTTTCTCTATTTAGTTGATCGCCATGGCTGAAATGATTAAACCAAATACGTTTGCTATAGTCTTTGGCCAAAAGATAGCTATAATAGGAGGCACCATAGTAAAATAGATGATTAAATGAGGTTAAAAATAGATTTGTAACAGAACCTTGAATACCAATGTTTTGTTGTTGTATTTTACTTAATATTTGGGCAGGTGATATGTTTGAAGGATTACTATCGGTGGTATGGAGACTAAGATCTAATAAAGCTAAAGCGATTTGGTCTTGAGTTTCTAAACCCTCAAATAGGGTCCTGGTTTTTCTGAGATTTGTAATCATTTCATTTGAAATTGGTTTACCAGCAGGATTAATAGCAAATTGCTCGAGTAAATTTGAATTCCAAGGTAGATTTTCCATTAGGGTACTTGGTATTTCAATGAAATCGGTTGGGCCTCTAGTACCACATAAATGTTGGAAATTAGAACGACTAAGTAAAGTGTGTAAGGTGTGACCAAACTCGTGGAATAAAACTTCGACATCACAGTGTGGTAATTTTGAGTTTAATGGGTTTTTAAAATCGTTTTGAATGAATGAACATGTAATTGAACACTTTGGTACATTATATTCGTTGATATCTAAATAGTTGGAGTTTGGTTTTACATCGTCATTATTCTTGAATAGTTTTGAATGTCTTTTATAACCTAAACTGAGTGGATGATTAATACAACCTGGTGATTTTTCGTGATTCTCCCATGGATCTAGATAGAGTATACCCAAGATTCCTTCATCTTTTTTTGATAGTACTAATTTTAATACAGATGGATCCCAAGATTCACCTGGTTCCATTGGAACAATTGTTAACTCTGCACCAAATAAATTGTTTACGATAATATTGAAGCCGTTTATTACATTACCCAAAGAAAAATATTGCGATAGTTCTTCTTTATCCAAAGATTGGCTTTGATAAAAATCTTTGGTCAACAAATTCTTATAAAATGCTAAATCATATGTATATATTAGATTGTTATTTTCATTTTCTGGTTCCATTTTTTTTTTTAATTCGATAAGTTGATTTAATTCTAAATTTGATTTTAATTTATTTGCGTCCGATAGTTCCTATAGTATAAAATAATAATGTTAATAAAAATTTACCAATATATGATGGATAGGATAATCATTATTGTTATATGATCATTACATTTAAGTACTGGTAAACTTGTTGCGGTGTTTTTAATAGTTTGTTTTTTAATTCGTAATCGGCAAAAGTATTGCAACCTAAAGTTTTGGCTAATTGGTAACGCTTTTCCAACATTGCAGTAAGGTGATCAATTACAGGATCATAAGATTTTGACATTGATTGTAATGAATGGGCAGCTGATCTTATCTTTGGATCCGGTACATATTTTAATATACCATCAACTAAATAATCTGTTGGTACAAATGGTACAAAGCCATTGGGCTTTTGTGGTGAGAGTTGTGATAGATAACTTGTTGGTAAATGGTCCTTAATCTTGCTGTAAGGAATATCAATTACAAAATTTGGTGGATATTTATGTACTGTTTTTGAGGACCTCACAAATTCGTTTCCATGGTATAAAATTTCGTCTTTTAATCGCATGATATCTTCTTTTCTATGTGGTAATAGGTTGATACCATTGGTTTCAGATTCTTTAATCATTTCATTTAAAAATAGTTTATGGTCATTTGGAAGTTGGGAGTATTCTGGATGAGATCTAATTGATAGTAACAGTTCGTAAATTTGGCTATTTGCATTGAGTTGGTTAACAGTTTCCGCCATTAGTAAAAACGCCTCTTGTGATTTCTTTTTATGTTGTGGGTTTGGCACTATATTCATTGTAAATTGAGCAGGATCCATCAAATCGCATAGCTGTTGTGATATTTCGTCAACATAATAAAGTGTTTCTTTTAAGTGGTTTACATTAGATTTTATACTAATTTTATTTGGTAGGATCATTTCTTTAATCTCTTGAATTCTTTCATTCTTTTTTTCGAATAGTTCTATCCAACCATTTGGTGTTTTTAATTCTTTAATACCTAATAGACCTACAGATGATGATGATGACGATGATGAGTTGCTATTCCCATTGTTTTTATTGAAAATAAATCTTTTAATATAATTTAATTTATTTATTTCATTTTTGTTATATTTAAATAAATTAAACATATTTAGTTATTATTTATTTATAACAAAACAAATAAATAAACAATAAAAAAAAACAATAAAAAAATAAAATGTGTGGTTATAAAACCAAATATATTAATAATATAAATATAATATATTTGAACAATGATTTTATGAAAATAAAAATTAAAAAAAAAATATTTTAAATTTAAAAAAAAAAAAAAAAAAAATTAATTTAATTTTAATTTTTTTTATTTATTTATTTTTATTTTTTTTTTATTTGTATAATATATAATAATAATTACATTTTATAATAATGGCTCATAAATCAATAAGTTTAAAGCCAATGTTTTCCAATTTAGCTGGTAAAAATCATAAATAAAATATCAATATCCGAATTTGAGGAATATTATTGCAACCCAAAGAGGAGCCTAATAACATCTTCAAAAATTTAATCTTCAGTGCTCCATTAAAAATAAATAAACAAATAAATAAATAAATAAATAAAATAAACTTTAACGAAATAAAAATTAAATAATATGATTATTGATATTATAATATGTATGTTAATACATAATATTTATTTTTAAGATTATTAAATGCTTACTTTTACTATTTCTCTTAAAATATCCATCAAAAAAAAAATTAATCTCAATAGTATCCCATCATCAGCTTAGAAATATTATATAAATCATTTATTCAATATTAAATGGTTATAATTTCAAATAAATAAAAAAATTCTTCGTCATTAGAATTAACTATTCCCTTATAAAAAATTCTTTTAAATAATTTTATTTTAGATATCTTTAGAGTTAGCTCCATAGAATAGCGGCATTTAAATTAATTAAAAAAAAAAAAAAAAATTTTATATAAAATGAGTGTGTTTTTATCGCACCACTTTAAAATATTTTTTTTTTTTATTTTTTTATTTTTTAATTAATATAAATGAATAAAGTGTGATCAAAACCATTCGTTTTTTTTATATAAAACAAAAAGGAAAAAAAAAAAAAAAAAAAAAAAAAAAAATGAAATTTAATTTTTTTTTTAAAATTTTTTTTTTTTTAATTTTTTTTTTTTGATAAATACAACATAATTATCTGTTATTTTTAAATATTAAAACATAAAATAATTATCTATTATTTTTATTTTTAATTTTGACCAATAAAATATAAATTTATTTCTTTTTTTCATTTTTTTTTAAAAATTAAAATTAAAATTTTAAAATTTTAAATTAAAATTAAAATTGTATATTTTATACAAAATTATAATATTAAATTAAAAAAAACAATAATATAATATAAATAACAACAATAAAAAAATAAAAAATAAATAGAAATAATAATAAAAAATAATGGCAGCTACAAATAATGATTCCGCATTTTCAGTAAGAAATTTCATCAGATGCGGTATGGGTGGTGCATTGGGATGTTGTTTTACACATGTTATTGTTGTACCAATGGATGTTGTTAAAACACGTTTGCAAACTGATCCAATAAAATATAATAAAGGTATGGTCGATGGTATGAAAACTATCATTCGTGAAGAGGGTTCAATGATGTTATTACAAGGTTTAGGTGCAACAACAGTCGGATATGCAGTACAAGGTTTCTTTAAATTTGGATTATATGAAGTTTTTAAAAAGAAAATTTCAGCTCAATTCTCTGAAGAGGATGCTAAAGCTTATCGTATTCCAATTTGGGTAACTGCATCAGCAATCGCTGAAACTGTAGGTGATGTTGCATTATGTCCATTCGAAGCTGTTCGTATTCGTCAAGTCAGTGATCCAAAGTTTGCCAGTGGCTTCTTTACTGCATTCACTAGACTCTATCGTGAAGAAGGTTTCAAAGGTTTCTATAAAGGTTTAACACCAATCATTTTAAAACAAGTCCCATACACTGCCTCACAATTTGTAACTTATGAGTTGGCCAACGACTACTTTAATAAATACCTCTATCGTACCAGAGGTCTCACTAGAAACGACTTATCCGATACCCAAAAATTAGGTGTCATCTTGGGTACTGGTGCTATCTCTGGTGTTGTCGCCTCAGTTGCATCCCATCCAGCCGATACTATTCTCTCTAAAATCAACCAAGAAAAAACCGATGGCGGCGTCACAAAAGCCATTGGCAACATTGTCAAACGTTTGGGTGTACGTGGTTTATTCCTCGGTGTTGAAGCCCGTTGTGTAATGGTTACAACTTTGGTAACAGTACAATTTTTAATTTATGATGGTATTAAATTAATTTTTAAATAATAATAATAAATAAATAAACAAGCAAACAAAATAAAAAAAGGTCATAATAGTTAAATACTTTTAAATTAAAAGTGTAATAATAATCGAAAAATAGTTTTTTTTTTTTTTTATAAGTTATTTTTTTAATTTTCTTTATTTTATTTTTTATAGTCTATTTTAATCTTTTTCTTTCTGATACCAAAGTGTTTATTTTTTTTTATTATTATTTATAACCTAAATTATTTAAATGATTTCTAAATATCTTTCTAATTCCCATTTATGAACTTGGTGATTGAATTGTCTATATTCCCATCTTCTAGTTTCAACGAAATGATCAATGAAATCATCACCAAGATATTCTCTTGCTACACTTGATTTTGAAAGCAATTCAGTAGACTCTGCAAGAGATCTTGGTAGTCTGGTTACCATACCTTTTTTATACAAATCATATGAATTACCGACAATTGGTGGTGTCTTTAATTCCAATTTATTGATTACACCATATAAGCCGGCAGCAAATGATGCTGCAATAGCAATATATGGATTAACATCAGATCCAGTTACTCTAAACTCTGATCTTGTTGCTTTTCCACCTTTAATGATTCTAATTGCTACTGTTCTATTATCCTATTATGTGTTAAATTTATTAATACAAATATTTCAATTTATAGTTTAAATTAATTTTATAAAAATACTTACATATCCCCAGGTTGGTGTGGTTGGTGCCCAATAACCATCAACCAATCTTTTATAGCTATTAATAGTTGGTGCAAAGAATGGTAAAAACTCTGGTAACAATAATAATTGACCTGCTAAAAATGATTTGAAAATTTCTGTCATTCCATGCTCTCCTTTAGGATCTTCCGGGTTGTAAAAAAGATTTTTGTTGGTCTTTATACAATTTAAATTTTGATGCATATGGCCTGAGCAACCTGGTAAGTGTTGGAATGGTTTGGCCATAAAACTTGCTAATATACCTTGAAGTGATGCGATTTCCTTGGTTGAGTGTTTGAAGAGAATGGCACGATCTGCAGATTCTAAAGCTGTGGAGAAACGAATTGCTGCTTCATAAACACCTGGGCCTGTCTCTGTATGTAATCCTTCTAATGGAACACCAAAACCTTGAAGTTCGGCCAATGAGTTCATAAATTCAGAGTTTTGACTAGTTCTAAGTAAACTATAACCAAACATACCATTTGAAAGTGGCTCTAGATTATTAAACCTTTTCTCGATTAATGTCTTATTGTTTTCACTATAATTGTACCATTCGAATTCCATGCCCATTACTGGGTCATATCCATTATCTCTGCATTTCTTGATTACCTTTTTCAATAATTGACGTGGACATACTGGAAGTGGTGAGCCATCATTATTTACAAAATCCATTAAAAAGAAAGGTACATTATATTCCCATGGTATAATACGGAAGGTAGAAACATCTGGAACTGCGCCAATATCAGGATATCCGGTGTGATTGCCTGTAAACTTAACATTGTCGTATGCTACATCACCTGAATCCCAACCAAAAATAACACTACAAAACCCTAAACCCTTTTCAATGGATGATTCGAATTTACTCTTGTCTAAATATTTGCCACGAAGAATACCATCAATATCTGAACCTGCAACCTTGACGAATGGAGATTTTGATATTTTAATTTGATTTAATATTAAATCCTCTGGTGTCATTAATTTATCTTTCGAAGAATAACTTCTAATAAAATTATTATTTATAATTCTATTGATATTATGATTATTTTTATACATTAATTTTGAAATATTCATTTTGATATTAACTGATAATAATTATTAATTATATAAAAAGATTTGAAATTAAAAAATATTATTAAATTAAAAAAATAATTAAAAAAAAAAAAAAAAAAAAAAAGAAATAAAGAAAAAAGAAATAAATTAAAAGAAGGGTGATTATAAAAAAAAAGTGGGGTTCGACTTAACAATTAAAACAATTTTAATAGTTAACACACTTCAAATGGTTGAAAAAAACTAAAATTATATAAATAATAAAAAAAAAAGAGATAAAAAATTTATAAAATACAAATTATTTTAAAACTGGTGTGATTACAATAGAAAGAAAAAGAAAAATATATTAATATCAGAAAAAAAAAAAAAAAAAAAGGGAAAAATTAAATTAATTTTTTTTTATTATAAAATTTAATTTATTTTTTTTTCAAATTACAAATAAATCTTTTTTTTTTTATTTTTTTTTTTTTTATTTTTTTTTTTTAAAATGGGTTGTTGTTTAATCTTATTTTAGCTTTTGGTAATCAAGAGTTTTTAAATTGTTTAAATTGAATATATTAAAATGTGATGTTCATTATTATAAATAAAAAAAATAAAAAAAAAATAAAAAAAAATATTAATAATAATAATAATAATATTAATAATAAATTAAGTTACTGTTTAATTATATTTTTTTTTAATTTTTATTTTTATTTTGCTTATATATTAATTTTTAATCTGATTCAAAGGATTTATTTTTAAGTTTTTTGAAAACAAAAAAAAAATTAAAAAACTTAAAATAAAAAAAAAATTAAAAAAAAAAAAAAAAAAAAAAAAATTAAAAAATTTTTTAAGTTTTTGTCTTTTTTTTTTAAATAAATAAATATACACACACAAATTATTTTGAAAAGAATAAATATTGAAAGAAATTTTAATTAGAAATTTTAATTAGAAATAAACTTAACCTTAACTTGTTTTTTTTATAAAATTTTCAAAATTAGAAATAATTAAAATAATATACAAGAATATTAATATTATTAAACGCAAACAATGAATTTTATAAACGATTTTCATGAAATAGAACGAACATCTCACGAGGAAATAATAATGTTAATGACTGACGTTGTCGAAACCTCCAACTATGTTATTGAAACAAGTAACAGAAACTATCAACAATTTAATAACAAAATGAATATATTCACAAAATCTGTCAATAACATAATTACCGATAGTTCTCAATATAAAACACAAAAGTAAGTATTTAAATAAAATATTTCGGTATATAAATTAATCTCAACATTAAGCTCACATATTATATTTTTTTCCCTGAAAACTAAAAAAATAAAAAAATCTTTTTTTTTTTATTTTTTTTTTTTTTTAATTTTTTTAAGGATATATAAAAAAGAAAAAAATTCAACAACAATGCCAAAAAAAAGCTACCTGGGCGAAATATTTTTAAAAGTTTGGAGAAACCATTTCCTTAAATACAGAATATTTTTTTGGTTATCATACAACAGATATATGAATGAGTTTTCTTATAACCAAATTCACAACCCAAACTGGATGATTAGAAATAATCACTACTTTTTGTTGCATGACAAGTTGAAAAATAGTTCAAATAACGACTGGGTACTTCATATGAAGCTATTAAATTTAATGGATCCCTTCGTTATTAGAGAAATTGCAAAAGAACCAAGCCAAAGACCATTCTTGGTATATCTTTTAAACAAATGCCAAAGAAACATATTAATGGTACCCGACATAATAGACGCTGTAGCTGAAGGAGGTCATTTAGAAGAGCTAAAAACAATTCACAATTGGGAAGTATGCTTGAAATGGGGTAACTGGAGAACCACAACCAAAGCTGTTGACTCTGCTTCGGAAAAAGGCCACTTTGAAGTTGTGCAATTCCTTTTGGAGAATAGAACTGAAGGTTTCACTGAAAAAGCACCAATAGCCACCTCAAGAATAGGAAATTTAAAAATTTTACAATTATTATCAAGCTACGGCACCATACCTTACCACAAATGTGTAGAAGAGGCTGCAACCTATGGCCATTTAAATATTATGGTATTTATATTTTATAAAAACATTGGTTTGATGTCACAAATTGATATCGACCCAGAAACTGTCTTGATGAATAGGGACATGGGATTTTTCGATCTTGATAAATTTGAAAAAAAATACAAAAAACCATCCACTAATATTGAGGACGAAAATAAATTAAAAATAACACGCCAATTAGAAAACTTTTCAAAAGAAGAATTAATAGATTATGTTATGAATAATAATAATAATAATAATGATAATAATAACAATAATAATAATAATAATAACAATAATAATAATAATAATAATAATAATAATAATAAAAATAAAATTAGTAGATATAGTAGAACCCCCAAAACAACCGCAGCCTCATCATCATCATCATCATCATCCTCTTCATCCTCTTCATCCACAACACCCAATACTAGTTCACAACAAAAAATCACCCAACAACAAGAAACTTTAGACAGAATCAATGAATATTTAAAATCAAAACAGACAATATCAAAAAAAAATAAAAATAATATATTTTTAGATCAGAAAGTACCAGATATTGAATTATCAACAGCAAATGCAATTAACAACGCATTGGTAAATGGCCATATAGACTGTGTTATATTTTTAGAAGAGTTTTTTAATCAACCATTCGAACTAACAGACGATTTACTTACCGACATTGCAATGAGAGGCAACTTATTAATATTACAGTATCTAAAAGAACATGGTGCTGATATGTCAAGAACATTTGATCCATTATGCTACTCAAATAACTTCAATACAGTCCAGAAGATATTGGAACATCACAGAGATCAATTTTTTATCTCAACGAAATGTTTTGAATATGCCGCAAAAGGTAATCAAACTCTTATATTTATTCTGTTAAATCACTCATTGGTAGAACAAACCAAATATTTTAAACAATCAGAACTAATTTTCATGGAGGCAATGGATGTAGCTGCTAAACTTGGTAATGTTAAATTGTTGTCTTTCCTCCACGCATACTTTAGAGGTGTCACAAACTTTGCAATTTTAAATGCTGTCGAATCTGGTTGTATGGAAACATTGAAATGGGTACACAAATATCGTTTAGAACCAATTACATCACTATCATTAAATAGAGCCTTTGTTCTAAGAGATTTAGAAATGGCTAAATACCTCTTTAAAAATTCAAAATGTCAAATAAACCCATCACTCAGAACCTGGGTCAAAGTTAAAGGTAATTCAAAGCTTGAAAAGCTTTCACAACTCATATGCTTCCACAACAAGATGACTGTTGAAGTAGCACGTCCAGTATTTGTAGCATCACATGGTGTATATAGTGAAAAGTTTAACTCTGCTCTTTATAACAATAACTTTAAAACTCTCCATACATATCAACTAAATAGCGCAACTAAATTCTCAATTGATCCAACTGTTAAATTCCGTGAAGATTTAATGGGTGATCCACTCTACTGCCCAAACTTGCTATGGAAAATCACACCAGATATCTTTTATATGAATTTGTCCATGAAATCAATTGTCATTATTGATATTTATCCAATTCATCAATGCGAAACAATCGAAGAAACACACAGAAAAATAGAAAAAAAAGAAAAAAAACTTCAAGAGAAATATAAAGAATTTGTTCACTATTTAACAACAGTCCTTGAAGATTATTCTGCCGTATTTGTACCAATGGTAATGGTTTATTCACCAACAGCTCCAATGATGCCTTCAAATGAATTTAAGTCCTTAATATCAAAAACCCATTTACGAGACCCATTGGATCCACTTAAAATCAAAGCCTCTTTAGAAAAAGTTTATGGTGAGATAAAATCTGAATTACCAGATCCAAATTTCGATACAGATATAGAAAAAAATAACACCAAATTATTAATGGCACCAACTAAAATCGAAAATTATAATTACCAAGAAAACTCGATTGTTTCAGCCAAAGAAAATAATAATACTTTTGAAATAGAATTTCAATCTAGATTATCTGTGAACAAAATGGTTATAGGCAAAGATATAGAATGTGATTGTAAGGAATTTAAAAAGAAAGAAATTTGTCATCACATCACTTCACTTTTCAGCAAATTAAATATAGAATTTAATCAAATATCATCAATAGATAAAATTAAAGAACATTTCAAAAATAAAATTAACAATAAATAAAAAACTATTTTTAAAAATTTTTATAAAAAAAAAAAAAAAAAAAAATTTTAAACCCAAAATTAAGTTTTTTTAAAAAAAATTGGATTTTAAAAAATAAAAATGAATTTTAACTTTATATTTTGCTGAACTATAATCCTTTATATAAAAAATAAAATAATAAAATCTTTAAATTGATGTATTGTTGTTTTTTTAAAGTTTTTATTTAAAAATGCCTTAAGAAATTTAATCGAATAAACCCATACCCTATAATAATAAAAAAATTGTGTTAGTTTGGTGATAACTTTGTATATGTGTAGAATACAGATAATTACCATATCGTCATCGGATTCTTCTTTCTTTTCTTCTTTCTTTTCTTCTTTTTTGGCAGCTGGGGCGGCGGCAGCAGCGGCTGGAGCAGCAGCTGGGGCAGCTGAAGCTGAAACAGTTAATAATGATTCAACTGATTTTTTGCTTAAAGTTGAAGCGTAGATATCACCTAAGTATTGTGGAACAGTGATACCAGCAGCTTTGGCTAAGGCAATGATGGATGAGGCATCAATATCTTTCTAACAAAAAATTAATATCAATGGATTGATGTGGATAAATGATAGATAAATATATAAATACATACCTTAGCGTCAGATAAGATGAGGACAGCGTAATCACATGCTAATGAGGCGGACATTTTATATGATGGTTTGTGGACCTAACAAAATCTATGTGTTTTGAAAGTTGTAAAAATTTAATCCAATTCAAAAAAAAAATTTTCGCACTCTCATAATAAAAATTTTTTTAAAAATTTAAAAATTTTTTTTTTTATTTTTCAATTTTTTTTTTTCTGAACGTTGGCATTATAAATGGTTAATAAGATATATATACAGAGGAAAAAAAAATATTTTCATATTTGAATTATTATTATTTATTTAATGAATATAATTTGTAGATATTTATAACATTAATGGAAATTTTATTACATTAATTATTTTTTTTTTATTTTATAACCTCCCTCACCCATTTTTTTATTTTTTTTATTTTTTTTTATATTTTTTTTTTAATTTTTATTTGTTTTAAAATATTTGTATTTATTTCTTTTTATACAATTAATGAAGATTATAATGTAGCTTAAATGTCTATTTTATTTATGTTTTTAAAAAAAATCATTAGAATTTCATTGTATTTTATCTATAAGGAAACGATTTTTTTTTCGTTTTTTTTTAATTTTTAATTTTTTTTTTAATTTTTTTTAATTTTTTTCATTTTTTTTTGAATTGAAAATAATAATATAATATTATATAATAACTATATAATAATAACTAATTAACTAATAACAGTCATAGTTTTTTTTTCTTTTGTAGTGTATATGTTATTTTGTTAATTAGTTTATTTTTTTTTTTAATATAAAAAAAAAAAAAAAAAAAAGAAAAAGAAAAATGATTAGCAGAATAACATTCAATAATTATAAAAAAATTAGTAATAATATTAAATTGATTAGTATTAGTAATAATAATAATATTCAAATTCCATCTACTTATCATAATTCAAATTCTAAAACCAAACCAACTAAAGAGTTTTTAGAATATTATAATATTTTAAATAATGATGATTGCTCAACTAATATTAATAATAGATATTATTCAACAAGTAAAACAGAATCCATTTTAAAATTACTTAAAAAGATAATTGGTGGTCACTTTAAAACTATAGATAATAGTAATAGTAATAATAGTAATAGTAATAATAGTAATAATAAATCACCAGAAACCATTGATGAAGAGTTAATTGAAAAAACAAAAGCAATAGCATATAGGTAAATATTCAAGTTATATTTAAATTATATAGGCTATATAATTTAATATTAACATTTGTAATTTATAGAATTTTTTATTCAACAGATCCAAAGTTTTGGGAAGAATATCAACTTACAGAAAAGAAAAGTATTTTAGTAGATTTCGTCGAAGTTTTTAATAACCCAACATTTGAAACACACAGAGTTTATGGTTTTATAATCGATTATCTTTTAAAGAGAAACGAGGAAAAGGAAGCACTTTATTTTTTTAGCAAATTAAAATTACAAACCAATTCAAATGAACATTATTACTATTCTTCTTTCAACACATTCATAACCTACTATGTACAGAACCACAAGAATATAGAAGCACTCAATTTCTTTAGAGATAATATAGTATTATTTAGAGGCTATGTAGAATCAAATTATTTTTTAATGTTTTTGCAAAATTGGTTTCAAATTATCAAAGCACAATTCCAACAAATCAAAAAGACAAATACAGCTGTATCAGCTTCACAACACCAACATCAGCAACAACAAATAATACAGGAACAATATGAAAAGAATTTAGCATTATTAATAAATGAAATTGTAAAGATTATTAAAGAAAATAATTTATTAAATAGAAAGGTATATGAAAATATTATTGGATCATTAATTTACACAAAGCAATTCAAAAAAGGTTTACAAATGTACGAAAATGAATATAAAGAGTATTTATTACAAGAGCAACAGGAACAACAAGAGCAATTATCAAGTGATAATAATAACAATAATAATAAAAATGGCAATAATATTAAAAATAGTAATAATATATATAAAAACAATAATTTTGAAAATGATTTAAATTATTATTTATTTCAATCATTTATTATTAGTGACAATATGGCCAAGTGTAAAAGCCATTTTAAAGAGGTTATAGGTAAAGGTGGGGTTATAAAGCCAATAGTATTATATCATTTATTAAGCTATTCAAAAGACAAAGATAACAAGTTTTTTAAAGAATTAGAGAATTATTTTTTTTACAGGTGCATATCAAATAGAAAGTCATCAGCATTAGTATTGTATTTAGCAAAATCTTTTGAAGATCAATTTACATTTGAAGCAATTTTAAAAAGACTCAAGAGATTAATAAAGGGTGGTGGTCAAGAGCAGAAACTAGCGTTATCAGTTTTCGATTTTACAATTTTACTATTTTTAAAGGGTGCAAGATATGAAGAGGCGTTAAAGTTATATTCAATGAGATTGTTGGATTTCGGTTTAGCTCCAGATGAACATATAGTCTCATATTTTATGGCATATCATATCGAACACTATGACTTCCAATTGTACGACTACTGGGCCCAATTAGCAAAAAGCTTTAATATCGAAATAACTAAAGAGCGTTTCTTATCAGATTTCAATACCTATAGAGAGTATGGTCTTTTAGAAAATTATAACCTTGCCAAATTCTTTTTAAAACTCAGAGTACCAAAAGAAGAAGACCCAGAATATGTTAAATCTTTAGTACCACCCAATAGAGCTTTATCACAATTTAATTTTAGAAACAATTTATGGAAAAGAAAGCCTGATAGCATCGATGAAAATATTGAATCATCACAACTTAGTTTATTATTAAACGAATTAAACTTTGAAGATAGCGCAGAAGATGATGGTATTCACAGTAAAGCAGAACCATTGGGATCAAAATTAATCGATATTGTCAACAAAGTAAAGAATACAAGCGATTTTAGGTTATTTATAAATCAATTCTATGCACCTGGTACCAAATTTTTAAAATCTATAGCGTTTGACCCATTAATTTATAACAGCTTTTTAAGCCCAACAGCCCAACCCAAACTAATAGCTTTTGGATTGGATCTTCTTTACAAAGAACCACAAAGCATTTTCAATTTACCAACTACAACAATGAATATATTTAATTTATTCCTTGGTCACCAACATTTAGATATAGCAAATAGATATTTTGAAAAATTAATTTTAAATCATAATATAATGCATATCGACGATATACCAACCAACAGGGAAAACTACTTAAAAATATTGATTTCAGATAGAGTAATGTCAACTATATTGGAACATTTAAAACAAAAGAAACCATTACAAGTTTATATTTCAAACATCCTTTTAAAGAATTTATTGATCAATTACACTAAAACTCAAATACCGCTCTATGAAGTTCTCTTTTTGGATGCACTACAAAAGATTACCCATTTCAATAAAGAAACCATCATTATATATTTGGATTATTTAATTAAAAAGAAGGAGAAGCAAAACCCATCTATATCAGATTTGGAATTGGTCAAGCATGTTTTAGATATCGACTTTGTTTGGGATTTTTATGATCGTCTCAAATCAGTTCAAGATATATCCTCTGAAATTTATGATAATCAAAATAGTGAAGTTGTCGATATAGAGGGCAATAAAAATCACACAGAACCTATTCAAATTAGATTACCACCCAAAATAAATGTATTACAAGCCACAAATTTACTTAAAAAGATGGATCTCCTCCAACCTAATCAAACTATTTTAATAATCGAAGCACTCTGTCAAAATACCAAATACCTTAAAGCATTAGCTGAATATCTCAAAACTTCAGACTATGAAACCAAAGCCAGTGTATTAAAGAATTTATCTCAAGTCTCATTAAGAAATTTAATAGCTACACAAGGTATAAATAGTGAGAATACTTTATTCATTACAGAAATCTTTAATATCTACCATCAAGTAAACAAATCTAAATCATATAAAAGAGACTTAATTATGTTAATCGAATCAATCAATAGCCCAGATATAAGCTCTATTTTGGATAACATCACTTTAATTAATGAATTTATACCAATTAAATTTTTAAAAGAACCTCCTGTTTATGATGATATGGATAATAGTTTTATTTAATCAAACCAAATGAACAAATGGAAAAAAAAAAATAAAAAAAAAAAATAAAAATTTTATTGATAAATTTATAAATAACTTTTAATTGTAAAGAATTAAAATTTATTTTAAATCAAAAACAACAACAAATATTATTTTCATTCCTTTATTCATTTATTTTTTTTTCGTTTTTTTTTTTTTTTTTTTTTTTAAATTTATTTTTTTTATTTTTTATTTTTCGTTTTTCTAAATTTTTTTTTTTTTTTTTCATTTTTTTATTTTTATTTATATATTATATTTTTTTTATAGTAATAATAATAATAATTAAAAATGGTTAAATCTAAATCAGATTTAGTTAACTCAAAAAAAACAACTCAAAATATAAATAAATCAACCCCAACTGTCAAAATAGTTAATCCATTTGATAGAAAGATTAATAAAGTTAAACATGAAGTTTTAAATCGTAAGGTTAGAGGTGTTGCCACCGATATTGGTCAATCAAGATATAATGCAATTGAAAAGCGTAAAAAAACTTTATTGGTTGAAATGAATCAACAAAAAAAAACAAATAAATTTATCGATTCTCGTTATGGTGAAAATGACCCATCAATGTCAGAAGAAGATAAAATGTTAGCACGTTTCCAAAAAGAAAAAATGGTATGTTATAGCAATCAATTAATATCATTGATCAATTTATACATAAATATTCACTCACACACAAATTCTAATTAAATTTTTTTAAATTTGTTTTTTTCTTATTTTCATTATTTTAGAGAAATAAAAATTTATATAGTTTAGATGACAACGAAGAAAGTCACGAATTAACACATTTAGGTCAATCATTAGGTCAATCATTAGGTGATGGTGTAGTTGCACAAGACGATTATGTAGCATCAGATGACGAAGTTGATGAAGACAACGAATTTTTAAGTGAAAGACAAAGATTTGGTGGTGGTGAAGATGAACAAAATAAAAGAGAAACCCATAAATCAAGTAAAGAAGTTTATCAAGAAATTATAGAGAAATCAAAACAAGGTAAAGCTGAAAGAGCCAGAGAAAAATTATTAAAAGAAGCTTTCTCTAGAGAATTAGATGAGGAGTTTAATTTAATCAGAGGTGATTTAGTATTGTCAAATCAAGTTAAAAACTCTCCAGTTGAAGACGATGCTTTCTTAAAGTTCCAAGCTGAAAGCAGAGCCGCTGAACAAAAAGAAAAAGATTCTGGTTCATCTTCTAAAAAAGAAAAGCATGACGATTTCGATGAATTAATGGTTCAATTACAAGGTGAAACAAGAGCTCGTGCATCTGATCGTACCAAAACTAAAGAAGAAATAATGAAGGAAGAAATGGAACGTTTACAACAAAAAGAAAAAGAAAGACTTGAAAGAGCCAGTGGTGATTATGTCGAATTAGAAAAAGATGCTCAAGATTCTGATAAAAATTTACCAAAAAGAGTTAAAGATAGATTAAAGGAAAAAGATAATAAACCAAAGATGTTATCTGCAGATTCTTTAGATGATGGAAATGAAGTATTAAATGTTAATGGTATTGATACCGTATTTTATAATCCTCAAATTGATTCTGATGAAGAAAAGCAAAGTGGATCAGATGACGACGATGAAGACGAAGATGATGATGAAGAAGATGAAGATGAAGAAAATGAAGAAGACGGTGAGGAACAAGATGATGAAGAAGAAAATGACTCAGATTTAGAAGATGATGAAGTTATTTCAGGTGAAATCGAAGAAGATGAAGAAGAATTAGAACAAGAAAGATTAAAAAATAAGAAATCCAAAAAATCAGAAGAAGAGCCAGTTGAAACTATTCCATATACTTTTGATGTACCAAGCTCAATTGAAGAATTAAACGAATGGTTAGAAAATAGAAATGATGAAGAAAAGCAAACTATTTTAAGTCGTATTAGAGTCTGTAATCATATTTCAATTAAACCACAAAACAAAGAAAAAATGAAAGCATACCTTCCAATTCTCTACCAAAGATTTATCAATACTGCCACTGCTTCAGATGAACATTCAGTTGATTTGAAAGAACTCGATTCATTAAGTACCTATATTTTTGAAGTTTCACAAGACGTCCCAGATATTTCAGGTAGCAGTGCTAAAGAGTTAGTTAACAACACTTATAAACGTATCTGTAAGAAATTAGAAATCCAATCAAAATTAAACTATTGGCCAAATCAATCTGAATTACTTTTAATTAAACTACTTGGTAATGTTTTCCCAACATCCGATTTCCAACATCCAGTTTGTACTCCAGCAGTCGAATCATTAAACTTTTATCTCTCACATTGTCCAATTAAAAATATTAATGACATTGCTTCATCACTTTTCACCTCAAATTTATTATTCTTTTATTTATCAAGCTCAAAGAGATATTCACCAGAAATTTCATCATTATTAATCAGTTTATTATCAACCTTTGTAAATCAAAACCAAACAGTAAATTCAGATCAACAAAATAAAACAAATAATAAAAAATTAACCAAACAACAACAACAACAAGAAAAAGAATTACAATCACAAAAATCAAAACAAAATCAATGGGCTACTATTAATTCAAATATTTTAGTTCCAACTATTCTTTTACCAGAAAACTATTTAAAATTATCACCATCAACTAAATCAGAACCAATTTCATCAATCGAACCAAAGAAACTTGAATTTTCAACTTTATCAAAATCAAATATTCAATTTACAAATTCATTAAAGTATTTATTATAATTTAAATATAGTTTAAAAGTAGTTTAATTTGCTTACTAATACTTTTTATTTTTTTATTTTTATTATAGAATTAATTTATTAAATTATTTGGTTAGTTTTATTGAAAAATATATTAAATTTTATTCAGAAACACAATTTAGCGAATCATTACCAAGTTTATTCAATACTCTTTTATCAATTGTAAACAAATTAGATACCAAATTATATCATAAAGAATTAGCCAGCAAGATAGAATCACTCAGAAACACTATTGAAAAGATTAATAACGAAATTATAAATAATAGAAAACCATTAATTCTTTTAACTGGTAAACCACAACAATTACGTCAATTTAATCCAAGATTCAATACAACATCATTCTTTAATAAAGACCCAGATGCTGAAAGAGCTGAGGCTAAGAAGAAGAAGGCTTTAATCAAGAAAGAAACTAAAGGTGCTATTAGAGAAATCACCAAGGATAATCAATTCATTCAAGCCGAGAAATTCAAGAAGGCCCAAGTAGAAAGAGCTGAAAATGATAAGAAGAGAAAACACATAATGAGCGAACTCCAAAAAGAACAACAAGAGGGTAAAGCTTATAAAAAGATGAAGGATCGTTTAGATGGTCGTATTTAAATAAAATAAATCATTAAATTTAATTGTTATATAAACTATACATTTAATAAAAAATAAAAATAAAAAAGTTAAAAATAAATATATCTTTATTATTTGAAAAAAATTTTTATTTATTTATTGATTATATCTAAAAACAGTATTTTGCAAAAGCTTTAACCCCCATAAAATATAATTTAATTTTAATGATATTTTTATTTTTTAATTATATTTCCAATTTTATAATATTATTTTTTTTATCTTTAAATTTTCGATTGATTCTGGTCCGTAAACTGCCACTATAATTATAGTATTAGCCTTGTTCATAATATGCTGATCTGTTTGCTCTATTCATTTGAAAATTGATTCTTATTTAATTTGATCTTCTACCATCAAACTTTTGAAATATATGATGGTTTACTCTATATTATAAAAGTTTCCATATAAACTGTTTCCTAAAACTGTTTCCTTATAGATCAAGTAGTACGGAATCACAGTGATATTTCTTCGTGATCTATTAAGAAATATCCTAATAATGAAAAAAATAATTAAGTTTAAAACCAAATAAAATGAAACAGTTGATCAATTCGACACTAATTAATCTTTTCAAATTAAATAACTTTTTGAGGGACATATTCAAATTACTATGGTCAATCAGAAATAGTAGGACTATAGAAGAAAAATTTATTCCTAATCTCTCACAAACTTTTTTTATCATCTTAAAGAACACCTTAATTACTTCTTGCTAGTATTAAAATTAAATTGGATTTTTTACAATTTTTATAAAATTTTAATAATTTTATAAACTGACAAAATAATAATCAGATATAAATATAATTTTCATATTTAAAAATCTTTAAAATATCACAGTTTTCAAAAGGTTTAATAAAAATAAAAAGTTTTTTTATACCAATAAGAATTATAATTTTATTATTTAATTTTGTATTTGCAATAAATTTATTTTTTGTTTGTATTAAATTAAATTATATTATTAATTTAATCAATACATATATATGGGAATCCATTTGATTTTAAATCTTTTATTTTGAATGGAAGCTCTGGTCCTGAAAAATTATATTTATTTCCTACTATTATAATTGGACAATCTATTTTATTGGTTCTTTTTATCATTCTTAAATACATTGGTATATTATTAAATGATTCTATATTATTATATGAAAACATAATTATAAATGCAGTGCATTTAGAAATAGTATCTTTTTTGGTTAGTAATTCTCGGCTTTACATATTACGGTTGTATTTCCTCTGTTTTCTATGCTCATAGAACCACCTCTAAAATCATTTTGAATTGATCGAGAATTTTGAAAAACATATTCCATTGGTGGAACACGTTCACCATATACAAAAACAGTACCTTTACCACCACCTTCAACTGTAAACTCTAAATATGTTAATCCTCTTGAAGTTGTTTTCTTAAATTATATTAGTTTATTATTAAAAATTAAATATTTTAAATATAATAAATACCTACAATATTACTTTCTGATTCGTTTGGTTCTGATTAAAAAAAAAAAGAAAAGAAAAGAAAAATAAATTAGAAAAATTTCTGTAAAAATTTTAATAAAAAACAAGAATAGCATACTTATAGTCCAAGATTGGTTCACTTTTCATTTTATATAAATAAAATTAGTTTTTTTTTTTTTTTTTTTTTTTAATTTATAGAGTTTTTATAATTACTTTTTTTCTATAATTAATTTTTTTTATAGAGTTTTAATTAATATATATTTGAACTGGTATTTATATTAAATAATTTTTTTTAAATTTTTTTTTTTTATTAATTTTTTCTAAACCTCCCATAAAACACTCCGTCAACCCCTTTTTTTTTATTATTATCTTCTTTTTTTTTTACTTTTAAGTGAAACAATTTAAAAAATACCCAAACACTTCACCAACTCAATTTTTTTTAGCTTTAAATTTTATCTTCTTTTACTTGTATTTAAAATTAAATTACAATTGGTTAACACAATTTTTTTAGAGATTAAAATTTTTTGAACTTTTACATTTTTTTATTTTATAAAATGTTTACAAACAATCATCTTTATCCAAAAATAACTTTTTCCAATACCCCCTTTAATTTTTTTTAAAAAAAGATAAATAGATAATGAAAAATAAAAAAAGGATATAATGAAAATAAAAATAAAAATTAAAAATTAAAAACAACAAATAACTAATTCATCGATATTGGTAAATAACCAATTCTAATACTGTTCCAAGACCATCATTAACAAATTGATTTTTTTTATTAGAAAATAAAAAATAATAAAAAATTTTAAATAACTTTTATTATGTTTATAAACCAATATAGTATGATCTACCATTAACATTCTGAATTGGAGTAATCTGAGGGGATAATAAACACCATTCGTACCAAACTTTTGTTTTGTTATTTGTTCTCCAGAATGAACATTTAATAGTTGAGTTTTGAGGGATATAAACTGGTTCTTTTAATGGGAAGTAAATTGGGAACCAACTAAACATACCGGTTGAAAAGTTTTTAGGATTTATACTAATATGAACATTTTTATAAAGGCAGCAATCAAAGTAACCAATAAATCCATGACAAACAGTTGATTTTACAGTGGTTTGAAATTCTAGTATTTCTGTTCTAGAGTTATCGATTACTTTATCATAATTTGGATGTTTAAAAGTAAAGAGTGGTTTGGATTCTGCTAATTGATGATAGTTGTGTGGCTTTACTACATAGGGTGTTTCGTAATGTTTTAATTCGCCAAATGTTGAGACCTCATTGTAAAGTTTTGATGAACTAATTGGGGCTATATAAGATGTATACCAACATGGGATACTAATACCTTTATCTTTTTTAAGATATTTTTGTGCACCATCTAAACATTCTGGTGATAATTCGTTATCTCCAAATGAACCTAATAATTCACTAACCATAATATCTGCTCTATACTCTGTATCCCATTCTCTCATATCGCTGTCTATAATTGTTACTAAATCTTCCCAGCCTTCGAGAATAACTCTATTTCTTAAACTAATATAGAAAATAGAAAATGTTAGATAGTGTTTGATAAAATTTTAATCAATTAAATAAAACTAGTAACCTACGTAACAATTGCATTTGGATTTTTTTCAACAGCAAAAACTTTAACCTTTTTTTTAGCCTCAATAGATGCATTAATCGAGCATTTAACTAAAGGACCTCTACCAGCACCAACTACCATAATCACTATTGGGTTATCTTCGGTATAGTCTTTATCGTCTAGATCTAAAAGTGCTTCTCTAACGGCATTTTGGTATTCTCTATATTTAATTGGGTCTTTTTCAAATACTTCATAAGTTTGAGACTCTAAATTATCCATTAATGGTTGAAGTGGAGCTTGAAGGAAATCTAAATATGGCATTTCAAAGTACTCATCTTCGGTCATTGGTTTTTGATTACCATGGAGGAATTTAACATAGGTTTTATAATCTTCTAACTGTTCCATTTCATTACCAGTTACAACATATTGAATATTTAAATTGAAAAGTTTCTTTAGGAATGCTTGATGTGCTCTAGATAATGTTGGATATCCTGCGCTATTGGTTAAGAAAATTGATGTTGGGATGATTACACATTTGATTTGTTCGCCGCACCATTGTTGTAATTGCTCTTTATCTGGTAAATCTGATGTCAACTCTAAAGCTGGGAATAAATTTAAACTGTTACCACATAATGATCTAAAATTGTTCCACCATTCCCATGTGTTATCGACCTTGTCTAATTCTTCACCCTTGATGTACTCTTCTTTATTTAAAAGTTGGGATTTTGGTGATAAAAGGGGTATTCTAATCCAAACCCTCATATTGTGCAAAGAGGATAATGATTGATTAACAGCTTGAGCATAATGTATACTTGAATAGTTGGGTGATGGTAATAAAATAGCTGGTAGTGAAAGATGTGCTGCCCATGATATTTCCTGTTTTAAGGTTTTAATACTATTGACTCTGATGTGATAATCGCTTGAATCGCAATCTACCACTGATTCTGAGACTTTACCAACAACAACAGACTTCCAATAATTTGATGGTAACAATACATCTGAACGTGTAAATGGTGCTTTATTACTAAAAGAATTTCCCAACGATAATGCTGTAAAATCTCTATTAAATCTTGGATGCGAAATTGGTAATATTAAAAAATGGTAATCTAGTTGGTAAGCTCTTTCAATATCATTTAGAATATTTACTACAGTTTCTAACTCAACACCACATGAAAATTCATATTGTGCTGTATTGATTTTTGTAACCTCCATAAATTATTAATAAAACTATTGATTTATTATAAAAATTAAAAATGATCTAAAATTTAAAAAAAATTTTAAAAAAAAATTTTAAAAATTTGGGGAAAAAAAAAAAGAAATAAAAATTAAGAAAAATAAAAAAATAATAATGCATTATGTTTATACTAGATACAGCTTTATTGAATAATCAACTAGAAAAAAAACAACTATTTAAATAAATTTTTTTTTTATTTAAATTGAATTGTTAAAGTTATAAAATTTAAAATATAAAACTACCTATATATCCACATAAAATTGCTGTGACTAATGAAGATAAAAAGTTTACTTGATGATTATCCAAAATATCAGTACCTGAAATATGTCTTATTTTATCAGTTGGCATTACTTTTTTGACATCATTTAAAACTACTTTTCTGTTTATGCTAAGTAATGACAATTGTAAGGTTGCACCCATTAAAGAATCAATTAATGAACCAACCAAACCGCCAAAAGTTGCAAGTAATATAATTGAAATGGTTTGCTGTAAATAACTGAATGAAATTTGTTCCAATTCTAATGGATATCCTCTGTTAAAGAAATAGTTGCAAAAAGAAAAACTAATGCCTATGAATAAACCGCCCATTACACTTGCTATTAAACCTATTAAACTTAAACCACCATTGGTACCCTTTGGTACTTTTTTGCCTGAGGTAATTAAAATTGGTTCACCTTTACTTAAAATACCCAATTCACTTGCCCATGTATCACCATTACAACATGAATAATGACTGAAATCAAATGTGAAATAAATAAATAGAATTAGTATTTTAATTTAAATAATAATAGTAATAATAATACTATAGTTACCCTATAAATGATGATAAAATAAAGCTTGTAAAATAGTCGTATTTGTAATTTATAATTGTGGTTGATCTTGTTGTAAAGAAACTAAAAATAATAGATAAGCAAGTTGCTGTTAAACTATTTGAAAATACTTGAACATAGTTTCTTTGGCCACCAACGGCATGTCCGTCTTCAATTTTCTTTTTAATTGATGATTTATATTTGGTAAGGTATGAAGAGGAGAAATAAAATGAAAGTAAGATAAATGCAAAACTAGGGCCACAATAACATGTGATAATACCTGTGAAAAATGCTGAAATGGCACCACTTTTATTTAATGATCCTTTTCTGTACCCATGAATAGCAAATAATGACACTATTAATATTGATAGAGGTAACCTATTTATTGAGTTTTCTAATTTATTATAATATTCTATCATTCTTTATTTTTTATTGTTTGTATTTAAAATAAATATTATTTTAAAAGATATTATGGTTTATTTCAAACCTTTTTTTATTTAAAAATTAATTTTTAAAATTTTAAAAAAAATAAAATAAAATTTTAATTTAAAAAAAAAAAAAAAAAAAAAAAAATGTTTGAAAATATGGGGGTTTGTCCAATAAAATAGATTAAGCATTTATAATGTTAATAATAAAATGGGAGTTTTTTTAAATGTTTTAAAGATTATGAAATAATTTATTATTCTTTATTTTTTTTTTATCTTTTTTTTTTTTTATTAAAATAAAAAAACTATTTGGATAGAAAATAAAAGGTGGTTTGATAATAAATAATGGAAGAGGTGGTTTGGTAATAAATAATGGAAGAGGTGGTTTGATAATAAATAAGGAAGAGGTGGTGGTAATAAATATGGAAGAGGAATTGTATAATAAATAAAATTTTCTAATGGGAGAAGAAAAAACTAAAGGAAGAGGAAATAATATTGTATGAAGAGGTGGTTTGAAAAAGATAAAGAATTTGAATAATTATCATAAAATTTGAAGAGGAAATGATTATATATAATATTATAAAAAATGAATTAATTATAATACATACATAATGAGGATGGAGCTATTATAGAATATATAAATATTTTTAAATATATACATAAGAATAATAATAGAAGTGGAGGGGGGTGGAGAGAAGAGGATAATGTTGAAAGTAGTGTTTGTGTTTGTTATTTTAAATATTTTTTTCTTGTTTTTTTTTTTTAAATAATAATCGGAAGAAATTGGTAATTGAAATATAGATTGGGTTGGGTAGTTATTCACAGCAAGTGACTCTTGGGGAGTAGTTACGATAACGGCCAACTAAAATATTACCAACAATAACACCAGCAATAACGGCAAAGAATAAAGCAACGTTGAAAAGCATACAAATTAACATTAAAAGATAAGAGCATGTTAATTCTAAACCATGGAGACAACCTCTGATGATATCTCTATAAGAGAATGATGGATAGGAGCCACCTAAGAATGCTGAGTTGATAAGTAAGGCGTTATCATCTTTCTTTGGTTGCCATTTCTTTTCTAAGATAGCTCTTGCAGTTTTTTCGATTTCAAAGAGAATAGCAAAGAAAAAGATAGCAAACCATGTACCAGCAAATTGACCATTAGTTCTTGGGACCCATGATTTGAATAAAACGTATTCGATAATACCAGTGTGGAAGAACATTTTCATTATTGGAGAGGCATTTGAATTTGATTTTTCACAGAAAACACCATTGAGATCACTTTGGGCAAGATTTCCAGTGGATAAACACATTGATTGCCATGCTTTACATTGTGACATATCTGGCATTTGCATACAGAGATCGGAATATACAGTCAAAAGATCACCACAAGTCTTCATTGTTTTACCAGTGCCAACACAATTTTCACAACCATCCATTGCCATTTCAGTACAAATATCTTTAATTAAACCATAGGTAGCCATTGTTGTTGGTAAATTATCAATCATATCTACATCTTTGCATTGATTGACAACTGAACCTGTAGTATTACAAAGTGAAACAAAATTTTTGCAACCACCCATACCTGGCATATCATGGGTGCATGAATCTGCTAAAATTGAGAATGGTTGGCAAATACCAGTTGATAATTTTGCACTGTCACATGATGCTTGAACTGTACAAACTGGCATATATGACATCATTGTACAAAGATTCTTAATATCTGCTGTGGCATTTGCTGCTGGATAAACATAATTTGCGCACTCTGGAGCTGCTGGATCTGTAACACAACCATTATCTTGGCCATTGATTAAATTATTAAAATTTAATAATAAAATTATTGAAAATATTAAATAGATTTTCATTTTTTATTTTATTGGGTATCTGTAAATTATTTTTATTTTTATTTATTATTTATTGTTTAATAAAAAAAAAAAAAAAAAGAAATTTTAAAATAATTATTTTTTTTATTTTATTATTTTTATTATTATTATTTTGGTATAAATAAAAATATAATGGTGTATTGTTTACACGGTATGAATGATAGGTTTAATTGTTGAAATAAAAAATGAAAAATAAAAATAAAAAATAAAAAAACAAAAAAAATTAAAAAAAAAAAATTAAAAAAAATAAAAATTAATTTTAAATAAAATTATTTTTTTTTACTATACAACAAATAAGTGTGTATGTACACACAATAATCCTGGTTTTAAAATCTTATAATTATATTTATAGACAAATAAAGAGTTTATTTTTATAAAAATTTCTTAAACTAATTATTATAAATAATTCAAAAATTAACTCTTTAAGATTTATTAATTCTATAAAATTAGCAATATTGGGTTGAAATAAACGGAAATTATAAAGCTTTAAATGGTAAATAAAAAAATTGTTTAAAAAAAGTGTTTAAAAAAATAAATATAAAAAGAAATTAAAACAATAAAAACATAAAAACAATAAAAATAATAAAAACAATAAAAAAAGTAATAATAATAGTAATAATAGTATTAAAGATAGTTTTAATAAAATGATGACATATGATCACTTGGTTAGTGCAATTTTTTTTTTTTTTTCATTTATTTTTTTAATAAATAATTTATTATAAAAATTTTATTTTTTTTTTAATTTTTTAATTTTTTTTTATATTTTTTTTCTTTTTTCTTTTTTTTTATTTTTAATATATTTTTTTATTTCCTTTTATTTACCTTTTTATTTGTTTAATTAATTAAATCTATAATAATAAATAATAGTAAATATAAAATAGTTATAATAGTTATAGTTAAACAGAAAAAAATAAGATGAGACCAGAAGCTCAAGTGCCTCCAGCTCAAAGACAATATTATGAAGAGTTGTTTTTATTATGTGATTCCGATAAAGATGGTGTTATTGGTTTAACAGATGCTTCATTTTTCAGATATTCAATGTTACCAAATGAAATTTTAAGAGAAGTAGGTTTTTAAATATACTTTATCTATTATAAAGTATTTTATATCGATTGTACATCTAGATACTAATCTTTTTTCTTAATTTATAGGTATGGCAAATTGCAGATGTTAATAATGGTTATTTAAATATTGAGGATTTTATTGTAGCATTAAAGTTAATATCATTAGCACAAATGGGTGCACCAGTCACATTGGAAAGTGTTAAATCAATGCCAGTTGTACCACCTCCCAGATTAAGTGAAGTACCACCAATGAAGAACGATGTAATTATTTATTTTAATTTTATGTTTTTTTTTATTATAACCATATTAACATTAAATAACTATATAGTGGGCAATATCAAATAGCGATAAACAAAACTATATTGATTTATTTAATAAATATGACGATGATCAAGATGGATACATTTTAGGAAGCCAAGCAAAGAGTATATTTTCATCAAGTGGTTTACCAGCCAAAATTTTAGGACATATTTGGAATTTATCAGATTTAAATAAAGATCAAAAACTTGATTGTCAAGAATTTATTATTGCAGCATTTTTAATTAGATCTGTTCTAAAGGGATATGAATTACCAGTTAGAATTCCAGAATCATTAATTACCTCATCACATTATATTAGTTCAGCAGGTGTACCATCCCCTAAAATCCCAGAATGGATGATACCACCAACCGAAAGAATTGTTTATGAAGATCTCTTTAACAAGAATCAACAAAGTGGCTATTTTACTGGTCAACAAGCAAAGGTTTTGTTTGAAAAATCAAATCTTTCAATCCACGATTTAAAGTTAATTTGGGACTTGGCAGATTATAATCAAGAGCAATATTTAGATAAGCAAAAATTTGTCATAGCTATGTTTTTAATTAATCAAAGAAAAAAGGGAAAAGAGCTTCCACAATCACTTCCAAATATTTTAATGGAGTCTTCAAAGAGTAATTTTAATCCAGCTATGTTTTCACCAACTCATCAATCACAGGCATCTGATTCTGACTCAAAATCATCCTCTAATAAGTATAATATTAATCTCAATGACATTGTTGGTAATATTTCAAACCAATCACCAATTTCAAGTGGTGGAGGTAGTGGCAGCATAACAAACAATAACAGTGTTCAAAGTAATAGTGGTGGTTTAAATGTTTCAAATAGTTTAGTTTCGCCACCACCACAACAGTTACAACAACAATTTTCTCAACAACAACTTCAACCACCACCACAACAACAATCACCAAATATTGGCTCTACTCCACAACCACAGGCACAACCAACTTTACAAAGACAAGGCTCATTTACATTTGATAGCAATACAAATTTAATAGCCAAACCACCAGCTAAACCAGGTAGTGTAACTCGTATGAACTCCTTCTCACAAGTTTCACCACAATCATCAGTTTCAAATAGTAGCTATGTACCATCACCACAATCATCACTTAATAATAATAATAACTATGTATCATCACCACAATCATCTTATGTTCAACAACCATCACAAAATATGAATCAGTTATACAGTGATATCGATAAGGCAAAACAAATTTCAGAACAAGAAAAAATTAAACAAGAAGATCTTTCGTTTAAATTTAATCAAGAAGTACAATTAGAGGCAGAATTAAAACAACAGCTTGAAGATGAACAAAAACAATTACAGGTAGTCCAAGAAATGATTAAAACTGAAGAATCAAATCTTCAAATGAAGAAACAATCAAATTCAGAATTAAAGGAGCATATTAACACCACAAGATCCGATATTAAATCATCAAAAGTTCAATTAGAGCAAACTTTATCTTTATTAAAAGAGAAAACAGAGCTTTATGATGAACAAAGAGAACAGCTCAATCAATTAAATGATGATCTTCAAGAAAAACAACAAGAGCTCGAAAAGAATAGAAAAGAATTAGAGTTCCTTTTAGCTTCTATTGAATCAATCAAACAAAATCGTAGCGATGTTAAAAATCAATTGGCCACTATAGCAAAGCTTATCAATGAGTCAAAGGCAGAAATTAAACAATTGGCTGAAGAGCAAAAACAACAAAAACAACAACTGCAACAAGAACAACAACAATTACAACAACAACAACAACAGCAACAACAATTATCTTCCTCCAAACCCTTATCAGCAGTTAAATCTGATGATAATATTTCATTTGCAACCTCTATTGCTCCAGCTAATAATACTACCAGTTCTACCACCACCAATAATGCTACTGGCGATGAATGGGACTTTTTTGGTACGCCAACTCCATCAAGAACTTCAACCTCATTACCAACCTCACCATTTGATGATAAGTTTTCCATACCATTTACTGCTCCATCTACAACAACCAATCCAACCACAACCAATCCAATGAATACCAGTAATAATAGTGTTACTTTTTCATCATCTCCATCTTCATCATTCATTAATGCAGGTAATAATAATGCACCATCTCCAGTTAAATCAAATGTTTCACAATTAAAAACATCAAGCTCATCAGTTGGCAGAAAGTACAGTGGCGATAGCAAAACAATTCCAAATCCAACATTTTCATCAAACGCAGCCACCAATAATAGTGCAAGTGTTAGTAGCAATAATAGCTTCACCGACAACAGTGTTGACACCATGGCAAATGCATTTGGATCAGAACAGTTTTCATTTAGCTCCTATAGTACATCAAAACAAGATCCATTTGGCGAATCAGCTCCATTTGGTGAAGACACTACATCAGTTAAAGATGCTGGCTCAGAAACCTTATCCGAAGCTCATGCCCTTTTCGATAATAAAGATTCTTTATTTGAAACCAATGAATCTTTCCAAAGCTCCAAAGATCCATTTGGTCAAATTATTTTTTCAAGTTTTAATAGAGATTCATTTGTATTTGGTTCATCTAGCGAAAACCAACAAAATAACAGCAATATTATTTCAGAAAATGGTGCATTTAGTCAAACCAACGATAATGATTTCTTTTCTTCAAATAACACAGTTCCAAATAATAACAGTAATGACTTTGATGGGTTTGAAGATTTTGCTCCCCAATCACAAACATTAGATCAACAACCAATTCAACAAGAACAAGATTCACAACAACAACCCGAATTTGGTGTTAAATTTAATGATAATTTTGACTTTGGTAGCAGTAATTTTAATTCATCAAATCTCAATAATGAAAATTTATCAAATGATCCATTCAATAATAGTCTCAATGATAATAATAATAATGATAATAGTAATAATAATAATGATCCATTTTCTCAAGATAACAATGATAATTTTAATACAGCACCACAGAAAATCAAAATCATAATGACCCATTCAAAAGTTTCAGTGATTTTGGCAGCACACCATTCTCATTTAATGATAGCAAATTTAATGATGATGATGTAGTTGGGGAAAACTCACCTTCATTAGAACATATTCCAGTTGGTAATAGTAATACTTTTGGTTTTAGGAATGCTCCATCCCCATTTGATGAATAAATTTACAAAATAATAAAATAAAGAAATTAAATCAGAAAAAAAAATTTATTAATAAAAAATCATCACAAAAATTTGTGGTGTTTTTTTTTTTTTCAGTGATATTATTATATATTTATAGAAATGTAATTTTAATTAATATAATTGTTTATTATTTTTAATTTTTTTATATTATTTTAATAGGATGATTTAAATTGATGTTTTATGAAATACACAAATTTATTTATTCAATAAAAATAAAAATAAAAATTAATTTAAATAAATTAAATTATAAAAAAAAAATAAAAAGAAATTTCTCAACATGACTTTTAAGTTTTTTATATAAAACAAATAATCAAAAAAATAAATAAATAATCAAATAAATAAAAAAATAAAATTTTTTTTTTTTTTTTTTAAAATTTTTTTTTTTTTTTTTTCATATTGATACTATTGACCACCAAAAATATTTTTTGTTTAAATTAAACAGTTGGCATCATCATATTTTTTTGAATGATTCAGATTGCAATGGTTTCTAAAATTGGTATTTTTCATTTTTATTTAATTAAAAAAAATAAAAATTTATTAATTCATTTCCCAAACATATCAGCCACTTTTTATAATAATAATAAAAAAGTGTGTGGTGGGGTTATAATTAAATTTTTTTTAATTTTTTTTTATATTTTTTTAATTAAAAATAATTATTTTTTTATTTGGGTGATGTGTTTAAAAAATAAATTGATGATCACTACTTTTATGGTAGCTACAGATTAAAAATTTACTAGAATGTACAAAAAAGGGAATACCGAGTTTGGATCTAATCTATTATATTTACAAAAGGAAATTATTATAATTTTTATTATTATTAATTAAATTTTTTTTTTTTTATTATTTTTTTAAAATAAATTTCATTGCTTTATAAATTAATTTTTTTTTTCAAATTTATTTTTTTTTAAATTCAAACAATCAATCAAGTAATCATTAAAGCTTAATTTTTTAGTTTAAATTTCATATAATCATATTATTATATTTTTTTTTTAAATATTTTTATATATATATTTATTTTTTATTTAATTTATTTGTATATATTTTACCCTTTTAATTTTACAACAAGTAAATTAAAAAAAATGGGTAATATTTTTTCAAAAAAAGTAAGTATCTCTTATTTAACATTCATTATAAACAAAATAAATATTAAGTATTGTTTTATTTGTATCCAGAATAACCTCTTTGAAAAAAAAGTATGGGCTATGGAGTCCAAAATTGCTAAATTGGAGCTCCAAATAAATAACTCCAAGGCCTTTCATTATAATATTTATAAGAAAGTTTTTTTCTATTTTATTATAATTGAAATCATTTTAGCATTCAATTTATATAACATGGTTCTTTCATCTGACACTTTGTCTGAAAAGGCAAAGTGTTTTGCATTTGATTTATTATTTTCAATGATGTAAGTTGTTCATTTTTAATATATATTAATTTTTGTTTATTATTAATATTAACATTTATATTATAATTTAGAATCTTAATTTTAGTAAATTTATATAGATTTTCATTTGAAAAATTAATAAAATTCAATGAAAAAAAATTAAATGAAATGTATATTGGTCTCGATAAAATATTCGATGAAAGAAAAAAAGAAACTAATTATGACCATACCAAAAAACTTTTAGAGCAATATAAAAGTTTTAAAAATAGAGACCAAGAGGACCAACATCATCAACCACCTCCACCACAACCAACCCCACAAAAACAAGCAACCCCTCAACAACAACAACAACCATTCCCACAACTATCCCAACAACAACCATCCCAACAACAACAACAAGCAGCCCAACAACATCCAACCCAACAACAACAACAACCAACCCAACAGCCAACCACACAACATCCAACCCAACAACAACCAACCACACAACAACCAACCCCAAAACAAACAACCCAACAACAACCAACCACTCAACAACCAACCCAACATCCAACCCAACATCCAACCCAACATCCAACCCAACCAGACCAACAACAACCAGACCAACAACAACCACAACAAAAACCATTCATTTATTTAATTATTTTAAAATGGTGGTTTAAAAAAATGTATTATTGCTTATTTTCCGATACAAATTTACTCTATTTTGAAAATTGTGGACACTGTATCGGAACAATGCCAAGTGAATTCGCCCCAAAAAGTAAGTTTAATTTATATTCTTTAAAATTTTGCTTTAATACTCATACTAATTTTTTTAATAGAATTCCGTTGTATTATATGCGGATATATAAACCATTCTAGCGACATTGGCAGAAAAAAAAATAAAAAAAATAAAAAAAATAAAAAAAAATAAAAAAATAATAATTTAGATAGAGATTATAATTATAATAAATAAAAATTATAATTATAATTCTTTTAATAGTATATATTTCAGTTGTAATAATAATAATAGATAATAAAAATATTAGATAATGCTCAATAGAAATCAAAAAAGAAATAGACTTTAAAGAATTTATCATAACTGTTCAAAATCCACGGAGGTAAAGATCCAATCAGAGTACAAGACCTCTCAAGTAAATCAATACCAATGAATTTTTTCTTTCTAATCAACTATTTGATGAATATCAGACATTGTTCTGGCCAAGCAACTATGGTATCATCGAATGGTTTTAGATCAAGAAAAGATTTATTGGCTCATTAGATGAAATGATTTAGTGGTTCCTATCCGGCAGCATCCCAAAAACTTTAACAACTTAAACAAGCTCTAGTCTCAGCAAATCCGTTATGTGTGTTCAATTGATGGTTTTCCATATGATCACCCAGATTTCATTATTTAAAGAGCTGCTGCTTTTATTGTATTTTTATTTAAAATTTTTTAATCAATAAAAATAAAGATAAAGATAAATTCTTTTATAAAGTTTATTCAATAAAAGTTTGAAATTAAAATTTCACTAACATTCTTTAAAGTTTCAATAATTTTTTTATTTTATATGTTTATTTTTTTTTACATACAATATTTTACTTATAAATATGCATAATAAACTATTTTTAATTTAAAATTTTTTTTTTATATAATTTTAATTTTTGATTATCTTTATCGTTCCAATTTCTTAAACAATAAACATTTTTTTTATATAAAAGATTATCTTTTTTTAAATATTAATTTAAACAATATATTTTATTAATAGTTTTATAATAGAGAAAATTTACAAAAAAAATATTTATTAGTTTTTTTAAAAAAAAAAGTGCAGTATTTTTTTTAAAATTTTATATAAAATAAATAATTAAGTATGGCTGGTATTGGATGTATTATATTAAATTGATGATTTAAATTATTGTTTTTTTTTTTTTTATAGATATATTAGTTTAATAATAGTTTCCTTTTTGATCATTATCAATAAGATGTCTGCAAACAATTCCGAAAACACCACCACATAAATTTATAAATAATAAAATTGCCATTGGTACATAGTATGCGCCTTTACCAGTTGAACAAAGGAACGAAAAGCTGGAGTCTGATTCTTTACCACAATCGACAAGTTGGAGATTAGTTACGATAATTTGTGCAATACCAAATGCTAACATTACAATATTAATAATGGCAAACTGTATAAAAAAAAAAAAAAAAGGAGTTTGGGTTAGTCATATCGATATTTTATACTAATACAATATATATAACAAAAAATAAGCAAACTTACATATAATAAAAGAATTTTGCTCTTTTTAATTGAACCAATAAAACCAAGTATAGCAAGAATGATTAATATAACCGCACTAACAATATAAATTGCAATACCTGATGCAGATTTATCGTCGACAGCCCATTTAAGATAAATCCAATATGGAACAGTAATACCCTATAGAATGTTTAAAAATAAAATATTAATTAGTTAGTTTTATAGTCTGCTGGTTAATGGGCTATTTTAAAAAATCATCAACATACAACTAAAGCAATTGCTGTTATAATAACTAAAATTCTTAAGGGCTAATTCTCCTTTTTTACCCATTTCTATAATTTATATTTGTGTATATGTTTTTAATTTAATTTTATAGTCTGTTTTTTTTTTTTTTTTTTTTTTGATAATGATAATGAAAATAAAAAAAAAAAAAAATAATAATGGTGATGATACTAGTAAAGATTTAATAAATAAATAAACAATTTAAAATAAATAAATATAAATTTAAAATTAATTCCTTTTTTTTATTTGCTTTTTTAAAATTAAAATAATAAAATTTTTTTTTTTTTTTTTTTGTGAGCTATTTAATTTTATTTCTCACTAATCTGTGTGTGGTGGTGTGTGTTATTATAAGTGGGTTATTTTTGTGTGTTGGTGTTTTATGTGTGTGTTATGCTGAGTTGATATATAACTTGGTTGGGATCGTTATAAAATGGTATATTTTTAATTTTATTTTTTTTTTTTGTTTTTTTAAAAAAAAAAAATTTAAAAAAATTAAAATAATTTTTCAATTTTTTTGGTTACACAAGTGTATAAATCAAAAAAAAACTTATTATTTGAAAATCTTTTTTTGTACCGTGACAAAAAAAAAACTCAGTTTGTGTGAGATATTTAAATATATATAAAATGATCAAAAATTTAAAAATAAATAAAATTTTGACAGTTACTCAGAAAAAGTATTTTTATTTTTTTTAATTATTTTTATTTTATTATTTTTTAGTATTATTATTAATGTTTATAAATTATGTGATTTTTATTTAAATTGAAATTATAAAAAAAGTAAAAAAAAGTAAAAAAAATAATGGTTTTTAAATTTAAGAGGGAATAAAATAAAAAATAAAAATAAAAAATATTCTCAAAATAGATTTTATTTGAATAAAAAGTGTTTTAAGATTATTTATCTGAATTTTATGGTATTAAATATTTTTTTTTCATACCTTTTGATAATATTCGTAAATAAACCAATTATTTACTAGATTTAATAGATTTATCTATATCTAATATACTTTTTATTATTTTTTACTTTAAAAAAAGGTAATATTACATAATTCATTGTTAATATTTTAGATACATGAAACTAGATCTTTAAAGGTGGTCGAATGAATATGCAGGAAAGTTAGCCATAACCCAAACAATTTAGCAAGGATTATATAATTGAAACCATTCAACCCAAATAAATAAAAATAAAATAAAAAAATAAATAAAGAAAAGAATAAATTTTATTTAGGATTAGTCCTTTATAATATCATTATCATTGTCATTATTGTTTTTATTATTATTATTATTGTTATTATTATTATTATTTGTTTGATTATTTATTTGATTATTTATTATTGAATTGCTTATAATTTTATTTATTGAATTATTTGGATTGGCTGTTAATAAATGAGTATAAACAATTGATAAAATTTCAGCATCAACTAATGCACCATGCGTTTTTCTTAATAAGAGTTTATTAATTTTTAATTTTTGACTAACTGAATCCAAAGAATAATTTAAACCCATATACACTTTTCTGAAGTATTTCATTGTACAAAAACAAATATGGTCATTATCGAAAGGAATTTTGTAACGTACTAATTCTTGTAACAGCATTCTTTTATCAAATGATAAGTTATGGGCTATTAATGGTGAATCTCCTACCCAATCCATAAAACTACAGAGCATAACTTCTATGGGCGGTGAATATTGTAATAAATAATTGTTTAGTTGATGAATTTCTTCTGCTCTTGGATGAATTTGTGCTTTGGGTTTGGCATAGCTTTGAAATATTACACCAGTTCTACAACCATCTATCAATTCGACAGCACCAATTTCAATAATGCTATCTTCTGCACTGAATCCACTGGTCTCTAAATCGAAACAAATGACCCTTCCTTTAGTAATTGGTTGATCCACTTCCTTAAAACCCTTTAAAGACTCTAACCATTTTAAATCCTCTGCTTTTAAAAAATTCTCTTTGTTACTTCTTTTTTCTTCAAATAATTTTTCGGCTAATTTTGCATCTTCATCAAATGGATTGCTATTATTATTTTTCATCATCCAGTTTGGTAATTTTCTATCATTTTTATTATTACTATTAACACTATTATCGTTTTCAATTTTAATTGTTTTATTTATATTGGTTGAGGTGGTTTCGTTTTCTTTTTTATCAGTTTTTTCAATTACTGGAGAGTAAAATTCATTAATTATATCAGAGTCCAAATCATAATCTAGATTTGTATTATCAATACCATTATCGTTATTATTAGTACTATTATTATCATTATCATTATCATTACTATTACTATTACTATCATCGTTTTTATCTTTATTATTTAGTGAGTTACTGATGGATGATTCATTTTTAATTTTTGGAAAATATAATATTGGGTTATCATTTTCAGTTTGAATTTCTTGTGTATTATCTTGTTGAGTTTCTAATGAACTATTGCTATGGTTTAATATTTTATTATCATAACTATTAATATTGTTACTATTACTATTACTATTACTATTACTATTACTATTACTATTACTATTACTATTACTATTACTATTACTATTATTAAATGAATAAGATGGCGTATTAAATGAGTTAATTTGTTGTGCTAATAATGGAGATGGTGATGAATTTAATGTATTATTGGATATTATTTTATTGTTATCGAAACTATTATTGGCAATTTCTATTTTTGGTTTTTTAAATAACTGATCTGATGCAAAATCTAAAAGGTCGTCATTGTCACTATCCATTATCTTTTTCTTTTTTTTTTTTTAAAAAAAGTGTTTTTATTCCATTAAAAAAAAAATAAAAAAATAAAAATTCAAATATTTTTTTATTTTTTTATTTTTTTTATTTTTTTTTAATTGAAAATTAATTCTAGGTATTATTTATATTTGTGAGATACATTTTTTTATTTTGTAAAAATTTTATAAATATAAAAAATTATTTATTTTTTGAATAAAATAACAAATTTAATGTGTTTTGTTTAAGAAATTTCTTAAATAGTTTGGGGGAAAAAATTAAAAAAAAATAAAATAAAAAAAAAAAAATTTTATTTTTTTCATTTTTTTTCAAAATTATTTTATTTTTAAATTTACAATTTAATAAAAAAATGACAGATAATGATAAAAAACATTCATTAAACGAAAATGGTAGTGAAGACAAAGTTGAAAAATGGATTCCTTTAAAAGAAAGAAAATTAAATCAAATTAAATCAAAATTAAACAATTTAAATAAAGAAAAGGAAAAGGAAAAAGAAAAAGAAAGAGAGAAGGAAAGAGATAATGAAGAACAACTAAACAACAACAATAATAATAATAATAATAATAACAACAACAAAATTGTAATAGAGGAAGTTAAACCGGTTTATCAACAACAGCAAAGTTTATTAGATCAAAAATTCGAAATGATAAAAAAGCAAGAAAATAAAACACAAAGAGAGTTGCAACATGGTATCACATCAATCCCAAATGAAGAAAATCCAACCGAGGACAAGACTGTAGATGAAAAAAGAATTGAAAGAGAAGAAAATGACATTTTAAAATCATTAAAAACATTTAAACCGTTGGTTTCAGTAAAGGATCGTGCAAAAGATATCACCTACACAGAGTCGATGAAGACCTCATGGAGACCTCCGCTATACATTAGAGAAAGAGATGAAAAAGATAATCAAAAAATTAGAAATCAAATGAATATTATAGTAGATGGAGATGACACACCACCACCCATTACAACTTTTAAAGAAATGAAGATACCACGATCAATTATTCAAGTTTTAGATAAAAAAGGTATTAAAAAACCATCACCCATTCAAATGCAAGGCTTACCTGTAGTTTTATCTGGTCGTGATATGATTGGTATTGCATATACCGGTAGTGGTAAAACTTTGGTATTCACTTTGCCAATGGTTTTGTTTGCTTTGGAAGAAGAAAAGAAATTACCAATCATCCAAGGTGAAGGTCCATTTGGTCTCATTCTTTCACCATCGAGAGAGTTAGCAAGACAAACTTATGATCTCGTAAATTCATTCACCGATTCACTTGCAAAAGATGGATTTCCTAAACTTCGTACACTCTTGGCTATCGGTGGTATTGACATGCGGGAACAAGAACAGGTATTTAGAAAGGGTATTCATATGATTGTAGCAACACCAGGACGTCTTTTAGAACTATTACAGAAAAAGAAGATCAACTTTAATCTATGTAAATATTTAGGTTTGGATGAAGCAGATAGACTTATTGATTTTGGTTTTGAAGACGATATACGTTCAGTTTTAGATCATTTTACAAATCAAAGACAAACATTATTGTTTAGTGCTACAATGCCTAAAAAGATTCAAGAGTTTGCTAGAAGTGCTCTAGTATTACCAGTTGAAGTTAATGTAGGTCGTGCTGGTGCTGCCAATCTTAATGTAACACAAGAGGTAGAGTTTGTAAAACCAGAAGCCAAAATAGTATATCTTTTAGAATGTTTACAAAAGACCCCACCACCAGTATTGATTTTCTGTGAAAATAAAAAAGATGTAGATGATATTTACGAATATTTATTATTAAAACAAGTAGAAGCAGTTTCAATTCATGGTGATAAATCTCAAGAAGAAAGAGAAGGTGCAATCAAGGCATTTAGAGAAGGTAAAAAGGATGTTTTAGTAGCTACTGATGTAGCTTCAAAAGGTTTAGATTTTCCCGATATTCAACATGTTATTAATTTCGATATGCCAAGAGAAATTGAAAATTATATTCACAGAATTGGTAGAACAGGTAGACGTGGAAATAAAGGTGTAGCAACAACATTTATCAACAAAACCAATACAGAATCATTATTATTGGATCTTAAATATCTTTTAATTGAAGCCAAGCAAAAAGTACCACCAGCTTTATTAGAAATACCCGACGATAATCAATATCTTCAAAAATTACAGGATCGTAACGATGCAGGCTCCGATGATAGTACCAAAACCATGTGAATATTGTGATGGTCGTGGTCACAGATTAGTAAATTGTCCAAAATTAAAGAAAACAAGCAGGTCCAAAAAGAGAAATTTTTCGGTTCTGGGTGGTGGCGATTGGGTAAAAAACAAATATGTATATTTTTTAAATCATATATAAAATTAAAATTTTAAGATAAAATAAAAATAAAATAAAAGTTTTTTTTGTTTTTTTTTTTAAATATTAATAGTAATATTACCAAATTATTTTTTATTATATTGTATTGATATTTAATTTTTTATTTTACCAAATTGGATTGTGAAATTGTTATTTTTTCCAGTTTATCAACAAATAAATTTAATTCTTCTTCGGTCACACAAAGATTATAATCTAAACCATATAAAAATCTTCTTTCCATTGTATTCAAATCTTTTACACTAAAAGAAAATATATCGGCTATTGTTTTGTTTTGAATATAAAGGCATTCATTCCAAAATTTTAGATTTACAATGGCGCTAATATAAATAAAAATAATAAAAAGTTAGTTTTTATTAAAACACCTTTTTTTTAAAATTTAAAAATAATTACCTTGTTAATAATAAATTAAATATTTGATGGTGATTGATACCCGTTCTTTCAACGAAACGGTCTGAAGAATAAATAATTAAATATAAAATTGAATTTGGTGGAGCACGATGTAATTCTATTAAACTAATAATCATATTAATAATGTCACTAATGGCAACTACCAAATCAACAGTTCTATGGCTTTTGATATAATCTTTGTCATGAGAAACTAACCAAGTAAATATTTTTTTAACTAGTAAAACTCGGCACGACGAGGACCTTTTGTGGAAATCTGCTCTTTGATTTAAAGTTTGGTAAATTCTTGAAGTTGTTTCACCAACAAAATTCCAATTTTCTAATGATAGGATTTTAGGGAATGGTTCGTTTACTTTTGATGTAATTAAATAAGGTTTTTTATAAATTCTTTCGTGGTTTTCAATATTCATTTTATGTTGTTCGATATGTAATTGTATTTTATCTCTTTCCTCTTTAGTTGTTTTAAGTTCGAGTTGAATTTGTTGTTGTTCCAATGTTTTATCTATTAAATCTTTTTCTATAATTTGTATCGAATTTGAAGTTGTAACGCTTGTATGATGGTTTTGTTGAACCACTACCTGTTGAGACTTCTTTACATGTTGTTGTGGTTCTTTATTATTATCATTTTCATTATTAGATGGTTGTAATTTCTTTTGCTGAGCTACAGTTGTTTGTATTTGATGTTTATTTTGAATTTGGTGTTGTTGTAGTTGTTGTTGCTGATATTGCAATTGTCTTTGGCCAGTAGGTATTTCCTGTGCCATTTGCATTGCCTGGTTTGCATTATAAATATTATTTGAAACTGAATTATTATAAATAGATGTCCCATTCCCAGTAGCCTCATATGTATAAGTTACATCTTTGGTTGTTTTATTTTTACTATCTACATTAGAATAATTTTTATTATTACTATAAAGCTCTTGCACTTGTTGTGGTTGTGGGTGGTTTGTTTGCAATTGTTGTTGTAATTGCTGCTGTTGTTGTTGATGAGACAATATTTGCTTTTCCATTTTATTATGAGCCTCCATAACGCTTGGGTAAGAGTTGTGAGTGTAAATATTGTTATTCATAGTTTCGTGTAATTGTAAATTATTATTATTATCTATATAATAGGTAGTGTTATTATTTGGCATTGTTGGCAAACTGTTTTGAAATGTCAAATTTGGATCGTACAAAATGAAATTATTATTATGTGTGAAATTTAAATTTAAATGTTGTTGATTCCGAATGAATGAATTATTATTATTACTAGTACTATAATATGAGTTATAACAATTTTGGGTTGAATTGAGCACTTGTTGCTGCTGTTGTTGTTGTTGTTGCCAATTTATTTGTTGCTGTTGTTGTTGCTGCTGTAAATTAATTTGGGTTTGTAAGTTTGTATTATATTCCAAACTATTAGTTTGAAGTTGAGAATTACTATTTACTAACCAATTATTATTATTTTGAATATACTGTATGTCTTGATTCATTACTATATTTATCATAATTATTTTTAAAATAAATTATTATTTAGTTATTATTAATAATTCTTGTTTTAAAATTATAAAAAATATATTTTTAAAAAAAAAAATAAAAATAGATTAAATTATAAATTACTTTTTTTTTTTTTTTTTTTATATTATAATTATTATTTAAGATTTATTAAAAATAATAATTAATTTATATAAATAATTATGATAAAAACAACAATTATATTATAGTTTACCATTAAAATAATATTATCTGATAGTATATTTTAATTTTTTTATTCTAAACACACAATAAAATAATTAGGTCAATGGAATTTTAAAATACAAAAAAATAAAATAAAAAAAAAAATGAATACCTACATATTTATTTACTTTTAATTAAAAAACTAAATATATATATATTTTATAGAGGAAAAAAAAAAAAAAAAAACAATACTATATTGTTGAAAAATATTAGAAAATTAAAAAATAAAATAAAAAAAAAAAAAATAAAATCAAACAATAATGTTTCAAATTAATTAAAAAACTATAGCTCTAAAATATTTTAGTTTTCATAAAAATATATAACTTTATATCTAGATCATTTTCTAAAATTACTTTAAAAGTATTTTTAGTTTTCATTTTTTCATTTTTAAAATTAAAAATATATCAAATCTAAAAACTAATATTTAAATTTCCTTTTTAAAAATTATTTTTATGTTTTTTTTTTTTTTTCAATTCGTAACCCACACACATTTTAAAAACTAAAATTTTAAAATAAAATATAAAAATAAAATATATTAAAAATTTAAATTTTAAAATATAAAAATTAAATAAATTTAAAATATATATATATTTTTTAATTATTTTTTAATTTTATTTTTTTTTGTTTAAAAACTAAATGAAATTTGTAAAAATTAGTAATTAAATAAAAAATAAATAACTAATAAACTTTTCTATTTTAATTAATAATTAAATTATATTTTATTTTATTTAAACTTTTATTATTCATTTACAATATTCTTCTTTTTATTCATTTTAGTTTCAACAATTTTGGTTATAATCTATAAAAATTTAAGTGGGGGGAAAATAATTAAAAAATTAGTATTTAATTAAGGTATTATTGATATATTTAAAAAAAACTTACAGGTTTTTGTAATGGTAATGGATCAGTGCATCTTTCGGCTATGGTATTTTCGCAGTCTTGTAATAAATTATCAAATGTTGTATTATTTCTAAAAATAAAAAAAAATTTCAAGAAAGGTTAATAAATAATTTTTAAAAAAAAAAAAAAAATATAAATTCTATATATAATGATAATATTAAAAAAACCATACCTTCCAAAGATATCATATAATGATAATCTTAAAAATTGTAAATCGATTTGAATTTGATGATATCCATTTGTGCCAAAAGTTTTTAATCTTAAAGATTCAACAAAAGATTTGAGTGAGATTCTAATTATTGAAATTAAAACACTATAGGTATTAAAATCGACTTGTTCTTGTTTCTTTTCAAAGAGAATTGAAGGAATATTTGTAGTTGTGCTTGATGAATTTCTTCTAATATTATCTGGTGTATTAGTGTTACTATTATTACCACTATTACCATTATTTGAACCAGTTCTACTATGAGATTTAACAGAAATATTTGAACCACTTGAGGCAACAGAACCCATTGGAAGTAATTTTGAAATTTCATTTTGAAGTTTAATAATCTCTTCTAAATAAATATCGATTACAGATCTAACATCTCTTGGTTCTTTTAATACTAACCAATTTGGAATTGATTCTAAACCTTTCTTTAAAATTTTTTCGAGTTTTTGACTAGAGAGACGAGTGAATACAGTTAAAATTGCTTGAGCAGTTTCTTTAATTCTCTTACAAAGATCTGGGGCATTGAAACCAAATACATTTAATTCTTTTCTGGTACCTTGTTTAACGATTGATACAAAGTCATTCATAGTTTGAACTACTTGGGTAATACCTTTTGATTCGATATAAAGACATATTGATGTTAGAACCAAGAGGAAACGACTACCAAATTGTTCACGGTTTGGTGTTGAGTTAATGATATCTAAATACTCTAAAAAGTGGATGTTTACTAAAAACAAAAAGAATTGTTGAGATTTAACTTGAATTTTAGTGAACATTGTGTCATAACTGGTTGATAAGAATTTGGTTTCGGTTGGTAAAAAGAATGGCTTCAAATTATCAAACAATTCAATGATATCGTTGATGATGTCTTTGGATGTGTTGTCTGAAATCTCTTGTAAGAATGATCCCTCTAAAGCTTCATCTTTCTTTTGATTTAATGTTGCATTTAATTTATAGATATGTTCTTTGATTGTCTTTTGAAGTGATTCAAAATAGAAATCAATTTGGTCATGTACTGTAGAATTGATAATATTTATAATCTTTTCTGATGATGATAACTCTGAACCTAATTTCGAGACATCAGAATAAATAATTTCTAATGCAATGATTTTTTCTTTTGGATCTTTGAATGATGATAATTTAGATTTGGCAATTTGAAGATATTTGTTAAATAAATCTTTTGAGAAATCTTCTAATTCATTAAATGAGTTTTGTCTTTCTTTTTTAGAGTCACTTCCATCCAATCTATTAATAAATAATGATTTGAATGATGCAATATTATATGAGTACTCTGAAAGGAAACTTGAATTTAGTTCTTTTATAAAATTGGTAATATTTTCAACTTGTTTATTTTCTAAATTATTTAAAAGTGATAATGTATGATGTTTTCTACTTTCTAAATATTTTGATCTAACCAATTCAACTGGTTCTAATAAATCCATTAAAACTTCTGCTGATTCAACTGCGTCTGTTTGTGATGTCTTAAAAAAAAAAATTATTAATACTTTATTTTTATATATTGAATATTTCTATTTTTTGTTTTTATTACTTACAGATAAACTTGATAGTCTTTCATAAAGTTTTTCCTTCATAGTTTTCATAATTGCATCACATTCATTTTGAATATTTTGAAATGATGGGATGTGACTATATTGCTTTAAAATACCACTGTTACTATTATAATATTTAACTGCTTGATTATATGCCTGCATTGCTAAACAATGATTTAAACTTGATGGTAATGCTGTTAAAAATTGTAACTAATTTTTAATAAGAATTAATATATTGATAAAATAAAAAATTAAACTATATGTATAAAAATAATATAATACCTTTTGTAATAGTTTTTGTAAACCACTTAATTGGTCGATTCTATCTCTTCTTACAGATAAAGTTGAATTAATTTTTTCAGAACAGTTTGTAATCAATTCCATATTTTTTGATAATAACTCCATACCCTCTTCCATATTTTCAACATTTGTTTTCATTTTTTTGATAATATCGGTTGCATTAATAAATTTGGTATAATTATCATAAACTAAAGTCTTCATATCACCATCTAAAGTACGAATTTCGCTGACCATTTGATTATCTTTTTGAATGAGCTGACCAAGTGAACTTGATTTTACGATACTACTGAAATAAGAGTCTAAATTAAATGATGGGCCATCGATATTTAATGGGTCGTTGGCAGATGGATCGGAACCATCACCAGTACCATAATAATTTTTTAAAAGACTTCTAACACGACGAGATTCATTTTTAGGACCACCACTAGATTGTTGTTGTTGTTGTGCTGTAGCTTCTGCCAATGATGAAAATGATCTATTTCCAGTTATATTTGAGTTATTTGAGGACGAAGTTGTGGATGACGAGCCTCTACCTGGTGACAATAAATTGTTATCTGCAAATGTATTATTAAAATCGTTGTCGTCGTCGTCATCCTCGTTCTGTGATTTCATCATTTGATTGGTGTTCATCTTTTCCCAAAATGACTTTAATGAGTCTCTAGCAGAGTGAGATTCATAGTTGCCATTTAAGAATTTGTTCAAACCATTAACATCACCACCATACTCTCTACAAAAATCCTGTGTTCCTAACTTGTAATGTCTGTAATAAAACTTTACTAATTTAGTATCACTAACTAAATGTGACATTTTTATTTCGCTATATTCGTGATATGAGAAAATCACAAAAAAAAACCAATTATAATAAAATAAATGAAATGAATTTTTCTTTTGATTTTTTTTTTATAATATATAAAAAAAAAAAATTAAAAATTTTAAAATTTTTTAATTTTTTTATTTATTTTTTTTTTTTATTTTTTAATTATTTTTTTTTTAATTTTTTTTTTTTTTTTTTTTTTTTTTTTCAAAAAGTCTTATGTCTTTTTATTTTTTTTTTTTGTTTTTTGTTTAATCATTTTTATTCTATTTTAATCTATATATATAAATAAAAACGGAAAATAAAAATAAATAAAAGAAATTTTATTTCTTTTTATATATTATTTATTATAATATCTATCTTTTTTGTTTTTTATTTTTTTATTTTTTATTTTTTTAAATTTAGGCACAAAGCTTCCACATAAAAAGAAATCGTGAAATTTTTAGACACAAAAAAATAAATAAATAAACAAATAAATTAATAAATAAATAAATAAATTTTAAAATAAATAATAACCTATGTTTTTATTAAATAAACCTATATAAATATAAATAATTTTTTTTTCTAAATTAAATCTAAATTAAATTAAATTAAATAAAATAAAATAAATAAAATGATAATAAAAGTTTTAAATAATAATAATAATAATAAAAATGAAAGCGCATATAACGATCATTTATTTTGGAAATTTTATAGAAATAAAATTATTCGTATAATTATATTTAAACATATAAGATTATTTAATCAACATAGACATATGATGGAAATGAAAATCGACCAATTAATGAAATATGAATATAAAGGTAATAATAGTATTAACTTTTTTTTTATTATTTTTTCCATTATTTCATTTCAATTTAAATTTTTAAAAATAAACTATTTTAAAAAATATATATTTTTAAAAAAAATAAAAAACAAATAGTTATTTTTTATAATTTATCATTCTATACTATTTTTTTATTTTTTTTATTTTTATTATTTTTTTGTCACAAAGTACTAACCACCACATATTAAAAAAAAAAATATTATATTTTCATATATTTTTTTTTTTTTATGTAACCCTTTTTTTTTGTTTCATTCATCTCTCTTTTAGATTATATAACATCACTTTTTATTAAAGATAATAATAAAAACCTAACTAAAAATGTTATACCCGATTCAGTTAGAGAGTTGGTCTTCTTTGACCTCTTTAACCAGCCATTAAAGCCAGAGTGTATTCCTAGATCCATCGAGTCTCTTACATTTGGGGATAATTTTAACCAGTGCATAAAGCCATTTGTACTCCCACAAAGTATAGAGAAGCTCCACTTTGGAAAGAGTTTCAACATGCCTCTTTTACCAAATTGCTTACCAACTGAAAATCTTAAACATCTAGTTTTGGGTGAGGACGATTTCAACCAACCAATTAAAATCAATAGCTTACCATCAACAATAGAATACCTTTCATTCTCCACATCATTTAATCACCCAGTTTTTGTCGATGGTCAAAGTATTTTACCTCACAGTTTAACCTACCTAAATTTAGGTGGTCATTTCAATCAAATTATCCCAAAAAATACACTCCCAGGAACCCTCAAAACTATTAAATTTGGATTTCATTACAACAAACCATTAAAGAAGAACTCATTACCATCCAGTATTGAACATATCCAATTTGGTCAATTGTACAATCAAAAGATAAAGAGCAAACGTCTTCCAACTGGCTTAAAGATTCTTCAATTTGGTAAAAACTTTAATCAAAAGCTCGCAAAGAATGTTTTACCATCCGGTCTCGATACACTTGTACTTGGTGAAAATTACCAGCAACCATTGGAAAGAACATCTCTACCAAACAAGATCACTCATCTCATACTAAATGGTAATCTTAATGATAGTTCAAAAAGCTGTGTACCTAATTCTGTTACCCATCTAACCTATATCGGCGCTCAAAAGATTCCAAGCCATATAAAGTTACCAGAATCCATCATCCATCTCGCATTTGGTGAACTTTACAATGATACCCTCGATGAACTTTTTTCAAGAATTCCATCCAGCGTCAAATCTCTATCTCTTGGGTACCGTTTCAATCAAGAGTTTCCTGATTTTAATAATGATATAGATCAAAATGATATAAATATCGAATCATTAACCATTGGCGAATGTTTTAACTGTCCAATCAATAGTTTACCAAAATCAATCAAAACTCTAACACTCAAATGTAAATACTATTACCATCCAATCAAAATGGAAGCTTTGGATTCAATAACGAACCTTTACTATACCAACGAGAAAATTTATGATGTTTTAAATTTAAATGATTTAAAGAATCATAAATCATCATCACTAAAAATTACCAAATTAATTGAAAATTAAACAATCACATAATCACTCAACCAATCAAAAAAAAAAAAAAACAATAATTTAATTTTCTTTTAAAAAAACAAACACACAACCACCCAAACGCCAAACATATAAATTACTATATGGAAATAATATCTTTTTTTTTTTTTTTTTTTTTCCTTAAATTCATCATTTAATTTTAATTTTTATATAAAATTAAACAATCCAAAATTATCAAATAAATCATTTATAAAAAAACCATTTAAATCTTTCTATATATCTTTTTTTTTTTTTTTTTTTTTTATAATAATTATTGTAAAAAAAATTAATTTAAAAAAATATTTTTTTTAATTTTTTTTTAAAATTTTTTTTTAAATTTTTTTTTTTCTTTTTATATTTTAATTAAATCAATAACATCATAATCATCAATTATCAATAAATAATATTTTAATAATAATTAAATTATAAATATTTTATTGTTCATTGTTTTTAGGGGGTTTATAAATAGAAATTTTAGAAAAGGAACAAAAAGCAATATTTACCTTAAAGTAAAAAAAAAAAAAAAAAAAAAAAACACCTATATTAAAAAAATATGGCTTGGGAACAAAAAAAGGGTGATAACTTTATCTTTGTTTATGTAAGTGGTGGATATGTCATATTAGGTACCCGTGATACCACCATTCAATCTTCCTCAGAGTATTGTTCAATTGAAGACTTCATTATTAAAGGCGCATTACAACAAACTGTAGCTCAGGTATATAATCTAGCCATATTTTAGCAAAAAACTATTTTATAATTAAATATTAATAAATATTTGTTTAATATATAGGAATTTGGTGAAAAAACATTTAAAGAAATTTATGATAAAGTAGCAAGAGTTCACCAACAAAGAAACCAAAAAACCTCCTCCCCTCAGGCATCTTAGCACGTTTCACAATAAATAAAAATTAATAGAAAAACAATAATAAATAATAAACAATAAATAATAATAGTAATGGTAATAATAATAAAAACAAATAATAATAAATAATAAGAAAAATAATGATCAATTAATAGTAAAATATTAATTTTAGAAATATTCAAAAAAAAAAAAAAAAAAAAAAAAAAATTTTACAATCCAGTTGTATTAAGTAAAGAATAAAAACACATGTATATTTAACTCTATTTATAACACACGTTTAACAAATAAAAAATTACTCTGTTGGGTGGTTCCTTTTATTTTTTTTTATTTTTTTTTTCTTTTTTTTTATTTTTTTTTTATAAAACCAGATTTTTTTTTTTTTATTAAAAAATTATTATAATTTACATAATATAAAAAATATGGAGGAAGTTAAACTAAACCCATACATATTTAATGATATAATTCCTTATATTATTTACAATGAAATCTCATTTAATAAAATATTGGATTTATCATTATTATCAAAATCTACATTTAAATCTTTTCAAACAAAAATAATTTTAAATAAAAAACTACCACTTTCATTATTTGAATTTATAAAATATTTAAAAATTGATAATAAAAATAACAATAATAACAATAACGACGACAATAATAATATCAGCAATACTTATAACATTAAAGATTGTAATATATATAATTTAAAATTAATTCAATATAAAGAGTTAGAAACCATTAAAATATCAAGTTTACAAGAAAATAAGAAAGAGATTGATTGCATATTGGGGATTAATACAAAAAACACTAATAGTAATGGACAAGTCAAAGATTTTTTAACCAAACATTTAGTAAAATTAAGAAAAGTGGTGGTTGATAATTTATTCATAAAAACTTATCCACCTTGTTTTTCAAACTATGACTACACTTGTAACAATTTTTTCAAAGTTAAAAACTGCTATGTATACTGGGACCACTCCAACCCGCCCCTATCACATGGTGAAAGAATATATGACTACAATGGTTATGATGACTATGATTTGTCATCGCACAACTATTACTTTAATTTTATCACTAATGTAAAACCATCAAAGCTTATAATTGAAACCAGTGTATATAATCCAAATAATTATTTTGAAGATATCCATATTTCAGATCTAGAAACTTTAATATTCGAATGTCAAGAATCAATTAAATCAATTGATTTTGTAAATCATTTTACACCTCTAAAATTAATAGAGTCAATTTTTAATCCAAACAATGATATTGACCTTATGAACGATATAGAACAACTAACAATACCAAAACTAAAAGAGCTATCAATTATTCTAACTCCGTCTGAGATAAATAAACTGTGTCAGTTAGTGTCTAACAACAATAACAAGAACATCTGCAAACTTATACTAAAGTCCACAATACCATCCTATGAAACTAAGAGTGACACTGTTAATAATTTTTATAACCCTTCAAGATTTTTAAAAGAATTATTTTCAAATGGCAACAACAACTCTATTAGAACACTAGGCTTAAATTTATTTAAAATTAATGACCCAATTCATTTATCACCTCTTTTAGAGTACCCCAACATAAACACAATATATTGCGACTCCTACTCAGTAGAACCATTTCTTCAGCATATCAATGAAAATAAAAAAATTATAAAAATAATATATCAAATATCAAAAAACTTATACACCACCGAAAAAGAAGATACCAACTCGAGCAAAAAGGAGCAAAAAAAAAGAATAAATGTAACCCAAATAAAAAATGACTTTAATATTCAAACTAATATATTTAATCAATTTTTTAAAAATAACAAATCTACAAATTTAAAATCAATCACTATTTTAAAATATGGAGAAGGAATAAATAGAAATAGTAACAATGGAAAAATCAATCAATTTATAAAAACAATATCAGATTTATACTGTGCCTCCAAAAACCCAAATAATCACTTTATTTTAAATTTTAAATAAATATAATAACAAAATATTTTAATCTAAATAATAATGCTAATTTTATTTAAATTTTTAAAAACTTTGTATCTATTTTATTCTTCTGGACTATGACCACCTATCTCCTCGGTAATAGTTTGGTTTCTATTTATTGCGTTATTTGGTGAGTTGTTAGAACTGTATGTTTTATCTTCCCTATATTTCAGATCAGCCTCCTTATATAACCTATTTTTTTCTATAAAATTAAATAGTTAATATTCATTAAATTAAAATACTATCTAATAAGATTCTATTTTACCTTTAAAAAACTCAATAAACTCCTTTTCGAATGTATAGATCAAATCTTTATAAAACTTTATCTCGCATTTCGTTTCACCAAAACCATTAATTTTTTCTTTTAACTGTTTAATTATTTGATTTTCTTTAAAAAAACTATTAATATTTTTTAAATTTAAACTTTTTATAATTATATTCATATTTACTATTATTTAACTCCTCTTGTAAACTAACCAATTCATATTTATACCTTTCTACCTCTTTATAATAAAAAAAAATATTTAGTGTTTTATTTTTATTTTAAAATATTTTGAAAATATATTTACCTTCTTTATGTCTTTGGAAATGTTCCATTAATAAATTTACACTACGTATAATTGAGTTTAAATCCTTGTCATTCAAACTAGTTAAGTTATTAATCCTGTTGTTAATACTATTATCTCTTTCCATATTATAAATATAAATATGAGTATAAAAAAATAAAATAAAAAAAGTATTTTATAAAAAAAAAAATAAAAAAAAAATTTTATATTTATTATAATAATTTCTATTTTTATAAATTATTAATTTTATTATAAAAATCAATTAATGATTGATATGTTACTATATTTTTAAAATTTTTTTTTACTTTATTTATTACTGTTTTTAATAATAATTATTAAATTTAATTTTCTTTAACAAAATCTTTTAAGGCTTTGAATGATTCAATGTAATCGGTAACTTTTTTGTTGTGAACATAGTCGTGAACAAAGAAAGCTAAACGTTCATCGACACCATATTGTTGTAAAAGTAATAAGATATTTTCTTGGAATTCTGGAGTAGTACCTGAGATATCTACTGGATTGGTGATATCTTTGAAACCACCTTTGAAGAAACCAGAGACGACATAACTACCGTCGTGTTCGGCATAACAACCAAAGGTAAGTTTACCTTCTGGGTTACCTTTTGGAGTAATTTGAACTTCGAATGGGTGATCGTGTGGGTTACCAGCATCTTCTTCATCTTCTTCACCTTCTTCTTGTTCTTCTTCATTTTCTTCTTCTTCTTCTTGTTCTTCTTCTTCTTCTTCCTCTTCTTCTTCTTCTTCTTCATTTTCTTCTTCATTTTCTTCATTTTCTTCTTGATCTTCTAAATTTTCATCGAAATTTTGTGAATCTTCTAAAGTATCGAAACGAATGCAAATTTCAGTACCATCAGCGAATTTTTTAGTGAGGACGGCATATTCTGGTTCTTTGGTTAATTCAAAACCTGATTCTTTTAAGTAAGTTTCGATTTCTGATGAACCTTCTGGGAAGAGGTTTTGGAATTCAGTCATTTCATTTTCACAAATATTAGCTAATAATGATTTTGGGGTTGGGGTAGCTTGGATTTTGCTGCTATATTGTCTAACTGCGAATTCTTTAATAGTTTCAGTGCTGTATAATTCGGTTCTAATACCATTCATATTTGGTTTAACATTTAAGTGGGCTTTATGTTGGTGATGTGAATCTTTGGCTAATGGTTGAACGGTTGAACCACAACAACTTAAAAGACCAGTTCTTAATCCATTGACGGTTTTTAATGAACTTTTAGCCTTTGAAAAAGTTAAAACAAAATTACCAAGATTTCTACCTAAAGCTGACATTTTATTATAAATTATAGTACTAATATATATTGTAAAATAAAAAAGTAAACTAAAACTTTTTTTTAAAAAAATAAAAAAAAAAATTACGCCAACCTACGAAAAAAAATAAAATAAAAAAAAAAAATAAAAAAATTAAAAAAAAAAATTTTTAAAATATTAAAAAAAAAAAAAAACCTTTAATTAATCATTACCTCACCATTTTAAAAAAAAAAACTTGAATATAAATAGAGTAATTACTGTCTTTTATATCGGTTTTTCCACTAAATTATCATTCCTATACCACATTTATAAATAAAATAAAATATAAATTAAAATAAAAAACTAATTATACCAAATATAATAATGGAAAGTTTAAGTATTTCTGATAATATTGAAGATTCACAACCACATTTAAAAATTGAGAAATTTATAGATATATATGAAGATACAAAACTTTATTTTATGTTTTATATTTTTCAAAATCCAAATTCACCATTGTTTATTTGGGTATCTGATCAACCAAATTTAAATACATTATCAGTTTCAATGAAAATTCCAATGGTATTTATAGAAAAAAAAAAAAAGCAATAAAATATCGATATACTAACTTTTTTGTTTTTCATGATATAGGAAAAACTACCAGTTACATCTGAACTAATAGATTCTTCATTTGGTATTTCAAAAGATTCCTCAATGTCTTTGGCTCAAAGAATAGGTAAATGATCACATTCATTTTATTAACTATTTTCTCAAATCATTTAGTTTATAACTTTACTAATATATCATATTTGTTAACTACTATAGTAATTAAATTTAAAGTTCAAACATTTTTGAGTATAAATATTTCTCAAGAGCTTCCCGAAATGACCCATTATATTGAAAAGAAAATTTTTGAACTTTTGAGCCAATATATTCCAAAATAAATCAAACCACATTAATTTATAATAACAAATAATGAAACCATTTTTATAAAGATATCTTCAAAAGGATAATTATGTTAAAAATAAAAAAAACCCCACCAAAAAAATTTTAAAAATTTTTTTAAAAAAAAAAAAAAAAAAAAAAAATAACGAAAAAAAAAAAAAAAAAAAAAAAACCTTTTTTTGTTTCATTTTTTTTTTTTATTTTGTTTTTATTTTTTACAACAAATAAATATATATATAAATTAAATAATTTTAAAATGTTAAAGCATTTAAGAATTAATAAAGATTTATCGTTAATAACCAATTTATATATTTGTAATAGTAGATGTTTAAATAACAATATTAAATTTAGATCGTTTTCAAATAAAAAAAGCAATAAAAAAGATGATATAATTTTAAATGGAACAATAGAATATGTATCAAAAGAAGATTCGTCAACACAATCAATTAAAATGTTATTAGATGGATTAAATAAGAAACCATCACCAACATCACAGAAAAAGAAATTAGCAAACAAAGACGAAATTATTGAAGAACAAGAAGAAAATAATGAAGACAATGAAGAAGACTTTGATGATAAAATAGAAATATACGATGAAAACGATATGGAAATATTAGATTATTATGGCGAAAATGAAATTATAGAAAAAGATAGAAGATTAGAAAACTATCAACATGACGAAAACCGTATGGAAGGAATGGAAGATTATGTTTTTGACGATGAACCAAATGGATCAAATAAAATAATAAGCACAGCAGACAATAAACAAGAATACGATAATGATAATGATAATGATAATAATAATGATAATAATGATGATAATGATAATAATGATAATAATGATAATAATGATAATATTTATAATAGTAAAAGAATTTTAACAAAAGCTGAAAAAAAAGAAGCAAAAAAGAAATTTGAAGAAAAAATTAGAAAACAATATGGCAGCAAAGCAGAAAAAATTTTATATAATATTCAGATGAAACAAAAATATGGAAATTGGGACCCAAAAAGCAAAATATCAAGAAAAGATATGGACCATTTAAGATCACTTTTTAAAGAAAACCCAGAATACTACACCATACCTGTATTGGCTGAAAATTTTGGAATCACTGAAGGTGCAGTTAGTAGAATTTTAAAATCAAAATGGGAACCCAACAAAGAAAAATTAGAAAAACTCCAAAAGAAAAAAATTGAAGACAATAAAGAAAAATACTCACCATACTCAAAATCAAACAAAGATAAAGAATTAAACGAAATTGGTTTATCCTATCAATCTAAATTTGGCTATAAACCAAAAAAAGAATCAAATAAAATCCCAAAAGTTATACCACACTCAAAACTTGAAAATATTGATATCAATAATTGGTACAATCAAGCCAAAAACTACAACGAATTCAGAATCAAATCATTCAATCCCTCAAATTTAAAAAACAATTTGGAAAAAAAAGAAATTGACATAAATTCAAAAATTCAAAAAATAAAACAAATTGAAAATCTTTTAAAGTCGAAATAAATAGATTTTAAATTATTTTTAGTTTATTCAAAAAAAAAAAAAAACCCAATTATATTTGTTTATTTTTTTATATTAATAAATATTATAAATATTATAAATTTATAAATATTATAAATATTATAAATATTATAAATATTATATCCAAATATATTTATTTTCCTGTAATTTTTTTTTAGAATAGTGTGGAAAAAAAAAAATAATTGAAAATAAAAATAAAAATAAAATAAAAATAAATACAAAAGAATCAATATTAGTTTCTTATTTAATAATCTATAAAAAGAAAAACTGAAAATATATTTTTTTTTAGTTTTTTTTTTTTTATTTTTATTAAATTGTTATGTGAATATTTCATAAGGTATATATTTTTTTTGTGCTCATAAAAAAAATTTTTTTAAAAATAAAAAATTTTAAAAAAAAAAATGAAAATTTTTTTTTTAAAAAATTTAAAAAAATTATTATAGCTTTTTTTTTTTTTTTCTTTTTTCGTTTCAAACCTTACATATAAAAAAAATGGTATGTGGATGTGTATACATAAAATTTATCTCTCTTCATTGTTATCTTTATCTTGTCTCACTTATCTTTGTATAAAGCATGGTATCTTGGTTTATCTATCATTTATCATCAATTATCCATGAAAAAAAAGAGATTTAGATAAAGTTTTTTTTTTTTTTTTTTTTCTATGAGATAGATAAAATCAAAGAAATAAAAAAAAAAAAAAAGAGATAAAAATAATTTTTTTATTTTTTATAATACTTATTAACAATTTTAATTATAAAAACAGAGCTCAAAGAATTTATTCGATCTCCTTCAAGACGATGAAGATGTCGAAAAGACTGGAAAAACTAACACCAAAGCTAATACAGCTTTAAACACTGGTGCCACCACCACCACCACCAAAAAAACCACTGAAAAGAAATCAGATAACAAAGGTATTTAATCATTTAATATTTTATTTTTAAATTTATTTAAAATAGAAAATATAGTTGTTGTTCAAACCAAAATTAAGAAGATCACAAAAAAAAAAAAATAAAAAAAAAATAAAAAAAAGAAAATAGTTTGGTAAAATGGAATATAGCATACAGGTTATATGGGTCATTGGCAACAGAAAAAAAAAGAATAATTTAAAAATATAATAATAATAATAGTAGTAATAATAAAAATAAAAAAACCGAAAATCAAAAAAATATTTAGAAGTACACCACAATAAAATTTTGGAACAACAACGAACGAACAACAATATTTTATAATCAATAAGAGAATATAGTATTAATTGTATATTTTTTTTTTTTCCTAAAGAAAAATCACCAAGAATCGGCGGTCAAAACAAACCACAAAGAAAGATCACCAACAGCACCAACGGTGAAGTCGTCTCAGAAGAAGGTCGTTCATCAACCAAGAGAGACAGCAAAACCCACGGCAGAACTCCACGTACTGACGCTTCTGGTAACATCCGTAACCGTCAATTCGACCGTAAATCAGGTACTGGTCGTCCACACAACGAAAACAAGAAAGGTGGTGCCGGTCAAAACAACTGGGGTAAAGAAGGTTCAGTCGAAGAAGCTGCTGCTCCAGCCAATACCACCGAAGAAAAACCAACTGAAGAAGCTACCATTGCCGTTCCAGCTGTTGAAGACAAAACCATCACTTTAGCTGAACACTTCAAACAATTACAATCCCAATCAGTTGCCCAAGATGCTCCAAAGATCAGAGTTGCTGGTGAAGGTGAATCAACTGCTCAATGGGACGATTTCGAACCACTCGTCAAAGTCAGCCCAGTCAACAAAAAAGATAACAAATCAACCAAAGAAGAAAAGAAAACCAAAAAGAACTTCATCCAAGTTGAATTAAAATCAGGTTCATCAAAACCACAAAACCGTAGAGGTCCAAACAAAAAAGCTCAAGCCCCAGAAGTTGACGAAAAATCTTTCCCAGCTTTATCAAAGGCTTAAATTTGGTTTCATTTGTGAATAATTTTATTAAACACAACAGTCAATCCTTTATGCTCATATAAAAATTTATTTTTTTAAAAATAAAAAGAAAAAAAAAAAATATATATAAAAAAAAAAAAAAAAAAAAACTAGTTTTTTTAATGTGTTTGTTTTATTTATTTTATTTATAAAAAATTATTTTATTTAAAAGTTTTTTTATTAAAAATTTTATTTATAAATATATTTATTGTGTATATATTAATCTAAAGAAACTTTATCTGATTCTGCACCATACAGTAATCTTAGTTTCTTAAGATTATCAGATTCTTCTTTTGGTCTATCATCAGATGTTGCAGTTGTGGTTGTTGTTGTTGTTAAATTTGGATCTCTATCTCTGCTGTTGCTTCTTGATCTTGATCTTTTTTTACTATATTTGTCGTCTTCGTAACGATCTGTTCTTCTGTCATCATAACGGTCATCTTTTCTGTCACTATAACGACCATCTCTTCTGTCATCATAACGGCCATCTCTTCTGTCATCGTAACGATCATTTCTTCTGTCACCATAACGGTCACCATATCTATCATCTCTTTTGTCATCGTAACGATCATTTCTTTTATCGTCATAACGGTTGTCTCTGTAACGGTCACCATATCTGTTATCGTTATAACGATCTTCTCTTCTGTCGTTGTATCTATCATAACGGTCCCTATTGTTGTTTCTGCCTCTTTCATCCCTAAACTTCTCTAGTTCGTCTCTATAGGGATCACCACTACTATAGTTATTGTTATTATTATTGTTTCTATCATTCTCTCTATCTCTACTGTTTCTATCATTCTCTCTGTTTCTATCATTCTCTCTCTCTCTACTGTTTCTATTACCTTTACTATTATTACTATTATTGTACTTTTTATTTGGTTTATTTAAATTATTTTCAATTTCGTATTCTTCAATTTTTTTATCTAAATCTTGTTGTATTTTGGTTGGGATTCTTGGTAATATGGTACCAGAGAATTTATTTTCTTTTAATAAATCCAACATTAGTTTTTGGATTGTAACCTCTGAGTTCTTTGAAATTAATACTGTATCGTGGTCATCTAAATAATCTATATACCATTCCCAAATCTTTGAGGGTGGATATGAATATCTTAAATATAATATACCTATTCCTCTTGCATATGGTGAGTCTTGACCTAATAATCCCTCCATTTGTTTGACTGTTAACTTCATTAAAAAAAATTTGTATAATAAACAAAATGCTGTTGAAGGGTTTTTAGTATTTGAGATGTATGGTGATAAACAATCGACATTCTTTTTAATTTCATCTAAAACTTCGTGATATGTTTTTTTTGAACTATAATAAATAAATAATAAATAAATAATAATTAATAGTTAATATCTATATTACTAACATTACAATAATAGGATAAAAATAAAACAATAAATTAAATTTTACCAATTTATTCTATAATAGTAATAATATAATTGATTTTAAATAAAAGAGAACAAGCTTTTTAATATTTCTTTTTTTTTTTTTTTTTTTATTTTCTCTGTAATGCTATCTAACAATACTTACTATAGGTTTTTAAAATATAAAGAGGACTGAATATTTGATAACAATATGTTATCCAAGTTCATAGTTTTTTCATTTCCATGAATTTCTAATATATTTGCCATTTTAAATTGTATATATAAATTGTATATAATAATGAAAATAAAAAAAAATAAAAAAAGAAAACTGTTGAATTTTTTTAAAAAATTTAAAATTTTTTTTTTTTTTTAATTTTTAATTTTTAATTTTTTCCTTTTTTTTCCTTTTTTATTTTTTATAAGTAATGAAAATTCATCAAAGAAAATGAAGGTATTTAATAAAAAAAATAAATAAATAAAAATAAAAATATATGAAAAAAAAAAAAATAGAATAACTAAAATATCAAAAATTGGGTATTAATTAAGAATTGCTCAATTTGATAATCAGGTTAATTTGGATAGTAATTAAGTTTAACTGGAAGCTATTCAAGGTTGTGTTTATTTATAAAAGAAATTGGTAGCGCCAAAAAAAAAAAAAAGTGAAATTATGAAAGTGGGGTAAAACAGAAATTAGGGAGGGGGAACAATTTTATTTAATTATGTTAAATAGTCAAGGTAATATAGTTCCAAATGAATGTATATAGCAAATTTGTTATAACTTTTTAAAAAATATTAGGAATCTTTATTTCTTTATTCTTGGCACCCTTTTTTTATTTTTTTTTTATTATTTTATATTTTTTTGAAAAAATTTTTTTTAAATTTTTTTTTTTTTTAATTTTTCATTTTTTTTAAAATTTTTTTACATTTTTCAAAATAATAATAATTTATTTTTTGATCAGGTGAAACCGTAACGAAGAATAAGAAATAAAGTGTTAAATCGGAAAACCAATATAAATTCTAAATAATAACATACACTTTAAAATCAAAAATAAAATTTTTTAAAAAACAATAAAAAAAATAAAGTTACGGTTTTATTAACAAAATAATAAATATACAATAATAGAACAATAGAAAAACAGTAACTAGCATATAAATATATAAAATAAAATGGATCAAGAATCAGTTGGATATTGTAATAACCCCGATTACTTTATTCCTCCAAAAGGCTCATTAGACGAATTATACAATCCATCAAAATTAACAGACGATATTAAAGCTGTGGAGGTAAATACAACAACTTTCTAAATTCTTTTAAATAAAAAAAAATAATGAATATTAATATTATGATTCCTTTAGGAAAAATGGAAATTGGTACCAGCTTTTTTAAAATGTAGAGGTTTAGTTAAGCAACATATTGATTCATTCAACTTTTTCGTTAATGTGGAAATGAAGAAAATTGTCAAAGCAAATGAAAGATTAACAACTGAACAAGATCCATCATTTTTTGTAAAGTAGGTGGTTATTGGGAAAATTTTTATTTTTTTTTTAAAAAAATATTAATATTTTTTTTATAGATTTGTAGATATTAGAGTAGGTTCACCAATTTCAACAGAAAATGACGATTTTGATTCATCACAACAAACACCACAAAAGTGTAGATTAAGGGATATGACTTATTCAGCACCAATTTTAGTAGATATTGAATATACTAGAGGAAAAACAGTCATTGGTAAAAAAGATGTTCATATTGGTAATATACCAATTATGTTACGTAGTTCAAATTGTGTTTTAGCAAACAAAACTCACGAGCAAATGGCTTTACTTGGTGAATGTCCAATGGATCCAGGTGGTTATTTTATTGTTAGAGGTGTAGAAAAAGTTATCTTAAACCACGAACAACTTTCAAAAAATCGTATCATTATCGAAACAGATTCCAAACGTAAATATAATTATAATTTTATTTAAAGAAATATAAAAAAAGAAATTCTAATAATTTTAAAATTATTCATTTAATTAAAGATTTACCATCCGCACAAGTAACAAGTAGTACACATGAAAGAAAATCTAGAACTACTATTACATTAAAAAATGAAAAGTTATATTTAAAACATAATACTTTTGGTGAAGATATACCTGTTGCTATTGTTTTAAAAGGTATGGGTGTCGAAACTGATCAAGAAATGGCACAATTAGTTGGTAGTGATGATGTCTTTTTGGATGCCATTGCTCCATCACTTGAGGAGTGTTCTAAATGTGGTGTTCATACTCAAGCTCAAGCATTGGATTATTTAGGTAGTCGTATTAAAGTTTTTAGAAGACCATATGGTGTACAAACAAAGAAAACCAAATCAGAAGAAGCACGTGATATTTTAGCAGGTGTAGTTTTAAATCATGTTCCAGTACGTCGTTATAATTTCCGTCTCAAAGTTATCTATATCTCTTTAATGATCCGTCGTATTATTATGGCATCAAAAGATAAAGGTTGTCTCGATGATAAAGATTATTATGGTAATAAAAGAATTGAGTTATCAGGTCAATTAATTTCATTGCTCTTCGAAGATGTTTTTAAGAAGTTTTTATCAGAATTAAAGAAATCAATCGATCAAGCTATTGCCAAACCAAATAGAGCCGAACCTTTTGATTTCCCAAAACTTATCAGAACTGATACTATTACAAATGGTTTTACACATGCAATTTCATCTGGTCAATGGAATCTAAAGCGTTTCAGAATGGAGCGTTCTGGTGTTTCACAAGTACTTTCTAGATTATCTTATATTTCATGTTTGGGTATGATGACTCGTATTCAAAGTCAATTTGAAAAAACTCGTAAAGTAGCCGGTCCACGTTCACTTCAGCCATCACAATGGGGTATGCTTTGCCCATCAGATACACCAGAAGGTGAAGCTTGTTTAGACCCAAATACAATTATTCAGTTATCAAATGGTAAATCAAAATTAATAAAAGAACTTGTAGATGGTGATGAAATTATTACAGTCGACCCAATTACAATGGAGCAACATACAACAAGAATTTATTCACATTTTATTAAAAAATCAAAAGATTATGGTAAACAGCTTTTAAAGATTACAACTATTACTGGTAAAGAAATCATTTGTACAGAAGATCATAGATTTTTAACAAACCAAGGTAGTTGGAAACATTCAAAAGATTTAATAAATGATGAAATTTATATTTTAAGCCAACCTTTAGCAGAGATAAGCAATAATAATCAAGATACTTTTGAAATTTTAAATGAACATATTTTACAAGAAAATCAAATTTCAAATGAAATTATTCAAGATTTAAAAAATAAAAAACTATTACCATTATTAAACTCAAATTTAAATCAATTATTAATTATTTCAAGAATATTAGGTTCTATTGATAAATTTGGTCAAGATGCACGTCAACAATTACCAATTATTCAGTTCCAATTTAATTCAATGCAGGATTTTAACAGGTTATTACAAGATATCAATACTTTAGGCTTTGATAACCCAACCTATACATTAAATTTGGAAGAAATTACATTAAATAGCAACAATAACAACAACAAAAATGTTATCATCGATTTTATTGGCACATCATTTGTTTATTTTATCAAATCATTATTACAATTAGAAAAAGGTTGGATTGAAAAATTAAATAATCAATTAATTACACAAGAATTTTTATCAAGCTTTATTAGCAATCCAAATAGAATTCATTTCAACTTTGAATTAAATGAAAATAATCAATTTAAATTATTATTAAATTATAAACAACAACAACAACAACAACCACAACCACAACAACAACCACAACCAAATAATGAAATATTCAATATTAAATTATTAAATCAATTATTAAATCAATTAAATATTCAATCAAATGAAATTGAAAATTCAATTATCATTCAAGAGAATCAAGATATAATGAAATTTGTAAATATTTTTAACTTTAAATATAATGCCAAAGAGAATACCAATTTAATTCAAATTAGGGAATATTTAAATTATTTAAATTACCAAAACATGAAGCATAGCCAGCATTCACAACTATCAACAGAAAGAATTATAGATTTTAATAGTTATTTCAAAAAATTAAAAGTTAGAAACAATTGTTTAGCAATTTTAATCGATAGAATTGAACCATTAAACTTTGAACAATATCCAGAAATTTCAGATTTTACAACCGAGTCAGATTATCACAGTATGATTAGTAATGGCTTTATTACCCATAATTGTGGTTTGGTAAAGAATTTTGCATTAATGACCCATGTTACTACCGATGATCCAGAAGGTCCATTACTCAGATTAGCATTCAATTTGGGTGTTCAAGATATTCTTTTAGTTACTGGTGAAGAGTTAAATAGTAGAAATGCATTTTTAGTACTTTTAAATGGTCAAATTATAGGTATCCATAACTCGCCAGATTATTTTGTAAATACACTTAGAAAAATGAGAAGAGCCGGTAGAATCCGTGAGTTTGTTTCAATTTGTAAAAACGCTGCTCAACAAACCATTAATATTGCTTGTGATGGTGGTAGATTGTGTCGTCCATTAATTATTGTAGATAATAGGGTTCCACGTCTTAAACAAGAACACATCGAAGACTTGAAGGATGGTTTACGTACTTTTGATGATTTTATTAAAGAAGGTATCATCGAATATTTGGATGTAAATGAAGAGAACGATTCATATTTAGCCTGGAGAGAACTTGCAATTAAACCACATACTACTCATTTAGAAATCGAACCATTCACTATGCTTGGTTGTGTAGCTGGTCTTATTCCATATCCTCATCATAATCAATCACCACGTAATACCTATCAATGCGCTATGGGTAAGCAAGCTATTGGTGCAATCGCTTATAATCAACTCACTCGTATCGATACTCTCTTATATCTTTTAGTTCATCCACAACGTCCACTTTGCCAAACTCGTACAATCGAACTTTTACAATGGTTTAGATTACCAGCTGGTCATAATGCTACTGTTGCCGTTATGAGTTATTCAGGTTATGATATTGAAGATGCTTTGGTAATGAATAAAGCCTCTTTAGATCGTGGTTTTGGTCGTTGTATCGTATTAAAGAAACAAGTTACCTCAATTAAGAAGCATGGCAATGATACTTCAGATCGTATTTTCCCACCAACTCCAGACAACTTAAGACAATCGAAATTTGCACTCTTAGATAGTGATGGTATTGCTAAACCAGGTGAACTTGCTCAAAAAGGTCAAATTCTTGTTAACAAATACTCACCAATGAATACTGTAGATCCAGCTCCAAACCCAGAATTAATCCCAGATAGTGCCTATAAATCATCCTACATGGGCTATAAATACGAAAATCCAGCTTTTATCGATAAGGTTTTATTAACCAATGGTGATGATGATCAATTACTCATCAAACTACTTATGAGAAGTACTCGTCGTCCAGAATTAGGTGACAAGTTTTCATCGCGTCATGGTCAAAAAGGTGTTTGTGGTATCATTGTTAAACAAGAGGATATGCCATTCTCTGATTTGGGTATTTGTCCAGATATTATTATGAATCCCCATGGTTTCCCATCTCGTATGACTATTGGTAAAATGATTGAGTTATTGGCTGGTAAAGCTGCTGTTCTTTCTGGTAAGTTTGGTTATGGTACTTGTTTTGGTGGTGACCGTGTTGCCAATATTTCAAAGGTACTCATTTCAAAAGGTTTTAGTTATGGTGGTAAAGATTATGTTACTAGTGGTGTTACAGGTGAACCATTAGCTTGCTTTATCTTTTTTGGTCCAATTTTTTATCAAAAACTTAAACATATGGTTATGGATAAAATGCATGCTCGTGCTAGAGGTCCAACTGTTACTCTCACTCGTCAACCAACTGAAGGTAGAGCCAGAGGTGGTGGTCTTCGTTTAGGTGAAATGGAAAGAGATTGTCTTATTGGTTATGGTGCTAGTGCTCTTATTATGGAAAGACTTATGATTTCTTCTGATAGATTTACTGTTTATTGTTGCAAAAAATGTGGTTTCTTGGGTTATGAAGGTTATTGTCAATATTGTAAGAGTAGTGTTAATGTTTCAACAATTCAAATTCCATACGCTTGTAAATTATTATTCCAAGAGCTCCAAGCTATGAATATCGTCCCTCGTCTTAAATTAATCGATTCATAAAAAAAAGAAAATTAAATAAATTATATTATTTTAAAATATATGAAAAATATATAATAAAAAAAAATTAATTTTGTTTTATAAAAATATGGCTTTATTTATTTTTAAAAATTAATAGGTTTTATCTATTGTTATAATAACTATAAAAAATAAAGAAAATTCTGTTAAAATATTAGTTAAAAAATAATTTTAAATATTTACCTTAATATCTTTTGATGTTAGTTATCACCAAAAAATAAAACTCCTTTTAAAACAATAACTGATTTAAAAATAGGTATTGGTCCAACCAAAGTGTAATCTCCAGAAGGAAATGATTTACATCTTTTATTGTCATCTCTTTAACCATCCCGAAGCTATATTAAAACTTTTTTCAATTGCAACCATATCTTTTTTTCAACCAAAAACCTCAACTCTCATTTGAAGAAACTCTAACTTCACTTAATTTAATAAAATTAATTAGATTGATTTATTATTTACAAAATTTAGAATCTAATGCATACCTTTTCATTGAGCTGCTATATTTTTTTTAAATGAATGAAATTAAATGAAAATATTAAAAAATTAAAAGTCGGTAAAAATTTTTGAAATATTTACAATTTTAATGCAGATTTTTTAAAATTGGGCTTCTATGAAACTTTGGGGATCTAGATAGGATTTTTAATTATTCCTATTTGAATATAATTGAATGAAGGTAGGATAGTGCTTCTATTCCAAATACTTTTCTAATAATAGATTTAAATGATTAAATTGAAAACATATTCAAATGATTACTAATAGTTATTAAAGATTTTTTATAAAATATAAGACCAATAAAAACCTGTAAAAACAAAAAATATAAGATTAAATATATATTTAATAGTAATCTTTAAAAATTACATTTATCCCTTTTAAATTACTAATTAATTAAAAAAATTGGTTTTTTAACCAAATAATAAAAACATTCATTTAATTTTTTTTTAATTTTTAATTTTTTTTTTTTTTTTTTTTTTGTCACCGAATTTTATTTATTTCATAAAAACATCATCATTCTTACTATTGCGAATATAAGGGTCAGAAAGAGCTACTCTTTCCTATTTTATTTTATTTTCTTTTATTTTTTTTTTTATTTTTTTTATTATTTAGTTTATTTTTTATTTTTTTTATTTTTTTTATTTATTATTTTTTTTTTTTTTTTATTAAATTAAAAAAAATAATCAAATTATTTAATATATATGGATAATATTTGTTTTGTTTTATTTTTTTATTTTTTTTTTGTTATCAAAGAATTAAAACAATTGTAACCCTTGTTTTCTAGAAATATTTGTAGGTAAAAAAACAAAAACCCACCGCAAGAATATATTTTTTTGTTTTAATTTTTTAAATTTCTTTAAAAAATAATAATTTATTAAAAAAACCATACAGATATTTGTCAATTTAAAAAAAAGCACTTCACCATATGCGGAGTGCGGCAATCAAAAAAAATAAAAAAAAAATAAAAAAAAAATTATAAATAGATTCAAACATAAACTGGTTAATATTTATTAAAAAAAAAATTAAAATAATAAAAAAAATCTTTTTTTTTTTTTTTTGTTTAATAATTATTATTACAAATATATTTTTTTTTTTTCTTCAATTTTATTTTATTTTATAGCAAATTTAAATATTTTTTTTTGTTTCCTATTTTCTTTTTTCAAGTTCCTATTTTCTTTAAATTTTATATCTAATAATTTTTAATATATTTTTTTTTTGTTTTATTTTGCTGTTTATGTTTTTTTTTTTTTCCTTTTTAAAAGAATTTCAAATAAAAAACAAATCTTCCCCCTCAAAAATAATTTATTAAATAATAAAATAAAATAAAATAAAATAAAATTTCAAAATAAAAAAAAATTAAAAAAAAAAAATTAAAAATTTTAAAAAAAAATATATATTTTGTTTATTCTTTATTCTCTTATTCAATATTTACAATAAGTTTTTGTTTTGATTTGTGCACCATATACACAACCCACACATTCCCACTCACAACCACACAAACACACCAATTTTTATTTATTTTTTTTTTTTAATATTTTTTTATAAAAAAAAAAAATATTAATTATATAAATTATTTAAAATAATTATATTAATATTAATTATAATATAAAATAAAATGTCAGAACACAACAATATTATATATTCACCAAATTCAAAAGGTACATCAGCTGATATAGGAACAACTATATCCTTTACCGATATTAGTAATAATAATAATAATAATAGTAATAATACTAGCAACAGTAATAATAGTAATAATAATAATAACAGTAATAAGAGTGGTGGTTTTTTTAAATTATCATCATCACCAAAAAAGAATTTTACAACTACAACTACAACAACTACAACCAATACAACCAATAGTTTATCACCAAATATTTTAACAAGAAGCAGAAGTAACAGTATGAATAGTGGAGGAACAGCACATGTAATAAGTTCAAGAAGTAGAAGTAATAGTGTAAATAGTAGCAGTGGTGTTGAAGCTGGTAGTAGTCATACTAATAATAATAATAATAAATCACAATCAACATCAAACAATACAGCAATGTTCCAAAAAGAAAAAGTTGTAAAATTTAATACACCAAATATGTCACCAGAGACACTTAGTGGTATCGGAGGTATAGGTGGATATGGAATATCATTCTTTTTGACATCATCTCCATCACCAAATACTTATTTTAATAATAATAGCACATCAAATAATTTATCAAATTTTTCATTGCTTGATGAAGGCTACATGGATAATATTGTTTATGAACACTTAAAAGATGTTACAACTTTATCAAAACAAAGAGAAATATCACTACTATGGAACAACACTATAATACCACCAAATAGCACACAGGCAAGAAAAGATTTAAAATTTTTAGTTAGAAAGGGTATACCCGATAAAAAGAGAGGTATAGTGTGGCAAGCAATTGTGGGCACCAAAGATGCTGACGAAGATCATTGCTATAATTCCGCCTACAGCTCTAGTTTTGGTGAAATTGTAGACCCTAATATTCGTAATATACCGGCATTCGGGGGTGTAGTTTCCCCATCGGACCATTTGTTAACCGAGGCGGGTGTAAAACAGGTTAAATTCCTATTAACTTTAATTCATACAAACTCAAGTGTAGAGTATTGCCCACAATTACCTGACCTTGTACATATTCTCCTCTCATTTATGTCAGAAGCCAATGCCTACACAACTGCCTCCTTAATGATTAAAGATTCCGAAGAGGGTTCACCTTTCAAATGCCTAAATCTGGATAAAAAAGAATGTGCAAAATTTGTATTATCATTTGACCACCTAATAGAAATTCATTTACCAAAATTACACAGACGTAAGTACCTTAAATAATATTTATTTTTTTTTCTGATTTTTCATATGCAATCGTTTTTTTTAGTTAAATTCAAATAATATCAAGAAAATATATTTCAAAATTAAATTAAAATAATAATAATAATAATATATAAAAGTATTAAAGTCTTTTTTTCTTGTTTATCACCCCCTAAAAATTTACACACAATATTTTTAACACCAAAATTATTTTTTTTCAATTAATCAAAACAAAAAAAAAATATCTTTTTTTTTCAAATAATTATTTTTTGTTAATATTTTTTTTTTTTAATTTATTTTAGATATGCTTTTAATTGGATTGACAAATTCATTTGTTTTTTCCGATGAATGGTTTTCAAGATTATTTGTATCATTTTTACCATATACAACAGTACTAAGAATTTTCGATGTATTTTTAAATGAGGGCTATAAAGTATTGTACAGAATTGGGCTTGCTCTTTTAAAGACTCATAAAAAAGAGCTGAAAAAGAAGACAACAATGGAGAAATTTTTAGCAACTTTAAAATCTTTAAATTCAAAAATGTATGATGCTGAAGCATTAATTAAAACTGCTTTTGAAATCTCATTAAAAAGAAGTCATTTGGAAGATATAAAAGTTAAACAAGATCACAAAGTTAGAGATGTTCCCGAACCAGTTCCAATTTATTATAGATCTAAAATTTCAGTACCTTCTCAAATTTTGGATACCGATGATGTAAGTATTATTAAAATTATTTATAGTAATATATTTTATAGGGTATTAATAGTTTTTTATTTAATTTTATGTAGTTTGAATTAATTTGGGCATGGTTGCCAGCAAGATTATCAATATCAACACCAAGATTATTATTTAATTCATATTCACATGGTTCAAATCTTAGATTACTTTACGAAAATTGCAATGAAAAACAACCATTATTAATAGTATTAAGATCAAATAATGGCTCAGTATTTGGTTTTTTTACTGATGACGAATTTAAACCAAAAACAGGGTTCGGAAGTCACAATTGTTTCCTTTTTACCTTAAAGCCACATGTTCATGTATATAGGCCAACTGAAAAAAATCAATTATTTATGAATCTAAAAGAACAATCAATTTCAGTAGGTCAATCAAAGTAAGTAAATCTATTTTAATTTTAAAGTATTACATCTTGATATTAATAATATATTTTAGTTTGGGTGAAATTGGTTTACATATCGAACAGGATTTAAATGGTAAATCACACTATACAGAAACTTTTGACAATCCATGTTTAAATTCAAATGACGAAACTTTTCAAACTGTTGTATTAGAAGCATTTTTAATCGAATAATTTTTTAAATTATTTTGTGTATATAGTAATGTAATAATAAAATAAAGAAAAAAAAGAAAAAAAAAATATTTATTTATTTTTTAAAGAAAAAACAAATCATTATCGCTTATTTTTATTTATTTTCTTTTTATTTATTTAAAATTTACCAATATTCTGGTTTTGTTATAAATCTAGATAATGCAAATATTAAACCGTGTGAGTAAATATGGTCACGATGTAATATTGAGTTTGTATAAACACCCATGGCACCTTCGTTTGATCTTATGTCAGTTTGTTGGGTTAATTCATCCATGATAACTGCAAGTTCTTTTTTATTTACAATGATTTCGTGCATTACTTTTGGTGGTAATTCGAATCTAGCAGTTGAGGCAATACCAATATTCTCTGGGTCATCACGTGAAACTACAGCGATCCAACCACACTCATACCATTTATCGACTGGATCTTTAATATTATTTACACCACCTTCCATTCCAACACCAAATTTAGCTTCTGGTACTTTGATTAAAGATTCTTTAGCTCTGTTAATTGCACCCTTAATACATTCTTCATCAGACATTGGTTGATCTGATACTAATGATGCTGCTTTACATCCAACAATTGTAACTTGACACTCTTTAAATGCTTGATCAAATCCTAATTGTGCTGCTCTAATTTTAGCCTTATTTTCACTAAAATTATAAATGGCATTTCATATAAGTAAGAGATATATGTGTTTTGTTTAATTTGACTTACCTTCCAATTGCAACAATCATTTTACCAAGACTTTTCATTAATTTATTAATTGAAAATTAATTACCCGTTTTTTCTCAAAAAAAAAATAAAAAAAAATAAAAAAAAAATAAAAAAAAAAATAAAAAAAAAAAAAAATAAAAAACCATATTATATCTAATTTTTTTTTTGTATAAACAAGTAGATTTTAAAAAGATTTCAAAAAGATATAGACCAATCAAATTAACTTTAAAGAAGCCACAGATTTCAAATGCTCATCAAATATTAAACACATTTTTTGTCAATTGACAACAATATATAAATGATTGTTGTGCTTTATAGACTCTTTATTGAGATGTTTGACTATTGATTGAGCTTCTCCTACAATCAGACTATTTGTGTTTTTGGGATTGAGGTCTAATTTTACTTTGAGTTTGGATCAAGGACATTCCTTTAAGGTTTTTTGAATTTTATTTGTTTTGTTAATTCTTGCTTTTCCCAAACAAAAAATTTGGGTTTAATATAAAAAAAAAAATAAAATTAATTATTTTACTTTTTTTTTTAATTTTTTATTTTTCCTATTTTTAATTGTTTATTTTGGGTTAAAGGATAAATTTGATCAAATATGTGTAGTAATTTTATAATTATTTTTTATAAATATTTAAAGCAGGTCTAATTCAAGACAATTTGTCTCTTTTATGTAAACTGAATAAGGGTTCCATATTTACAAAATAATGGATATGTTGGGTGTTTTTATGTGTGTGTGTGTGTGTGTGTGTTTTTTTTTAGATAAAAAAAAATTAAAAAAATTATAATAAAAAAAAAAAATTTAATTTTTAATTTTTAATTAAAAATTATAATAAAAAAAAAAAATTATATTATATGCATATATACACATATTATATAAACACACTCACACGCTCACACTAACACACATTCAAATTTATATCTATAATAATATTATTAATTTATATTTATATATTATAATCACTACTATTACTAGTACACTAAACTTATTATTAGTAATCTTTAATTTAATTATCATTATTTAATTCAATTTAATTTTATTTTTTTAATATTTTTTTTTTTTTGTATAGTTTATTTATTGTTTAAAACAATATACAATTTTAAACAATAGTTATTTTTATTTCTTTTTTTTTCTATTATATATATAAATAAATAGTAAATAATAAATAAATTATAATAAATTATAATAAATAATATTTAATATTTATAATAGTAATAAAAACAATAATAATTATAAAATAGTTTTAAATCAATAGTATAGAATGAATATTTTGATAAAATCAGAATTAGGAAATGACAGAAGAAGATTCAGATTAAAAGAGTGCAGTTTTTCATGTTTATGCTATACCTTAACCTCAATATACTCACTTTATTCAGATGCAATATATTCCATCTTTTATCTAGATAATGAAAATGAATGGATAACATTGGCCTCGACTGATGATTTAAAAGAATCCTATTCTTTATGCCCATCCCTTATTAGAATCAAAATTGTAGTCTTAGATATTAGTTTAAATAATAACAATAATGGTAATAACAACAATAATAGAATAGAAAACACTAATTCCAATAATAGTAATAATAATAACCCTGTAAATAATTTAAAACAATCCTTATATAATCAATCCTCAAATAACCTAAATAATTATCAACAACCAAATAATAATGGTTTTAGAAATGTAAATAACAACAATAGTAATATTAACAACAGTAGTAATAATATTCTAAACAACAATATGAACAAACAAGTTATCGATATCGCATCACAACTTTTATTAAATGATAATATTAGAAGTCAGATGAATTCTATATTATCTGGAACATTATCAACATTTTTGCCAGAAATTTTAGAAAAAACAATTCCACACACAATTCCAATATTGGTCTCAACAATCTCACAATTAAAAGCAGAATCTGAAAACAACTATGACGAACCTTCGTTTTATAAAAATAAAGACAAACATTACTCATGCGAAGATGAAACCAAACATATAAATTTAAAAAATGCAAATAAAAATATACCAACTTCAAAATCATCTTATGAATTAAATAATCAAAAATCAGGCAACAGTTCAAATAAACCTCAGCCTTTGCAGCCCAATATAATGTCGCAATCATCACCAAATTTAACATTCTCCTCCTCATTAAATAATATAGGAAATGGTATGGAGCCTATTGAAATTAATCCAACATGTAGTAGCAATATTACAACCTCAACTTCACTTCCACCAACTCCCACTGCATCAATGATCCCATCTGCCCAACCTCTGTCATCTACATTTGGTTTCATCCCATCCCCAAGTGCAAGCAACAATAATAAAGATAATATATCTCAAAGTGTTCCTTCATCTGTAAATACAAGAAAAACATCAACCCCTTCACCAATCGGATTCTTATTTAAATCTTCAATAACTCCAACTTCTAGTAATTTACCTCCTTTCCATCCACCAAATACACCATGTTCAACACCATTAGATGGAAGCTCCAACAATATTAATTCAGAATCAACTCCATCAACTACCTCTTCATTTTCCTTTAGACCAGTTTCACCGACAAATATTTCATCACCCTCGTTGGAAAACTCAAATAGCTCTTTAAATGGTTCAAATAGTAACAATAACAATAACAATAATGAAGTATCACCATTAAAAAAGAAATTTAGATTTCCATTCTTTTCATCAATTTTAAGTGGAAGCAATTCAAGTACAACAAATCTTAATAGCTCTACCAATACAAGCAGCACAAATTTGACACTTAAAAAATTAGAGTCTCCAGAAATATTACCATTAGAATCACTAAATTTAGATAAACCAAATACATCAACCACAAATCAGGAGCCTACACTATCATCCTCATCAAATGATATCACAAATGATAATTTAAATAATAATAGCAATGGTAATCACGAAGACAAGTCAAACTATCAATTAATTGAACCATTGCCATTAAGTGTGCTTGGGGATATTGGTACATTAATTATTGGAGATTTACATGTCAATAAAAATAATGAAAATGACAAAAAAATCAATCTAAATAATAGTAATAATAATATTAATAGTAATAGTATCAATTGTATAGATAACAATAGCATTAGTCACCAAAATCATAATTTGGATGAAGAGTCAGAAGATGAAATTTCCAGAGAAATCAATTTAAATGAACACAAAAAAAATTTAAATAATATTTTAGATAGTTTAAAAATTCAATCTGATGACTCCATAGTTATTCTTTCACCAATAACACTATCATCATCCTCAAGTAGTATTACAAATAACAATAACAATAACAATAATAGTATAGCAACAAATGATGAAAAATAATAATTTATCCTTTTATTTTTTTTACCATCGTTATCATTACATTAACCAAACAAAATATATATTTATAAATTAATTTTTTAAATAAAAAATAAAAAGGAAACTTTTTAATTTACAAGAATATTATAAAAAAAAACATTTGACTATTTAAATTTTAGTTTAGTTACTGTTTAGCCATAATTATAATAAAATTCTCACACAATTAAAGATAATATTAATTTTTTTAATTTTATTTTTATTTTTTTTTAATTTTTTAAAATTTTTTTTTTTTTTTTATTTTTGAAAAAAAAATGTTTTAAAATCATTTTTTTTTTAATATTTCTCGAAATAAAATGTCATCAAGTAATTTAGAACAAGTTACCAAAGAAGTCGAAAAAATGGAAGTAAACCCAGCCGCTGTCGAAAAAAAGGAAAAGGCTCCAAAAGAAAAGAAAAATAATCCAAGAGCCTTAAAAACACCAAAAGGTACCCAAGATTATAATCCATCACAAATGACAATTCGTGAACAAGTATTTGATACCATCAAACAAGTTTTTAAGAGACACGGTGCTGTTACAATTGAAACACCAGTCTTTGAATTAAAAGTAAATATCCAAACAAGATTAGCGATTAACAAGTAACGAAAAATAATTTATTAAAATAATTCATTATTATTTTTTTAATTAGGATACTTTAACAGGTAAATATGGTGAAGATTCAAAATTAATTTATGACTTAGCAGATCAAGGTGGTGAAATTTGTTCATTAAGATATGATTTAACAGTACCATTTGCTCGTTATGTTGCAATGAATCGTGTTCAAAATATTAAAAGATATCATATCGCTCGTGTTTATCGTCGTGATAATCCAGTTATGACCAAAGGTCGTTTCAGAGAATTTTATCAATGCGATTTCGATATTGCCGGTGAATATGATGTTATGGTACCAGATGCAGAATGTCTTCGTATTATTTGTGAAATTTTAGATCAAGTTAAAGTTGGTAAATATGTTATTAAATTAAATCACCGTAAACTTTTAGATGCAATTTTTGCAATTTGTGGTGTTCCAGCTGATAAATTCCGTACAATTTGTAGTGCAGTCGATAAATTAGATAAATCACCATGGGATGAAGTTCGTAAAGAAATGGTTGAAGTTAAAGGTTTAGATGGTGCTATTGCTGATAAAATCGAAGAATTTGTTAAACTTAGTGGTCCACCATTCGAACTATTAGAAAAACTTCGTACTAGCGGTATGTGCGATTCAAATAAAGATGCTGTTGATGCTCTTGCCCAATTAGAAACCCTCTTTGGTTATCTCGAAGCTTTAGGTTGCACCGAACGTATTTTATTCGACTTAAGTCTTGCCCGTGGTCTTGACTATTATACCGGTATCATTTATGAAGCCGTTCTTACTCAACAAGATCGTGTCGGCTCTATTGCTGCAGGTGGTCGTTACGATGGTCTCGTCGGTATGTATGGTAAAAAAGATGTTCCAGCTGTAGGTTTTTCAATTGGTATCGAACGTATTTTCACCATTTTAGAGGAAGAATATACCAAAAACAAATTAAAGATTAGAGAAAATCAAACTCAAGTTTATGTTGTTCAAATGGATAAAGAATTATTAAAGGATCGTCTCAAGATTTGTTCAGAACTTTGGAATGCTGGTATCAACGCTGAATTTGCCTATAAAGTTAATCCAAAAGTTGCTCCACAATTAAACAGTGCAAATGAAAGTTTAACTCCATTAACTATTTTAATCGGCAAAACTGAAATTGAAACCAATACCCTCTCTGTTAAGAATATGAAAGATAGTAAACAAATTTCAATTCCACGTGAAAATTTCACTGAAAAAATTAAAGAATTATTAAATAATTTAAACTAAAAAAATAAACTAAAATAATAACTTTAAAAATATACAAAAAAAAAATATAATCTTATATTTTAAATTATTTTATATATTTTGTTTTTTGTATTTTATTTTTATATTTATAAGAAATTTGCCATATATATATATATTTTAAATCAATAGTAATTCATATGGATAAAATTATCATATTTTGGGGTTTTCAAATAAATATCTAATCATGAACATAGTATATTTATCTTTTTTTTTTTTCATTATTAATTCCTTAAAAAAAATATTATAATAATATTTTTTTTTTTTATTTATTTTTAATTTTTTTTTAAATTTTTTTAAATTTTTTTTTAATTTAATTTTTTTTCTTCATCATCACTTTCTCAATTTTTTTTTATTTTTTCTTTCTATATTTTTTTTTTTTTATTTTTTTATTTTTTTTTTTTCTTTTTAAACAGATAAATATAATTTATCAACTTCTAAGAATACATATCCAAAATGTCATTCTTTTTAGGTCAAATCTATGAAAAATTCAGCAATTTAGATAAAGATATCAGATTCATGGCCACCCATGATCTCTGTAATGAATTAGAGAAAGAAAATTTTAAGTTGGACCCAATGTATGATGGCAAAATTGTTACTAAATTATTAGCCCTTACTGGTGATTCTGCAAATAATGTTCAAGAAAATGTTGTAAAATGGTATTTATACTTTATATTTAAAGTTAATTTAATCTTTTATTTACTTACAATAAAATTTAATTGCTTTTGATTTTTTTCTTTTACAGTTTAGGTTTATTAATTAAAAGAGTTAAAGATACACAAGCTACAGAAATTATTGAATCATTATCAAAAAATATTTTAGAAGAGTCATCAAAAGAAGATTTAGTAGAAATCTCATCTATTGGTTTAAAAACTATTATTGCCAATTTACCAGCAGAAGGCAACCAAATTTCAGGTTTAGTTATTAAAATTTTAACACCAAAGTTATTAAATGGTATTGATAGTGTAGGTTATAATTTAAAATTTTTAAATCTCAAATAATTTAATTAATAAATATTTTTATTTATTTTAATATTTTAATATTTTAGGCAAAATTAAATGATAAAAATGAAATTAAAATGTCATGTTTGGATATTTTAAATGATTTATTACAAAAATATGGTTCTTTTATGGTTCAAGATTTAGAGACTATTCAAAAAGTTGTTTTACCAAAATTAACAGCAACTAGACCAGCTATTAGAAAGCGTGCAATTTTATGTTTAGCCAATATAGCCGCTTCATCAACAGATGCTCTTTTCAACAATCTTATGGAGTTTATTATTAAATCAATTGAAGATACCAAAAAACCAGAAGTTAGATTCAACGCCGATCATATTGGTACTTTAATTCAAGCCATTGGTGCCATTTGTAAGTCAAGTGGTTATCGTTTAGGAAAATACCTTCCAAAATTAATGCCATTTATTATTGACTATTGCAACATTGCCTCAGAACAACATGAAGAACTTAGAGAGAATTGTTTACTCTGCTTTGAAGCCATCATTGAAAAATGCCAAAAAGATGTTACACCATATTTAGAAGAAATTATTACTCTCTCAGTTAAATACATCAAATACGATCCAAACTATTCTGATGATGGTGACGATGAAGAAGAAGAAGAAATGCAAACTGATGAAGATGAAGAAGAAGAGGAAGAAGAAGAAGAGGATTTAAGTGATGATGACGATATTACTTGGAAGATTCGTCGTTCCTCATGTAAAACATTATGTGCCATCATTTCAACTCGTCCAGAATTAATTTTAACTTTATTTGAAAAAGTTGCTCCAATTCTCTACAGTCGTTTCAAAGAACGTGAAGAAAATGTTCGTCTTGATATTTTTACAACCTATGTATTACTCTTAAAACAATTAAATAAGAAATTAGTTAATCCAAAAGCCAAAGAAGTCCTCGAATCTCAAGTTCCCAAATTAGTTCAATCAATTAGCAAATCATTAGTTGATAAATCAATTAGAATTCGTGTTGGTGCCATTGCTTTACTCAAAGAATTGGTTTTAGTTATTCCAGGTTCATTAACTAATCAAATTAATCAACTTGTTAGTGGAATTAATTTATCATTGGGCGAAAAGAACACCAATTCAAATTTAAAAATCGAAGCTTTAGTTTTATTAAAACTTTTACTCACCAACCACCCAGCAGAATCATTTGAATCACACGTTTCCTCATTAAGCGGTCAAATTGTTAAATGTATCAATGATAGCTACTATCGTATTGCATCAGAATCTCTTCGTGTTTGTCAAGAATTTGTTGTAGCTTTAGGTAAAATCCGTCAAAATGTTGATAGTTGCAATAAAATTATTCAATCATTATACAATGCTACCTTTACTCAATTAAAGGCTCAAGATATTGACCAAGAAGTTAAAGAAAGTGCCATCTCTTGTACTGGTACAATTATTGCTTTATTTGGCGATCTCATCCAAAATGAAATTCAACCATGTCTTTCAATTCTTTTGGATCGTCTTGATAATGAAATTACAAGAGCAGTCACTGTTAAAGTTTTATCTCGTATTGTTAATAGCTCAATCAAAATTGATCTCTCTTCAATTCTTCCAAAATCAATTGAATTACTCTCAACATTCCTTAGAAAGAACAATCGTGTTCTCAAACAATCATCATTAGTTGCTCTTAATGATATTGTTAAAACTATTCCAAACGCTCTTCCAATTTCCTTACTTCCAAATATTCTCAATGAAATTTCATCATTAATTAACGAATCAGATCTTCAAATTACCCATTTAGCATTTGTTTTCATCCAAAATCTCTTAAAATCAAACTGTGAAAAAGAAGCAGCTCCATTAGTCAATGATAAATGCATTCCACCAACTCTTGTTTTACTTAAGAGTTCACTTTTACAAGGTGTTGCTCTTGAATCACTTTTAAATCTCTTTGGTACTATTGTTCAACTTAACCAACCAGGTATGACATTCGATGACCTTTTAACTCTTTTATTCAATACTGCTGCTGATATCAAACAACCAGTTACTCGTCAATCATTCAATTCAATTTCTCAATGTATTGCTGTAATTACCGTTAATACTACAGCCGAAAAGAGAAAGAGTACCATTCACAACCTCATCTGTAATTTATCTTCAGTTAATGAGCCATTAGTTTTACTTTCACTTGGTTGTCTCGGTGAAATTGGTCGTCGTGTTGATATTCACGAAAATGCCAATCTTCAAGAACAAGTTTACAAAACATTTGAAGCCAATAATGAAGAAATTAAACAAGTCGCTGCTCTTTGCCTTGGTGATATCGCCGTTTGTAGTTTAGCCACCTATCTTCCATTCATTTTAGAACAAATTAAAAACCAACCAAAGAAACAATACCTTTTACTCCATTCACTTCGTGAAACCATCGTTAAATTAAGTCATAGCGAAACTGGTATTAAAGCAATTCACCCATATATTCAACAAATTCTCCCAATCCTCTTTGACAATTGTGTCAACGAAGAAGAAGGTACTCGTAACCTTGTTGCTGAATGTTTAGGTAAACTTTCAATGCTCGAACCAACTGATATCATTCCAAAATTAGTAGAAAAGATTACCTCATCATCACCATTAGAACGTTCAACCATTGTCACATCCATTAAATTCTCAATCATGGAAAATAAAGCTACCGTCGATAAATTCCTTGCTCCACAAATTCCACAATTCTTTGTTTTATTAAATGACAATGATTTAGTCGTTAAACGTTCAGCACTTTTATCACTTAACTATATCGCTCACAATAGACCAACTCTCATCCGTGAAAATCTCACCACCTATCTTCCAATCTTGTACAACAATGCTAAAATTAAACCAGAACTTATTCGTGAAGTTGATCTTGGTCCATTCAAACATAAAGTTGATGACGGTATTGAAATCAGAAAGACTGCTTTCGAATGTATGTATACTCTTCTCGATACTTCAGCTGATAAAATCGACGTACCACCATTTATTGCCTCATTATGCGATGGTCTCAAAGATACCCAATACGATATCAAACTTTTATGTCATTTAATGATCATCCGTTTAGCTAATGTAAATGGTTCATCTCTCCTCGAAAACATCACCACACTCTTGGATCCACTCAAAGTTATCCTTACCACTAAAGTTAGTGAAACCGCTGTCAAACAACAAGTTGAACGTAATGAAGAATGTATTCGTTCAGCTTTACGTGCCGTAGTTGCTATCTCAAGAATTCCAAATAGCGAATCCATCGTTAAATTTGAAGATTTTGTTAAAACTGTTATCCGTTCAACAAACTTATATTTACAATATAATGCTATTCTTTCCGAAGATAATACCAATCAAGACTCAATGGACACATCAAACTAAAAAAAAACTATAAAACTATAAAACTAAAAAAAAAATATTTAAAGTATTTATATTTTATATATTAAAAAATAAAATAAAATAAAATAATATGTATTAAATAATAATGAAGATATTTGTTTTTGTTTTTTTTTTATTAATTAATTTACAATTTATTTTATTTATTTAATTTGGTCGATTATTTACCAAAACCACCACGACATGATGGTGATGGTTCTGTTTTTTCTTGTTGTTTTTTCCATTGAGTTGGTGTTCTTGATGTTATCGATAAAGCATGGATTTTAGAATTACCTATATAATTTGTTAAAATTGTATTTACTAAACGATGTTGTTCGATCATAGTTAAACCTTCGAATTTTTCGCTAACTATTTTAACTTTAAAATGTGATTCGCTACCTTTTTTAAATAAACTATTAATAAAACTATTATCTTTTATATAATTTAAAGTTAAATTACCTTTTGGTACATTATGCATATAACTTTCGTTTATTATTTCTAAAACAATTGGTTTTAATTCTTCTTCTAATAATTGTTTGATTTCATTTTCGATTGACATTGTATTATTATTTGGTAAATAAAATAATTTATGATAAAAAAAAAAAAAGCAAAAATTTTGAAAAAAAATTTAATAAAAATAATTTTGGTATTTATTTTATTTTGTGTATATTTATATTTAAATAAATTTATTTAAAGTTGCATAACAAGTAAATGTTTGGATATCTATGTGTACATTTATTAGAAAAAATTTTAATTAATTTTAATTTTTAATTAAATTTTATTTTATTTTTTTTAATTTCTTTTTTTTTTTTTTTTTTTTTTTTTTTTTAAAATTTTTTTTTTTCTTTTTTTTTTTAAATTCAAAATTTTTTGCGCCAAAACTATTTTAAATAATAATCATTCTGTATTTTCTTTTTTTATTTTTTATGTATATATATTAAATTTAGAAACAAAAATGAGTTATAAAAGAAATGTCACAAATAAACCTGGACAAGGAAACGAAAAAAAATTAAAAACACAAACACCTACACAAACCTATAGAGGAGAAGATGAAGAAGAAGAAGAGTTTGATGACGAAGAAGATGAAGAGGAAGAATTTGATGATAAAGAAGATGATGAAGAAGAAATAGATTACGAAAATGTTGCTATAGCAGACTCAATGGACCTCGATATTCAAGATGATGGATCAAAGCAAATTACATTATGGGCAAGAAATCCAATTCCATCAGATTTTTCGCCAAAAAAAGACTCATTAATATTTCAACAATTAGAAGTAGATTATGCCGAAATTAAAGAACCAGTACCAGGTATGCCAGGTCCCTCTGTTGGTCCATTACCAGTGGTCCGTTTATTTGGTGTTACTAAAAACGGTAATAGTGTATTGTGTAAAGTTCATGGTTTTTTACCATACTTTTTTATTAGCTGTCCACCTAATTTTACACAATCCGATTGTAAATCTTTTAAAAAAGCTTTAAATGTAAATATTAGTATAATATAATAAGTATAAAAAATATAATCATTAATTTATATTGTTTTATTTTCTAAAAGGATACTATGAAACTCAGTTATAATTCTAATGAAAAAGAAGTTGAAGATATTGTCATCTCAATTAGAATTGTCCAAAAGAAATCAATTATGGGTTATAATCCAAATCCTTTAACAGACTTTATTGAGATTACATTAATTCTACCAAAATTCGTTACAAGATGCAGAGATATTCTCGAAACAGGTAAACATCGTTTTGAAATTCCAGGTCAGCCATTTAGACAATATCAAACCTACGAATCAAATATACCATTTGCTTTAAGATTTTTAATTGACAAGTAAATATAAAATTTTTTAATTTTTATAATTTATAAATATTAATATTATTTTTTTTTAGAAAAATTCCAGGTTGTAGTTGGATTGAATTACCAGCAAATAAATATCAATTTTCAGAAAATCAAGTCTCAACATGTCAAATTGAAGTTGATATCTCGTAAGTTACTTTATTTATTTAACATCACAAATTTATATTAATTTTTTTTTTTTTTTTTTAGAAATAAGGAGTTATTAAATTATAGTGATGAATCATTTGCACCATTTAGAATTTTATCATTCGATATTGAATGTGCAGGTAGAAAAGGTTTTTTCCCAGAACCAGAAAAAGATCCAGTCATTCAAATTGCAAATATTGTAAAGAATCAAGGTGAAAGTGAGCCATTCATTAAAAATATTTTTACATTAAAAGGTTGTTCAAGTATTGTAGGTGCTCACGTTATCTCACATAAATGCGAAAAAGATATGTTAAAAGAGTGGAGAAAATTTTTAATCAAGGTCGATCCAGATATAATCATTGGTTACAATATTGCAAATTTCGATCTTCCATACTTAATTAGTAGAGCTAGAACATTAAAGATCCCAGAGTTTGCACTTTTAAGTAGAATTAAAACAACTATCTCCAAAATCAAATCAACTCATTTCTCTAGCAGCAACTTGGGTACCCGTGAAAGTAAAGAAGTATCAATGCCAGGTAGAACTCAATTTGATTTAATGCAGGCCATTCAAAGAGATCACAAATTAAGTAGCTATTCTCTCAATAATGTATCAGCACACTTTTTAAAGGAACAAAAAGAAGATGTTCATTTCTCCATTATTTCAGATCTTCAAAATGGTACCGATGATGATCGTCGTCGTTTAGCTGTATATTGCATTAAAGATGCTGCTCTCCCAATGAAACTTTTAGATAAATTAATGCTTCTTATCAACTATACTGAAATGGCACGTGTTACTGGTGTTCCATTATCTTATCTTTTGGGCCGTGGTGAAGGTGTTAAAGTTTTATCACAATTGTATAGAAAAGCTATGGTCGAAGATTTCCTTATTCCAACTTATAAAGTTACAGGTAAAGCTGGTGAAAAATTCAAAGGTGCTGTTGTTATTGAACCAAAATGTGCATTCTACGACACTCCAATTGCAACTCTTGATTTTACATCTCTATATCCATCCATTATGATGGCCCATAATCTTTGTTATTCAACTTTATTACCAGCAGAAGAGGCTAAAAAACTTCCTGCTGATGAATATACTGTCACTCCATCAGGTGACCACTTTATTCTTCCTCACAAAAAGAAAGGTTTACTCCCTAGAATTTTAGAAGAACTTTTATCTGCAAGAAAAAATGCTAAAGAATTATTAAAAAATGAAAAAGATCCATTCAAAAAAGCAGTTTTAGATGGTAGACAATTAGCACTTAAAATTTCTGCAAATTCTGTATATGGTTTTACTGGTGCACGTGTAGGCAAACTTCCATGTGTTGAAATTTCACGTAGTGTAACTTCATTTGGTAGAGAAATGCTTGATACAACTAAAAAGATCGTTGAAGAGCGTTATACCATCGCAAATGGTTATAACCATGATGCTGTTGTAATTTATGGTGATACCGATTCCGTAATGGTTAAATTTGGTGTACCAACTGTAGCCGAAGCAATGGCATTAGGAAGAGAAGCCTCAAAAGAAGTTACCAAGCACTTTATTCGTCCAATTAATTTAGATTTCGAAAAAGTTTATTATCCATATCTTTTAATGGCTAAAAAGAAGTATGCTGGTCTTTTCTGGACAAAACCAGATATCCACGATAAAATGGACGTTAAAGGTTTGGAGACTGTGCGTCGTGATACTTGTTTATTAGTAAGAAATGTAGTTAGCACCATCTTAAAGAAACTTTTAATAGAAAAAGATATCAAGCAAGCAGAAGAATACACCAAAAGTGTTATTAGTGATCTTTTACAAAATCGTTTAGATCTTTCAATGTTGGTTATCACCAAAGCTCTTTCAAAATCTCAATATAAAGGTAGAGTTATTCACAACGAATTAGCCCAAAAGATGAGAGCTAGAAATCCTGCAACTGCCCCAAATCTTGGTGATCGTGTCCCATACGTAGTTATTCAAGGCTTAAAGGGTGCACCAATTTATGAAAAAGCCGAAGATCCACTTTATGTTTTAGAACACAACATTCTTTTAGATACTCAATACTATTTAGATAAACAATTAAAAGCTCCTCTTTTACGTATTTTCAAGCCACTCTTACCAAATCCCGAACAAATTTTTGCTGGTGAACACACTAGAACTATTGCTCAATCAACCCTTTCATCAACCAACAATCCTTTCTTTGGTACTTTAGAAAAGAAAAAAGTCTGTATGAGTTGTCCAAACGAATTGACCAGCGAAGAATCCACAGTTTGTAAAAATTGTAAACATAAAGAAGGTGATCTCTATCAAACCTCTTTAAATAATGTCACCAAATTAGAAAACAAATTTGCAGAATCTTGGACTCAATGTCAACGTTGTTCCGGTAGTCTTCATCAACCCGTTTTATGTTCAAATCGTGATTGTCCAATTTTTTATATGAGAACTAAAGTTCAAATCGATTTAATTGAAGCAAAGAAGACTTTAAATAGATTTAATGTCGAATGGTAATAATAATAAAAAAAACAACAAAAAAAAAAGGCAAAAGTAAAATAATTCGTTTATAATTAATATAATAAATATAATAAATATTTTTTTTTATTTTTAATTAAATAAAAAAAAAAATTTTGGTTTAAACCAAGAGATTTTTAAAAAATAAAGAATTTTGGTGTGGTGCAAAAATAACAGAAGTTTTTTTTTTTAAAAATTATTTTTTGTTGATCCTCCATAATTGAGAAAATCTTAATTTCTTTTTCAATAGCAACAAAATCTTTGAAATAGTTTTTTTTTTATAATACATTTTTTTTTTTTTAACTATTACATCATTTTTTTATTTTTTTTATTTATTGTTATAAAAAATTATATTTGTTTTATATATTTATTTTTTATATTGCCACCAATTTAAGAAATAATAATTATTTTTAGGGTGATAAAAAAAAAAGGTTTTCTCGCATAATCAAAAACAATCAAACATATAAAACAATAACATCACACATACAACACAAACACAGATAGTCTATAAATACCAATCATAAATAGTATAACATATCAAAACAAAAAAAATACCCCACCTATTATAATAATTTTTATTTTATTTTTTTTAATTAATTTTTAAATTTTTTTATTTTTAATAATAGAAATTTTTCTTTATTTTTTTTATCAAATTTTTAAATTTTTTATCTCTATAAAACAATAAAATATTTTTATCTATTAGTTTTGGAATTATTATTACTTATTTTATTTTATTTTTTTTTATAAAAAATTAAAAAAAATTTAAAAAAAAATTAAAAAAAAAAAAATTTAAAAAAAAAACCTTTTTTTTTTTAAAATTTTATTATCTATAATTTATTTAATCATTGATTAATGGTTTAAAAAAAAAATAAAAATAAAAATAAAATAAAATAAAAAACAAAAAAATATAAAATTACAAATAGTTTCAATTAATTATAGAAACAATAACACCAACAATAACTACAACTGCAGTATTTTATTTACATATTAGAAAACTTAACATTTTAATATGGAACAACCACACGAATGGATAAAAAAACATTTTGGAACACCTCCATTTTGTTATTTATGCCATCAGTTAATATGGGATGTTGGTAAAATTGCCTATTGTAAGTAAATCTAATTTAATTAAAATAAATAATTATATATTTACCATTAATTTTTTTTTTATTAGATTGTAAAATTTGTCATTTAGCATGTCACTTAGAATGTAAAAATTCAAGACATTCACACATTTTATCATATTGTAGTATAGTTAAACACGATTGGAACAAAGAAAATTTTGAATCTACAATGCAGTGTAATGGTTGTAATAATTTTATATTTTCATCAAAGGCTAAACCAACTGGGTATGGTTGTTCAAAGTGTAATTTAAAAGTAAGTAATTTAAAAATTTATTATTTTTTAAAATTTTGAAACAAATATTTAAATTTTTTTTTTTTAAAATTATTCAGTGTCATAAAAATTGCAGAAACCTAACAAATAAATGTGAATCATATAAATCATCAATATTAAATACAATAAAGAAATCAAAAGATTATGGTTATGGTTTAAGTAAAGATAAAGATAAGGATAAAGAAAAAGAAAAAGACGAGTCAATTAATTTTGAAAATATGACATTGGGGGGAAATGAAAGTGGGCTAACTGCATCAGGCATAAGATTAACAAAATCTATCCAACTTTCACAATCCATAAACCCGATAATATTTCCATCTTCACCATCATCATCATCAATATTATTAACCTCCACTTTTGTAAATAATAATAATAATAATAATATTGGCACGGATAATAATAGTAATCTTAATGTAAATAATAACCCAAAAACTCTTTCAAGATCAGTAGATCACTCACACTATTTAAAAAATAAATCACCTTCTAATAGTTTTGGTAATTTAAAAGATCTTTCTTCACAAGCTTTACAAAATATACAAAATAAAGATAAAGATAAAGAAAAAGAGAAGGAAAAAGAAAAAGAAAATTGTAATAATAATAGTAATAGTAATAATAATAATAGTAGTAATCATTTAGATGAAAATTTAAATGATTGTATGTACGAATTAGAAAATATTGGGTTAGTAGATTTACCACATCAAAAAAATTTATTTTTAGAGAAAATTAAAAACTTTTTATATGGTTTATCATTAAAATTAAATCAAACAATACCTACAAATATATCAACCTCCGCTCCAACAGCGGTTACAAACACCACAGCCACTATTACAATGACACCAACAATAAACGAAGAGAATAACAAATTAAATTCATCAATACCGATTATAACAACCACTTTTGTTGATCAAAACGAAGAAGAGCAACAACCAACTCAATCACAGCCACAACAGGAACAAGAACAAGAGCAAAGTCCATTCAATATAAATTTAATAAAATTCAAAAGTATTTCTGAACTATACCATTTTGAAATGATTTATTTTGGAAGAATTAGAAGTCAAAAGCAATTTGAATTATACAAAACTCAAATCGAATACTTTTTATTATTATATTCAAGTCAATGGGAGGAAGATAGCGACCCAATATTTAGATTAGCAATGGACCTTTATAAATTTATTTCAACACATTATCGTTTGGATCCAGAAAATATATTAATGGGTATGACCCCAAGTAAAGATATTCAACGTCGTGCAAAAAAGTATTTTTATGTCAATGACAACGAGGCTAATAATAACAGCAACAGCAATAAAAAGAACAAATGGGACCTAAGAATTTCAAGATCATCTTTAATTTCACACATAGAAAGTTGGTCAAATATCGAAAATAAAGAATTACTTTTTAAAACTGTTAAAGAATTTTCAAAACAATTAGAAAGTGAAAAGTTTAATGAAGGTGATATTATAATTGCGAAATTACCAAAGGGCTGGATACATAATAAAAACAATTATTATACCCAATCAATACCACAATTAAGTTTATTACAACCACCTCAACAACAACAACAACAACCAAATAATTTACCACCATCATTTTTAAATAATGTTTCAAGTAACTCTTTAGGTTCATTATCATCATTTTCAAGTTCAGCTTCACCAAATTTAAAATCAATTCAACAAAATAACCAGCAACAAAATAATTATAATCAACAAAATCAACAAAACAATAATATATTATTGAATGATCCAAATCATCACGAATTTGATGAAGGTTCCTTTATTTTGGGTAGATATATTAAAGAAGCGGATCCATTAGGCTTAAATTGTTTTATTTATTTACAACCTGACGAGACCCATCCAATCAAAATTCCTTTATCCCGTATTGTATCATTAAAAGCATTAGATATAACTTTACCAACCGATGCATCAAAGTCTAGAATTGAAAGATTAATAACCAATCCATTCGACGCTTTCACATCAGAGCTTAGACAGGCAATAAAAGATACATTAAAATCACGTCTATTGGAACGTGGTTATGATGTGGATTTAATAGCCCAAACCCTTCATTTCAATGGATCAAAATGTGTATCGTTAGAAGATTTAGAGAATGTACGTAGAAAACTCTTAGCTATCGAGCATGAATTCCCAAGCTATTTAGAATCAATTAATCAATTATCATATCAACATATTCAACATTTTTCGCAATATTTAAAAAAAATATTCATTCAAGAAATTAAAGGACAACATAATTTATTTTATAATCAACAAAAGCATCAACAACAACAACAACACCAGGACTTATTAGCTCAACAGGAAGAGGAGTTATCGGTATTTGTAAATGAATTTAATCAACTTATTAACCATCAACCATCAATCATTATCAATCATCCACAACCAATCTCAGCTACATTATCATCATCATCATTAAATTCTTTGTTTGATAACTATAATAACAATAACAATGATTCATTTAGTTTAATTAAAAAACAATATATAAAATTTAAACCATATTTACCAACACTTAGAATGATGATAAAAGATCTCGAAAATGAAGGTAAAAAATATAGTATTAGTGCTAAAGATGCTCTTCAAGTATTATTATCAGAATGTGACTTGGCTATCGAAACAGTTTTAACATTTAATTCAAAGATCACAGATGGCTCAAAAAAGAAAGAAATTACAAATTGGTATTTGCAATTGATCCGTGACTCAATCGATTCCTATATTCGTGGTTTAGGTTATGACCCACATGCCCTACCAGAGAACTATATTGACGAACCACCCAAATCCCTCTCAAAAGTACGTGAAAATCTTCGTATTATAAATATTGTCTTAAAACCTCAAACCATATCAGAAATGGATCAGAGATTAAATAGTTTAATTATACCATTAAAAAAGAAGATATATCATTCATTGGACGAATTTTTATTTTCAGCAGAGATATTACTAAATGATAAATTACGTGAAAATAAATCTTTATTTTCTTCAAATTTAGAATTGGTAAATGAAATTTTCGAAAAAGAAAATGATGGCTCAAGATTTTATTACATCGAAACAGAAGCTTTAAAACCAATTATAACATTTTTAAAATCAATTTATAATAATACACCTTCAACTACAAATCCCACCAACTGCAACCAAAGTTTATCATCACCACCGCCAGCAACTTCAACCTCATCCTCATCGTCGGTATCCCCAATTGCTTTGAATAATGTAAAAATTAACTCATCACCAAGCAATTCGTTTACAAATTTTAGTCTTTCTTCACCAATTGATCAAAACAATCCAAATCATTCAAACAACCCCACAATGGGCCATTATCAACAAAAACATCAACAAACTGTAGGAAATTTATTAAAATTAATTTATTTGATCGAAGATATAATATATATAAGAGATATGAAGTATTTAGAAGAAAAATTTTACAACTCTCAAATTTTAATGGAGAAAACAATGATTTCTCAAAACGATTTAAAAAACAATCAATCGTTATCTCAAATTGTTCCAATAACAGGTTTGGTATTTAGTAGAATTTTACGTTTAAAACATGAATTAAGAACAGTTTTAGAAGTTTGGGATATAAAGTTTGAGCAAAAAATAAATAATAACGGTTTAAATGGTAGTAATAATAGTAATAGTAGCAATGTTAGTAATACCAGTAATATTAGTAATGTTAGTAATGTTAGTAACTCACCAAATTTATCTAGCCAAAATAATCAAAACAATCACACCCCAATTAGTAATAATAATGGTCATATAAATCATAGTGTAACCTCACCAAAGTATCATAATATAATAATTGGTAAAAAAGATGATTTGTATATAAGTAATGTTAATCATCAACTAAATAATTTAGATAAAGATTAATAAAACAAAATAAAAAAATTTATTTATTATAATTCCAATAAAATTAAAAAAGATTCCCCATTTTTTAAAACTTTTTTTTAAAATTATAAAAAATATTTTTATAGTTTTTTAAAAACGAAAAAAAAATCAATTTAATTTATTTTTTTTTTTTTTCTTTTTAATTTTTTTATTTTAATATAATATTGCATGTAATACAAATACTATTTTTTTATAATGTTAACTAAAATAATAAAGCCACATATTAAAATCAATAATGTATATTCATATTTAAAAGGAGCAGATAAAACAACACACTTGGTTTTAAGTAAAAAATTAAAATTTACAAAACCTTTGACAATCACCCAAGAAACATATAAAAGAAGATTATTTTTTGCAGCAACCAAATCATTTTTTAATCAAAAGACAGGAAGATTTAAAACAGGTTTATTACCAATTATAGAATCTCATTTAAAAGAATTAGAATTTAATTATGAATATTCAGATGAGCGTGAAGTTTTACCAGAATTATTTGAAAATTGGGATCAAATAAAAGATGAGGGAGAAGAGTTACAATCAAAAATTATAGACTCTGATTTTTTTATTGAAAAAAATGTAAAATTACATGACTATCAAGTTGAGGCTGTTAATTTTGCACTATCCAATCATAGAGGTATTATTAAATGTGCAACGGGGGGTGGAAAAACTTTAATTTTAGCATCAATTATTAAAGCATTAGGACAAGGGTAATAATAAATAAATAATAAATAATAAATAATAAATTATTTATAAAATTAATATATTAAATTTTTTATAGAGTAAAAATTATAATTATTGTATCAAAAAGAACATTGGTTACACAGATTTATAATACATTAAAAGAATTGGGAATTAATAATGTTGGAAGAAACTCTTCAGACTTTAAAGAAAGTGGTAATATTATAATTTCAACAGTAAAATCAGCCCATAAAATTGAAGAGTTTTGTAAACAATCCAAAGTATTGATTGTTGATGAAGTGCATGAATTTACAGGTCCATTTGCAAATAAAGTTTTTGATTTATTTGAAAATGCATATTGCAGATTTGGTTTTTCAGCAACTCCTTTTAAAAACGATGATCATGTTCACAACCATATCTTAACATCAATTTTTGGTACATTGTTATGTGATGTAAATACCAAAGCCTTAACTAAAAGTAACTATTTTAATTACTATCCTTTTTCTTTTTATTTTCTAATATCTTTTTTTACAAACTAAAAAAATTATTTAGTAAATATTTTATCGAATGCAATTTTACATTTTTACCCAATTAATGCACCCAAACTAAGTAAAGCACTGGGTTACCAAAAAGCTGAAAATTTAATAATGATTGAAAATGATCATTTTAATCAATCAATTGTAAAATTAGTGGATTCAATTAAAAATGGTAGAGTTATGATTTTAGTAAAAAGATTAACACATGGTGAAACTTTAAATAAATTAATACCAAATAGCTACTGGGTACAGGGAAATGATGATCAAGAAACAAGAGAGTATGTCATTAAAAAACTACGTGATTCACAACCAGATGAAAAGGTGGTTGCAATTTTCTCTTCAATAGGAAATGTTGGTATAGATGTTAAAATCCATCATTTAATTAATGCATGTGGTGGCAAGGACCCAAACATGACAATTCAGAAATTAGGAAGAGGTTTAAGAAAAGCTGACGATAAAACCCACTTAGATTATCACGATTTCAATGTAACTATTTTTAATTTTTAATTTTTAATTTAGTTTGTTATAAAATATTAATTTTCTTTTATTTAAGTTTTCATATTCAGTAAATAAATCTCTAAATAACCACTCAGAATCGAGAATGAATACTTTAAGAAATGAAGGTCATAATATAGTTTTGGAAGATCAATTGATTTCAATTTAAATAATAAATAAAATTTTAAAACAAAACTTTATTAAATAGGTTTTTAAAATTATTTTATAAATATTTTATTTAATTTTCTATTTAAGAAAAGGCTGGTGATTGTGCACTGAGGTTATTTTCTGAAGAGCTATTTGTTTTGCTTTGGACAGAGCTTGATGATTTATCTCCAAACGATCGCGAATCTTCACTTAATGATGTTTGTGTTTCTGATGTTTCTGATGTTTCTGGTGTTTGTGATGATTTTGATGTTTCTGATGTTTCTGATGATTTTTCTGATGTTTCTGATGTTTCTGATGATGTTTCTGATGATGCTTCTGATGATGTTTCTGACAGATCTCCCGAGGAAATTGCTGGTTTTTCATTTGATGAATTTTCGATTGATGATGCAGCTGAATTTTCATTTGATGAAGATGACTCAGTTGGTGCATCAACTGATGAGGATGAAGCTGATGTTTCAATTGATGATGATGATGCAGCTGAGTTTTTGATCGACGATGATGAGGATGGGGCTGATGAAGCTGATGTTTCAATTGATAATGATGAAGCTGATGTTTCAATTGGTGAGGCTGGGTTTTCAATTGATGATGATGAGGCTGGGTTTTCGATTGATGATGAAGCTGATGATGCAGCTGAGGTTTCAATTGATGAAGATGGGGCTTTAAATGATGAAGAGGTTGATGCTGAGTTCTCAATTGATGATGATGAATCGGGGGTTTCGATTGATGATGAAGCTGATGAGATTTCAGTTGATGATGAAGCTGATGTTGATAAGGTTGATGATGAAGTAGATGATGAAGAAGAGTTTTCAATTGATGATTCATTTGGGATATCAATTGATGATGATGCAACTGAGCTTTCAATTGATGATGATGCAGCTGAGCTTTTGGTTGATGATGATGAAGCTGATGATGAAGCTGGTGACGAAGCTGATGATGCAGCTGAGGTTTCAATTGATGATGCAGCTGGGTTTTCCATTGATGATGATGCAGCTGAGTTTTCAATAGGTGTGGCTGGGGTTTCAATTGATGATGATGAAGCTGATGGTGCATCTGGGGTTTCAATTGATGATTCATCTGGGATATCAATTAATGATGGTTCATCTGGGATATCGATTGATGATGAAGCCGATGATGAAGAGGAGTTTTCAATTGATGAAGCTGGTGATGAAGCTGATGGTGAAGCTGATGACGAAGCTGATGTTTCCATTGATGAAGATGATGTAACTAAGTTTTCTATTGAGGATGTTGCAGGAATTTCGTTAGATGATGAAGCCGAAGTTTCAATTGATGATAAAGCTGATGATGCAGAGGTTTCGATTGATGAAGATGAGGTTGTGGTTTCAATTGATGATGAGGAAGATGAAGCTATTGCCTCAATTGATGAGGATTCAGCTGAGTTTTCAATTGATGATGATGTAGCAGGGGTTTCGATTGACGAGGACTCAGCTAGGGTTTCTATTGATGAAGATGAGACTGATGTTTCAATTGATGATGAAGATGATGATACTGCTGAGTTTTCGATTGATAATGAAGCTGATGATGCTTCGATTGTTGAGGACGATGACTCAGCTGGGATTTCAATTGATGAAGCTGCTGAGTTTTCTATAGAGGAAGATGATGATGCAGGAATTTCGATCGATGAGGCTGAAGATTCAATTGATGAAGTTGAAGGGGCTGAGATTTCAATAGATGACTCATCTGAGGATTCAGCTGATGAAGATGACTCAATTGAAGATAATGATGATGCAGCTGGGGGTTCAGTTGATGATGAGGTTTCAACTGATGATGATGTAGGTGTAGTTTCAATTGATGATGATGAAGCTGAGGTTTCAATTGACGATGATATTGCTGGTGCCTCAATTGACAACGAGGTTGATGCTTCGATTAATGATGAAGCTGATGATGATAAATCTGATGATGGGGCTGATGAAGCTGATGAAGCTGATTTTTCAATTGATGATGATATTGAAGATGATGATACAGCTGGAGTTTCAATTGACGATGATGTGGCTGATATTTCAACTGGTGATGAGGCAGGGGTTTCAATTGATGATGATGAATCTGATGATGATGTTACAGGTGGTGCTTCAATTGATGATGAATCTGAAGATGATACAGCTGGGGTTTCAATTGATGATGATGCCGATGTTTCGATTAATGATGAAGCTGATGAAGCTGATTTTTCAATTGAGGATGATGATTCAGCTGAGTTTTCTATGGATGACGAGGCCCCAATTGATGATGATGTAGATGGGTTATCGATTGATGATGGAGCTGAGCTTTCGATGGATGATGATGCAGCTGAGCTTTCCACTGATGCTGATGATTCTGACGATGATGATTCTGAAGTTGAAATTGAGCTTTCAATGGATGAAGAAACTGAAGTTGATGATGAAGAATCAACTGAGCTTTCTATTGAGGATGATGAGGCAGCTGGGGTTTCAATGGATGACGAGGCTCCAACTGATGATGATGCAGATGGGGTTTCGATTGATGATGATGCAGCTGAGCTTTCAATTGATGATGATGCAGCTGAGCTTACAACTGATGCTGATGATTCTGGAGTTGAAATCGAACTTTCAATTGAGGATGAAGATGATGAAGCCAAAGAAGAAGCCGATGATGCATCTGAGCTTTCAATTGATGATGATGAGGTTTCGATTGATGATAGTGAAGCTGATGATGAACCCGAAACTGAGATTTCAATTGATGATGATGATGAAGTTGATGAAACCGAAGCTGAGCTTTCAATTGCTGATGAAGCTGAGGTTCCAATTGATGATTCATCTGGGATATCAATTAATGATGGTGCAGCTGGTGTATCAATTGATGATGAAGCGGGGTTTTCAATTGATGATGAAGATGAGTTTTCAGATGATGATGCAGCTGAGCTTTCAGTTGATGCTGATGCTGATGATGATGAAGCTGTTGATGATGCAGCTGAGC